TGAGCTATGATGTTAGTCAGACGGCAATTGTCTGGGATTTGTTTACGGGTTCGGTGATCGCAAGGTTCGCATCCTTCGACGAGCTCAAAGTGGCCGCTTGGATGCGCAATGGCAATGTGGCGTTTGGTATATTTATCTTACCTCTGTGTGACGTTTGCTGCCAGAGCTGATGTGACTGTAGGAAGCGTAAAGGGAGACGTGGTCTTGTTTGAACCGTCGACATCGGAGCATATCTCTTGCCGGACTATCTTCGATCCTATCACGGCTTTGGCCCCGTCGTCAGACTGCCGAACCTACGCCATTGGGTATGCATCTATTCCTCGTTCTGGCCAGTTAAAGTATTGTAGAGCTCAGCCGACGCCATACTGACAAGCGCTTAGGTACCAGAATGGATCAATTCTAATAGCCACTCTTCACCCTACGTTTACCATTGTACATACCATGAGCACCTCCCGCGGGCCATCCCGGATTGTCTCGCTAGCATGGCATGCATCATCGTCAAAGCAAAAGTCCGATATGCTTGCTACCCTCTCCGCAAATGGTGATCTGAGGGTGTGGAGCGTGGCCAAGCCAGCTGGTAAAGATGCACCACGAGTAATCAGGGTTCTCAAGAGGTCAGATACGTCTTCATCCTCCGAGCCTAAGTGGATGGCCTGGTCGAAGAATGGAAGAATCGTTCAGTATCTCGATGGGTAAGATGGCACTATAATTCTGGTACTGCCCACTATGCGGTGTCAGTCACTAACAACTACTGCTAGGGAGACTTGGGCCTGGGATGTCCGAACTAAACACATCACTTCAGAGCCAGTTCCGACGATTGATAATCCCTGTGGGTTCGCCAACTACGGGCCAACAGCCACATTATTTACACTGGGGCCTCACCATACCGTACAGCAGTATGATCTTGAGAGCCCAGGATTAGTCGCCAATGTACAACATCTACCTGGCGGAGCCTTACCACCATCACAAGAGACTAGAACCCGTGGTGCGTCAGCACGCGTGTTACAGGACCCACCAGAGATGAAGGAATCCGGTGCCATGTACGGCACGAGACGAGCTCCGTTTGATCCGAGTGGAATCGAGGTTGTACGTCAACACCGTGCCGAGATAAATAGCCCTGTCTCCTCTCGAAGTCACGCAGACTCCGTGAGTTCAAAGGCGTCCTCGGGAAAGTACAGGATGGCCCCATTTTCATCCCCAAGTAGGTCGGGTCACACCGCTACATCCTTTTCACTCACCTCCGCTAGTGGTAGAGACACCCCGCAGGCATCTGGCGCATCTTATGCCTATGCATCTTCCGTATCCATGTCATCTGTGAAAAGCTCTCGTGCCGGCTCTCGTTTGCGAAATGAGGTCCACCCCAGTCCAGCCGATAAGCCCATGGATCTGTTTCCTTTCACACGCGAACGACTCAACGATGTACCATACAGCCGTCAACAGCCACTGGATGAGTCGCATCTGACGCCAGACGATCTTCGTCGTCAAATGCTGAGCGTGGTCTTCGGTTGGGAAGGCGATATTGATGGATTAATTAACGATGAGCGTATGGAATACTTTGTTGCCCCTGTCTAGCTATCTTCACTAACTCCTGTTTCAGTTAGCCGCCACACACCGGGTACTCAAAGCGCTATTCTACTCGCCCAGTGGCTAGGGGAATCTGACACCGACCAAATGGTGTCCATGCTTAGCGCAGGCCCAGCCTCTACCGCAGATTGGATGCTCCTTGCTTTCAGCCAGATGAGTGGAGAATCACAAGCCAACAAGGTCGGACAGGCATTTGTTCAGAAGCTTCTGGAAACTGGTGACGTACATACTGCAGCTACAATTCTTCTGGGACTTGGCGATAAGAACGACGCTATTGAGGTTTATGTCTCTCAGAGCTACTATATGGAAGCTATCCTGATGGCGTGCCTTGTAACACCCACAGATTGGCAGCGTCAATCATATCTCGTCCGCCGCTGGGGGGAGCATGTTGTCTCACACTCCCAGCAGCAGCTAGCAATACGGTGCTTTATGTGCACGGGAGTGGAGCCTTCTGGGCCTTGGACCTCTCCAGCCGCACAGCAGGCTACCTCCTTTGCCGAGATGATGTCAGGAAAATCACCCGTCACCTCCCCGGAGCCTCCATATCCCAATCCCGCAAGTCTTCTACCACCAAGCTCTCAGACAAAGCCTTGCAATACCCGACAGGTTAAGACTCCAGCTCTCAAGCTCATCACGTCGTTCGACTCGCAACCAAGCCAGAGGTTTCGATTCCCCGGCTTAAAGTCGGATGATAGGACACCTACGAATGCGCCTGGAGTTACGCCCATTGCTGAATCTGCTGTAGCCGACTCCGCGTTATCGCCTGGAGGCTTTGGGTCGTACAAATTGAATAACATCCAGAGTCTCAACAATGCTATGAACTCCCGAACAGGTACTCCCGCCTTTGGCAGAGGGCGCTTGCCTTCCATCGGGGAAACTCCGGTTGACGTGCAACCGCCGACCTTTCCATCCAGTGGTTCCAAGAAGCTCGTTGATTACGGCTCAACGTCGGAGAACGATGATCAAGAGGACCAGCCTGGTGATGAGAAAAACGAGCAGGTTGGCTTACTGCCTTCTGCTACGTACGATCCGGATGATGCGTTCAAACCAAGTCCGCAAACCGCAGTTCAAACAAGTGCAGACAAGTTTGCAGGAATCAAGGGAATACCGTCGCCAGCAGTTGGGCTTTTCGAAGCTCTGAAAGAGCGATCTGACAGTCGCAATGGGTCTAGGGATAGGATGCCCGATGGACTGCAGCTTCATTTGCAGGCTGCTGAATACTCTGGTACTGATGCAGCCGAGCAATGGGATAATGGAAACTTCAGGAGCCCAGCATCAACATTGAATAGCTTCAGCTCTGCAAAGAGCCCAAGTGTTAGTGGGCGGAGTATTGAGCAATACATTAGTAGCCTGGACGAGGCGAACTATCACTCAAAGAAGCATCACAAATATCTCTCCAATGGCGTCGGACGGCGAACTACAGATGAAACAGCCAGCCAGACGTCGGAGAAACGGCATTACTCTAGGAATACGTCCCAGCAGGCGCGAGGTAGACACGATAAGAGGTATATCCCGCCCGCCAAGCGGTCTCCTTCCTCACCGGTGTCGATGTCCCACGAAGAGGTAGCGCGCTACCACGCTGCTCAAGAGAACAACGATGATGCTCGTCAGACCAAACGGCGTTCAAAGACACGTAGTGCAAGCAGAGTTAGGAAGCCACGTTCTCGGAACTCTTCTGAACGTCGGAACAATCGTTCATCAAGCCGTCATACAGCTAATCGAGTCGGCACCGAGAAACATGACCGTGGTCGCAGTGCTGATAGAAAGGGCTCCTACGATAGATCGCCCTCACCTCCATTACCCACATCTACTACAGACGATGCTTTCAGGCTAGTAGCCAGTGATAGAGAACGAAGGTCTCAGCAGCGAAGTAGCAGCCGACGTCCGGAGAAAGGGAAATCGGAGCTACGAGCGAGATCCCGGAGTCGCCATGAACCCGAGTTCAAGATGGGGATGGAACACGAACACTATGACATGGGTACAAATCCCCAAGGTCTTGTCGTCGAGATAGTACCTCAAACCGACCAGGATATGTCGACTGAGGAGAGCCGGGCCATTCACTCTGCCACTGTACCTCCCGCGGTACCCCAAATTGGGCTATCCGAACACAGAAAGAAGGAGCTCGCGGCAGCGGAACTGGAGGCGCGACGACTCTCGCTCGCACGGAATCCATCAGCGCCCAACATACCCTTTCCGGGAGAATTACAACATAGTCGCACCATTCCCGAAAGCCCGCCATTTTCTGTGAATTCTTTTGGCCCACGCACACCAGGTAGACGGAGGGCATCATCGAGCAAAGCATCTCCAGAGTACCGAAGCAGCTCGGACTCTAACTCATCTCAGTCCGGGCCATCGGGGCTTGCCACAACACCCAAGGCTATGCGACACCCAAAATATAACCAGGAGACTGCTCCATCTGTTCCCAACATTCCTGATAGCACTTTTCTGCTGAGTGATGCCAGGTATCAGGCAGACGCTGAGAGAATCGGTCGCTCGATGTCTGTTCCAGTTCCCGAAATAAAACAACCCGGGACAGTCCCATCCGACCTGCCGATGCATCCGCGGTTTAATCCACGTCTCCCGAGAAGTCGCTCGACCAGCAGAACCCGGAACATGGGTCATCGCCGGGAGAGCTCGAGGGAACAAGGCGGGTACAGCTATGGAGGCTCTCCAGTGGATATCAGCATCGAGGAGGGAATCGAGAACGCGATGGAGCTGAAATATTACGAAACTCCTCCTATGTTACCAGAGCTGCAGCACCTGAACGCTCTCCCACCTCCTCCACCCCCTGCCCCTGTGATGGATTGTGTGTCCCCGCGCGAGTCTTCAGGAACCATAGACATCGCTATTGACAATGAGAACATGGGAAAGCTGCTGCCCCGCGCTATGACAGCTGGACCTGCGGTGAGCATGGAGACACAGCCGACTTTAGATCGCCGCCGAATGTCCTTTGAGCACCGACGCGGCAAAAGCGTGAACGAAAGCTTCTCCAGTAAGATCCGCAACCTGGCTCGTATGGGCAGTGTAAGTCGGGCACCCGATAGCTGGGCTGAAACGCATTTTCCGTATGAAAGTATACCAGTTGCCGACAATCGCATCTAGGCCATATTGATACTGTCCGCTGGTCTTTGCTTTGCTTTGATTCTTTTCTTCCTTTTTACCTCCCTTGTTTATGTTTTCAATGTCCTTCCCATTTTGCTACTTGCATTCCATTTTTAGACGTGGTCTGCTTCTCGGGCCTTCACGATTAACGACATTTCATTTTATCTGCTGTTCTGCCCTGGTATGATTCGTTAAGGGCATTATGTGGCTGTTGGATGTATACCCTTCCTGACATTATGACAAATTGTTGTCCCATGAGTGATACACTGTGTACTTCTGTGTGTCTTTCTTAGATTTTTGCTTATTCCTGCGTATTACTCTTCTTCTTCAGATTGGGTCCGCAAGGACAAGGAAAAGTTCCTTTGTATCTGGGATTGAGGTGGTTCCTGTTGCTCTATCATGCACAGGCTTCCATCACTCTCACAATGCTTTGATTTCCTTGGTTGTCTGCCGCTATTAGTAATAATCGGGCTATATGATAGTTAATATGATGTTCATGAGCAATGCAGACATATGCCACAGAGAGTTAATATACATTGTCGAGCCTGTGACCCAGACTCGAAAGCTACTCCATCGTAGAATCAAGTATAGTTAGTATAGTACACGGTGTCAGTCCACTAGCGGGAAATCAATTCCACTTCCCCCAACCTTTATTGCGCCCTTCGCTCGCCGACTCTTGTCCAATATTCCTTTCTGCATCCAATAATCGCTCAAAATCGGCACGAGCTTGCTCCCTCTCCCGCTGCTTGTCACTCTCTGATGATGGGGGGCTCCATGAGTCCCACTGTGGTGACTGCTGGCCGGATGCATCCTGATGACTGGACTGAGCAGGTGCGGGAGCATTTTGTTGTCGAATCCGCTCCCAAGCACCTCCCTGCGAGTAACCAGCCTGTGTGCCCCTATTGGTTCTATACTCAGGCGCCGTGGGGCTAGCATCATCTTCATCGAAGAAATCTCCTCCGCGGCCGTGATCTGCACCCGATCCACCACCAACAGGTTCTAATACCGGACGACGATCAGGGACAGATACCGTCGTCGACTGAACGTTACCACCGGAATACTCCGAAGCATAATCACCACCCTGATCCATCTCGACAACTCCCTGTTGCTCGCCCACCGACCTCCGCCCCCTGGACTCCATCTGCCTCCTTCTTATCTCCTCGGGATTCTGCTTTTTCAAATCCGCCAAGAACTCCTTCAATCGCGAATCCCCCATTGTATTCGTCGTCTCTTTATAAACCGCATAAACACTCGACAACGTCGCGCCCGCCACACTATAGAACAGCAATTTGAAACCCGTCACAAAAACCGCTCGTTTCGCTACAGTCGGCTCAGCAATCATAAATCTCTGAGCGGCCTGCAGAATCTCCTTGGGAGACGGCATCTTCCCCTCCGGACCGGAAGCCTTGGGGAAATAAGCCGGATACAACTCCGATTTCTTGGCCTGCATCCACAGAAGCGCCGACCCGCCGAGGAATCCCAATGGCGCGCCGATCCGCTCCTGGTATAAACTGCGACTGCTGTGTGTTACCATCGCATCTAGTTCGTCTTGTGTGGGGAGGCGCTGGATTAGCACCCGGGCGTTTTCGACTCGACGGAGTACATTGGCGGTTACTTTTCGGTCATAGTTCCACCGTCCGAAGAATCCGAAGTAGAGGGTGAACGGATCCGGGTTGGCGATGAGGTCGCGTTTAATATAGAGCGAGTGGTACTGGTATTTTGTGGTTGGGGTGCTGTCGCTGTCGTTGGTTGCTTCCGCGCCCGATGGGGGGATGGGGTCTGTTTGAGCGTTTTCTAGGACCATCTTTTTTTGCGGTTTTTTTGGGTTTGTCTCTGAGTGGGTGAGGTTGGAGTTGTCAATGTAGTCTTATTGAGGGATGGAGTTGGAGAGTTGGAGTTGGGTTGTGTGATGCTTGTGACGTCGTGGTTGTGCGGATTAGTCAGCGTTTTTGTTGTGCAGTTGTGAGGGCTTTTGTGCATTGGGTGTATACTCCGAGCGGTTGACAATGTTTTCGTCTGCTTTCGAGTAATTCAATGTCAAAAGTTACACTTTATATCTTGGGCAATTCTTACATATATCAATTAGCCTTCTGACTCAAGTGTCTTCCACTATGGTTATATTACCTGTGACCTGTATATCGCCTTCTGTACGCATTATTTTCAGATTCCCCAATCAGCTATTTATAAAAAGCTCGAATTGTAAATGGCTAAAGTCTCCACCATTCTACACACTTCACAATACATTCTCAAGTCTCTGCCAATCCTGAACTATCTCTACCTTCCAGTACGATCGACCTCAATGCCTTGTGCCTACCAACCGCCTCCTGATGTTCTTGATTTTATTCACTCTAAATCTGATCGAAGGATAGGTTTTTCACACGATAATAGGTGTCTGGTTATTGGGTCAGCCAAAGACCCCAGCAGCTAGACTAGGAGAATACTAACCCGTACTAGGACCAGGAGATCCGGACGATCCCTCCATCTGCAAATTGATAATCCTGCCGTATGTTAGCCTTTCCAAATCATATGGAACATTCCCCGCCCCTCTAGGACTTATCAAGTACTCACAGATACAAAGGCTTCCCGACGTAGTCGGCCCCGTACTGAGTCGTGACCTCCACATCATCAAGGAAGTACTTAACCAAGATATCTGCGTCGTTCTCCGCACGGATCTGAGTTTTGACCTTGTGGAACTCACTCGGAGACGGGTAATCCGTGTTGTGGTTCATGACCTCGGAAGAGGTCTGCAAGGCTGTTGTCAATTATGCTGACATGTAGATACGATGTCTGAAAAAGGAAACTCACGTTGAAGACATTGAAGGTGATCTGTCCCGTTCCTGTTTCAATTATCAGTCAAAACTATCACAGGAAGTAGCAAACTCGCAAAACGAACCCTTCCACTCAGCCATATCAATCTCCGGTGGCCAGCTCTCCGCACTATTCAGCCAGAAAGCCGGCCAAGTTCCTTTATCAGTGGTCGCCTGGAACTCAGCCTCGATGTCGAACCCAGAGCCGGCTTCAACCGTGAACGTGCTCTTGGAATGCACAGCTCCGGAGAGATAGTTGATTTCCTGGCCTCCACTGGTCGCCGGCTGGCCCGTGGTCGGCTTTGCGACGAGCGTCAGTGTGCCGGACTCGACGGAGATGTAATCGTGGTCGGTGGAGTTGCCAACCATGCGGGCTGAACCATTGTGGTCGCTGCCCCAGGGGTAGAGGTAGGAGAAGTACTCTTCGAGGGAAGTGTAGGAGTCGAAACAAGTCGTGGGGATGAGATTCTTCGCGGAAGCCAGAGAAGCAAGGGAGAGGAGCGCAACAGGTCTCATCTTGGAAATATTGATCCAATTTTCGGCCCAATCTACTTCTCAATAATGAGAAAAATAGTCGCTAAATCAATCAAACCCACCGACTACAACCAGGTATTTATCTCCGTCCCCTAGACCATGTTCCCAGAATAGACGGATAGCCCGGACACAGATCTGCACGGTTGTCTTGTATCTGCGACACCACGCTAATGTAGCTCTATATTAACCCCACCGGGATATGGCTGTAAATTGCATGATCAACACATCGGAGCTGCACCAATTTTGTTAATGATTTTCTCTTCTATTCGGGGGCCAAGTTGAAGGTCGTTTCGGTGTATCTGGGCCGACGCAGTGTTCCTGAGGACCTTAGGGCTTGGTTTCCTTTTTCGGTACGGAGGGATGGTTTGCTTATCGGGTTTAGTTACACGCTTGGCGATTGATAAGTTGCTAAATGATGTCATTTTACTGGTCCTTCATTTATCAGTATTGCTATCGAAGGCTTATGTATGTTCTTGATATTGATTTTGTTTGTGAGAGATTGAGGGGCATGTAGCAAGGGTCTGGCTGTATGCATGGCTGCAGGTTCGTGAGCCTTGGCCGTAGCTTGGTAGTATGCATGACTTAAGATGTCTAGACGCTCATCATAACTGGTTTGAACTCGAACTCGGCGCTCCTTCTTCATTTCTTGACCATTGCTAATCATACATTCCTCTATGCAGGATAAAGACATCATCCCGAAATGTAAACAGAAAGAAAACGGCCAAATTACCGACAGACGGCTCGATCCAACAGATCCTCGGTGTGCCTCCAAACCAACTCAGGGAGCCGTTGCACCCGATACTCTTCTATAATCTTTTGGCTCGGTCGAACCTCCCCGTTCCAATTCAAGAGATATGCTCCACTACCTCCCTCCCCAGTCGTACCCTTTGCGACATCTCCTGGCTCGACCGGAACACCCTGGATCATGGTGCCCTTCTTGGCCGGGTACCGCGCAGAGCTTAGATGAAACAGATGCCTTTCTCCACTTTCGTGGAGACCGACGGAGAAAGGCCACATCAGCGGCCACATCCCGTGGTTGTAGAATGTCGAGATAGGCGGCGGGAAACTATTGCTGTAGATATTCGTACCGACCGGACCGGGGTAGACATGAACAAAGCTCACAGATGGGTGAGCCTTGGCCAAGTGCTCCATACTCAGGGAGGTCATGGTATTGGAGTGTGTATAGGCTCTCCTATCATTTCTCGTCCTTGTATCTAAGCGAAGTTGCTTTCTGTGCAGCATCTGATGCCAAAATACCATCAGAGAATCAGGCATCATGCACCGTCACTATTCCCAGAAGATACATTCAACGAATGCGTCGAGACGATAGATCACATATTTGGAATATTCACCTCCTTAGACATGTCTGCGATTCGAGCTTTGCCAGCAATGCATCTGATCCGGATGATTTAAACCGCGCTCATGCTAGTCAAGCTTCACTTTGCGGCCGTCATAGCATCTAACAAAGATGCTCAACTGCAAATAAACCGCCTTCAAGTCTCCAACCGTTTACATTACATCATACAAATGTTCCCAGGGTGGGGACCACTATGGCCAGCTACCAAGTTGACGACAGTGTTCCATAGGATTCGGTCCTGGTTTGAAGACAGCGATACAATGAAACGGGATGGCTCATGGTTGAATCTGTGACGACTTAGTCCAGCGTCTTACGGTCCTGATGATACTCAATCCAGCACTGATCTGGTTGGGTCTAATGATGGGTCATTGCTATCTCCTGGCTCTCACGATCCGCCCTGGATAGTATCTGTGGACCCTTCGGATATGGAGACCATGCGCGTATCTTTCAATTCTTCACTGGACTTCAGTGGCAGTGCGTTTACTCCTACATCCATTGATCAGCCCATCGATTACTCGCTACTTCCCAGACAGACATCTCCTTCTGCACCCAACATCTCGGTTGGTGAAGATCTTGGCATTGGTTTGAACATGATCGATAAAAGGAACATCGATGTCACCCTCGACATGGACCTAGAACTGAATTAGCTTCCCAGCATGCACCTCAACCCAAACAGTCTCCAGCTACCATCGTCCCATGACTCGGACGGCTTTTACGAAAACTACACGGCGGAAGATACACGGAGAAACGACTAGATTCATTAAGATTGTTATTCCTGGACAGGACTTCTGATTCGCAATTCAAAAAGTATCAACAGTATCTTCAATCTCGTCACCTGGCGCGAAAAGACTCGGGTAGTGTCATAGAACTTGTTCAAGCCAAACAAACCATCCTTACTTGGACAGCACACTCATCGCACCAATAAACCAAACTACCACTTCTCCACATAAGGCCTCAAATCCAACTCAAAGCCCCACGTCGTCCGCGGCTGGGTATGCAAATGCCAGTACGAATCCGCAATCTACAAAAACACAATCAGCCTCTCTCCCACGCAATACCAAACCCATCCCATAAAGAGACCGAAGATAAAACCGAGAAAAGGGCAAAGAAAAGAGGAAACTCACCGCCGCAGGATCCAACTTCGCATCCTCATGTTCAAAGGTCCACGCCTTCGTCCTAGGTATATCAATCACTCCGTCGATAACAACATGCGAGACATGGACTCCCTTGGGCCCGAACTCGCGGGCCAGACTCTGCGCCAACGCACGCAGGGCAAACTTCCCCGACGCGAAGGCCGAGAACGTCGCCGAGCCTTTCAGACTAGCTGTGGCGCCGGTGAAGATCAGTGTAGGCGGGTGCTGGAGTCCGCTTGCCTTCTGTAGCAGGGGGAGGGTGCGTTGCGCGAAGTTGAAGCCGCCTTTTCTGTTCTTTTGTTAGCTTGTTTTTATCTACGACTAGATAATAGTTCCCTAGGGACTATGTAGGTAAAAAGGAATAAAAAGAGTAGACTGAGATGGGAAAACTCACGCTTGACTCTCAAACCCCGACACGAACTCCTCCTCCGTCAACTCAAGGAACGGCTTGCGGACGAACCCGCCCCCGGAGTTGAATACTGCTGCTGCGAGTGTCGATCCACCATATTGCTGGGTGATTTTCTCAAATGCGGAGTTGACGCTGTTGGTGTCTGACAGATCGGCACTAATGCCCGTTGCTTGCCCGCCGTTTGCGTTGATTTCGTCGACGACCGGCGTGAAGTTTGCTGGGTTACGGGCTAGGAGCACGACGGAGTATGCTTGTGCGAATTTGCGGGCGATAGAGGCGCCCTGTTTTTCTTTTGTTAGGTTTGTTTATTATATTCATCGAGTGGTTTGGTTGAGGGGATTTGATAGTGGGGATGATGGTGTGGGGTGAACTCATTGATGTGAGGGTATAAGATAAGGACATACAGTTCCTGGACCAACGCCGGCGATGATTGCAAAAGGCTTGCTGGCCATTTTCTCTTCTTTTATTTCTTTTGTACGTTACTTTTATATCGTTTCAAGATCGAGTATGAAATTGATCTAAATAAGTGTGGGGTTTGGCATCTACTTATACTCAACATGTGTCGTGATTTTGCTCGGCGTTTGGTTCATGCCGATGCTTAGAAATCGACGCGGAGGTTATAATTTCGTGATTTTCTCATCCGTCGCCGCGGTGATATCATCGTTTTTGCTGATGTAACTGGTCCGGATTGTGGGGAAGGTTATTTATGGGGTCTATAGAAGCATACTATTATAGTTGGTTTTGTGATACCCTTGTTTCGGTGTTTGCTGTTCACGTACTTGGCTTGTGGTTAGGGCTTCAATCACCGAGACAGCGGCGTGTGTTTACCCGATGGATGAAGTAGGCGGTTGAGGTCTATGGAGTTAATGTTATAGTATTAATATGGGATGAAGCTTGTCCCATACTGGTATCTGAGTTTGGAGACTCGAGTAGAGACAATGAATGATGTCGACTTACTTTACATCCTAAATTTGAAGTGCATAATCAAGTGCATATGCTATTACTCAGGTATAGACAAGACAAAAGAAATTTTTAGTTTGAAATAGCTTTCATACATCCTAAAACCAGATCATGCCATTCATAACAATAACCCTACCGAAATTCTATCACCGCAACACCTTTTAGGGAATATTAAGTAAGACCCGAAAACCAGACCCAGAAAGAAAATGCCCTCACAGCTGAATCATATCATTCATAATCTTGACCTCCTCGCCGGGCTTGAACGGCGGCAATCCGATGTACGGACAGCTGGAGCAACGGAACGCATCGCCGAGCGAGCAGCTGTTGCACGAGCTCGTCTTGCCCTGCACGGTGAAATCGAGCTCGTCGTTCAGGTCGTCTGTGTTCAGCTTCAGGATGTTGAGATCTGCGGCGGCCTTTGCCTCACGTGCGCGGTCTTCCTCCTCCAGTTGACTGGCCAGACCGCAGGTGCAATCCTTGCAGGGACGCCGGCGCTTCTTGGCGGTCTCAGGTACACAGTTTTGGGCTGTAGAAGTCATAGTCAATAAGATGTTTGACATGGTAATAGAATATATAGAGGGAAACTCACGTCGTGGAAGAGGTCTCTTCAAATCATCGTCCGAGAGCAACGCATCCTCATCAATCAACTCGTCATCATTGTTCTGGGCCGGATCAAACATTCCCACGCCGTTTGTGCTGGCTCCGTTCGTAGCCACTCCATTCGGAGCTCCGTTCACCCCATTGGTCTTATCTTTCTTCTTCCTGCCGCCCAACTTCAATGGCACGGCAGCCTCCTGTGCCGGCTTCTCAAACCCACCATCCTTCTCCACCAGCCCCGCCAAGATAGCCTCCAACCCCTCACTAGCCCCCAAACTCCCTTGCTGCAGCTGCAATCTAGCGCCCGCCTTCATCGCGGGTACCAAAGCGGTATAAACATCCCGAGTCAACAGCCGCACAGCCTCATCCGACGGCGCATCCGTCAACACCAGCACGAGGTCATATGTATTCGGAGGAAGGGAGACAAAGCCTGCGGAGAGGCGATCGAGCATCTGGAGATCGGTCGAGGAGCGATCGAAGGTCGAGAAGACATGACGGAGCTTCTCTTCGTGGGCGGCGACGGAGGGAGGGGCAAGGAGGAGGTTGCGCTTTTGACTGCCATTTAACTGAGGTGGGGTAGGAAGGTCGAAGTCGACGGAGGTGTCGATTGTGATGGACATTTTGGAGCGATTATTTTGAGTTCACCTCCTTTTTGGGTTTTCTCTGATTTGTTTCCTTGGTTCTGTGTGTCTGTGACAGGTAGATAAATGGGGGAATCGAAGGTATAAGGTGGGCGTTTGGTTTGGAGAAAAGAAAGTTGCAACTGGATCGCTTTTCCCTTATCAATTATTAAGATTGGTGGCGGTTTTCGGTGCCTGATTTGTCAGGTGGATACCGATCCGATAGCGGAGACACAATCAGCTACGAGCCTTTACTAATGCGTGAGTCACGGGAGGTGGGGGATTGATATACCTAGTTGGTTTCTAGTTAGGCCCGGTCTCTCATTTCTCTTGCCTTCTTTTTGCTTACTTTGGATTACACCGGGGCGTGGGTGGGATGATAACATGCACTCAGAATTAGGCTATCAGATGCCCAATGTGACTCTGGACGTAGCTGTGGGTCTGGGCTCATGTATTATGCTCCTGTGTAATAACTTTAAAATCGATAAACTGAATAGGATTATCCAGATATTGGTTCAGTTCTTTAGAGCTAGTATTAAACAACTACTAAGCCTGTAAAACTGACTTCTGCATAGCAATCACCAGGAACTACAGAGGTTACTCCACCAGGCTGGTTGACCAAAATAGCGGTACCCTAATCTGATGCTGTATTAGGGTCACGTGTACAAGACGGATTCCACGAGAGGCACTCGTGGAACATGGACTTTGACCTGGAAATGATCTTGGACTCATCGTTATGAAAGACATCGCTAAGACGTTCTACTGCTCCACCTTGAGACAGTGGAACAAGAGTTGCTGGTGGTTGAGGTAAGAGAAGCAGAAACACTTGGTCGTCCGATCTATGCAAGATCGTCGAAGCCTCAGGCATAGGTTTCAGAGCATAAGGCATTAATAGACCTCCTTATCGATAAGCTAAACACATCCAGACTTTTTTTCCCTTCGCTCCACTTCTCATATCATATCATAACATGACCTATCGCTATATCCATACTTAATATTCTACCCTCTTTACAATTTCCCTCATATCTATATAATCTCATTTTACCCAGGATAAGGACATCCACTAGAATGTCCTCCGAAACCCCCCTCCTCTCAGACCTCTGCACAATCTGGTCCGTCGCACCCCATCCCAACAACCCATAGCCATACCAGCAAACCACCTACTAACAAAACAACCAAAAACAGTCACATCCAACCCCCCAAATACCGCTGTCCCCGCTGCTCGACCCGCACCTGCTCCCTGCCCTGTTCTCGCCGCCACAAACTCTGGTCCCAATGCAGCGGCGTCCGCGATCCAGCCGCCTACATGAAGAAGAACGAGCTCGCGACTGAATCCGCCTTCGACCGGGATTTCAATTTCATCACAGGCATCGAACGCACCTTGGAGCGTGCGGAACGCGATGCCGAGAATAGGGGGATCTCGGTACAGCCTGGGACTTCTGGGCGCGGGGTGGATCTTGCGGTCGTGGGGTTGGATGGGGATGAGGAGAGTGGTAGGGCGGAGACGGGGAGGAAGAGGAGAAGGGTTGAGGGTGGTTCTGGGGGGTTTGTGAGGGGGGAGTTTGGGTTTCTTAGGGGCGCGGAGGAGGCTGGTGTTACTGTTCTTAGGGCGCCGAGGGGCATGAGTCGGAATAAGGCCAATGCGTCGAAGTGGATGCCTAAGTATGCTTTTCTTCTTGAGATTTGGGTTGGGGGTGAGCGTGGTGAGTGCTGACTGCAGTACAGGAATAAGTGTTTGAATTGGTCGGTGGAATGGATTGCCTCCGATGGAGAGAAGAGGATTAGACTCTGCTTGGAGTCGTCGACTCTTGCTGAGGCTTACGATCGGTCTTTTCCTTTGTCGAAGGAGGAGCGCGAACAGAAGAAGAAAGATCAGGAAAGCAAGTCGGAAGAAGTGGATGTCAATTCGTCTGAACAACTACCTGATACACGCGACCCTACTCCATCTACCGCAGAAGCTACGCCTCAGGAAACGCCTAAGGAAGCCGTGCTTCCCAACCCTGAAAGCGAGACAAGACCGGACATCACGCCGCAAGACCAGCCTACGCAATCCACAGATAAGATTACCTCCCACCGCAACCTCTACTTCTATCTCCATCGCCCGCGGACGAGTACGAAACAGCCGGTGCTTGTCCCTCTCTCGCCCACTGCCACTCTTACCTCCGCTCTGCGCGACCGCACCGTTCTAGAATTCCCGACTATCTATATACTGTCAGACTCACCGGATGCTTTGTCATCGGAGGAAGAGAATGCAAAGTTCCTTCTCGAGAAAGACTATCTACGCATGCAGCCACAAGGTGAAACCGAGTCGGGAGAAACCTCCGAGGCAGATGGCGAGCAACTGGCACCCGGGTCTGTGGATATCTCCAATGTAGATGAGAAAAGGGTCTTGGAGGTACTGCAAAAAGATCTATTGGAGCCCGTTTAGACCGCAGGATGTTGATGCTTGCGGAAATTGGTTATGAAGGAATCACTTATTTCAAACGGGACTGGGTTAACCTGATCTTGGTTGTCAATTGTTAAATATTCAGTACCTGACTTCGGCGGTGGGCAACGGTTTAATAAAACTTATACGAGTGGGTCCAGTTTAAGCGGTTGACACGCGATGTAGACTGCGGCCAGCGGAAGAGATTTGGTCCAGATACGTAGAACGTCTCAACTCGTAGGATCGAGACTGTCTTCTTGTCAATATCACTGCTCCTATTGTCATAATCAGATAATCAAAACTAGTTGTAATACGAGAAACGCCAAATGCAAGGTATATATCGCTAGGTCCAGACCAAAATAGAATAATCTGCAAAAACAATCCATCCAAAGGGGTATCTTGTATACATATCCATCCAGGGCGCCGTATCATGCCTATCAATTCCAGTAGTAGGTTATGAGCCCCCGACTCAAGACTCAACTGTCAGTGTTACGTAAAGTATTGTGCTGCCTTGAGCAGGACGTCGCAGGCCACCAAGATGTCAGAATGGTCTATTCGTTCACTGTCAAGATGCGGCGAACCTCGGTATTTATACCAAAGGCCGTCCGCATCCTGCCATACCCAGGCTTGGGAAATGGAATGTTGCGACACGTCGACAGGGGCATAATGTCCTCTGTGTCGATCATTGTGCAACCAAGGAGCAGTGCTGCTATCACGCATCACACCAGAGAATGCTACCACTAAGTTAAAAGGTTCACAATGGGGGCATTCTCTGTTGTCGTGTTAGCTAGCGATGCATCTGCAACGAGATGCGTGCGGGACAAAGGTCGATCGTGATACGACCAGTCCGGTAAGGATAGAGCACCAAAGGCCCTTGTGCCCGTTAAGTGACTTTTGCATAGTAACTTGTACGGTAAAGTCACGTAGCAGGCAAGAGCCCTTGGTGCAAGCCTCCGTATTCTACCACTATATCGTGTTGACGATATCGTGATAAGGTCACTACGGACTAGTAGCATCGGACTCAGTAGCCGGAAGTTCAGGGTCATGCTCCTCTGTCTTGTCCGTTTTGTCTGAAAGAGACACGATCTCCGTCGGGACCGTGTTCGGCAACGTCCGCGCATCATCGTCCTGCGCGCCATCGCCGCCGTACCGGCCATTGCGTATGCTGGCTTTGGATTCTATCGGAGACAATTTCTCTCGCTCAGCGCGACCAGGCTTCAATCGGATGCGCCCACGTTCCAAAGCTCGAAGTAGGGTACCAACTTCCTCGGAAACAATGCTTCGCAGCTTACTCATAGCCTCGTCGGACACTTCAGAGTGGGCATTCCATCCAAGCTTGTCAGACTCATCCGAAGCTATCGATTTCGCCTCCAGCGACGGCCCAGTGATCAGTCGGTGCAAAGCAGTAGGCGACACATTGTTGGGACGGCGTGCCATCTTCATCGGTTTCGGCTTCGAACCCGATGACACCGACGGCAAGTCTTCTTGTTGTCGCTTCGGGGGACGTGGAATATGGGCATTCGGCCCTTCTCCAACCTCGTTCCGAATCTTGTAATAAACCAAACCCAGTGTGGCAGCCAGTGCCTGGTGTGCGGCCTCGGGGTACAAGCGAACTGCTTCAGCACGAGTCAAATTGGACGGGTAGTCGCTGGAGTCGCTGGAGTCACTATCACTGACAAACAAGGCCTCTGTCTGGTGCATTCGACCCCAGTATTGGTAACCTCCAAGTTGATAAAATTCGGCCAACTGAACCAACCGGTTGACTAAATCCTGTTAGATATGCCGCTGGGTCATTCACCGTAGCACGACTTACTCCGACTGCGCTTCTTCAGGCACCAGAAGCGCCAGACAGTACGAGGGAAATATTCCGGCCACTGCAGCGTGCCATCATCCTCGACAACGGGGACTGGGGTAATTGGGGCGTGGGTGGTATGGGCCAAGGAGTTGAAGCGGACGCGTTCCGAATGCTTCATGCGGGACTCAATCAGAGAAAAGCGGTCGAAGACCGAGTTCAAATGTCGTGATGTCTCATGTTGAAGGGTAATCAAATCAGTACGAAGTTGACTGATGGTCGCGTGTAGTTTGCTGATCTCCACCCGGCATCCACACACGTCCGTCTGAACCTGTTCGATGTCGGACTGGATTTGATCGATATTCTTCGACAAACGATCGACATCACTGCGTAAGAAAACGGTCTCGTTGCCGGTCTGGCCGATGCTCGACTTCAGTTGGAACACTCCCGACTTCAACTGATCCACGTCCGTCCTCAACGCGACCACATTTAGATCGATTCGGTTTGAAATGGAGCGATGGGCTTCGAATTCCCGACGAATATGTTCATCTTCCCGATTCCGTCGATCGACATAGCCGTCTTTGGTCAGGATAGTCGAACGTAATTCCAGAACACGGGAGTCAAGTAGGGTTAAACGGTCGTGAATGTGAGATAGGGCAGGGTCGGATAAGCTAGGCGGTGTCGTTTCATGTACAAGAGACAGTCTAGGGCTCGAGATGGGCATAGACATGCTCGAAGTGCGAGACAGACTCCGTTCGAGGGTGGCTGTCATGGTGGTGTGATGGGGAGGGACTGATATGGGTAAATAGGGATAAGAGAAGGGTGATAAATCGTGGTTAAATCGAGTTTCAATAAAGTCAACATCCCCTAAAGTCATTCAACAAGATATGAGGTCCATTTTGGCGATAGTTCGAATGATGATAGCGATGGGATGTGTGGGGTGATCGATGGTCGTAATGATGTTGTGGTATGAGTTGATGGCGGTTGCGAGATGAGTGAGAAAGACTCAACTCTCTCCTCCTTGACCCGTGACCGCCCCATCCCCTCCTTCAACTTGCGTGGCAGACACGGGATGGCCCAATGCGGTCGGGACTGCCGGTCGATTAGCCCTAATCAAAACATTGCGAACACCCGTCCTTCAGCCACTGGTCCTTCTTCCTAGGAGGAAAGCATCAAATAGACTAATTGGATCATTAATGTTCATTGATTCCTAAATAACAGCTCTACCAGTGCCCAACACTTGAATCTCGAATGAAGTCTGCTGAGACAAAATACACAACGCAAATCCTTCTTTGGTCAACAATACAAGCCGTGACAATACAATGAGATTAAATTTACCGCCGAGCTAGAGGCTTGGCAGCCGCACTGCATTCAGCTGATCACCTCCAAGCCAATGATTGACCAGCTCGTCTCTCACTTTGCCTTATCGCCACCCAAACGGCCTCCTTTACTGGATGACAGAAATAGCCCAAGGCGTCATTGTCCAATCGGCCTGAAAGGAATCCCCCATGCCGTATTTGTATTTCCTATCTTTCAATGATCTCAAAGTCTGACCAGTTGACCTTGCGTACGATTTTACATCGACACCATGACCTAAAGTTGTAGTAGTAATAGGTGACGAATAGGTGAAGAAAGGGTTGGGGAAAATAGATAAAGTGACCACAGAAAATATTAAAACATGCTTTAATTATAATAGAAAATCAATCCGAGTCGGCTTCTCATAGTACTACCGACACCACTTGGGCTGCGATCGTGCATTCAAACGTTCCCGTGTCCGAAGATGATTCTGGGGGGACTCAACTTCCCATACAAAGTGGGCCACTTGGGACAACTACTTTATATAAGACAAAACAGTAATAGTGAGGAATAATACTCAAGCTACGTTAAATAAGATTAATGGAGCAAAGTATTAGTCGCTTATAGCAATGTATAAGCAGTTTAAGCAACGCAATAGGTTTATTGATGGAATTTATATATTTAAGATCGACAACTACCCATTCGTCATACATTTCTGACCCAGAAGAATCTCAGTGATGGCCAAATTTTAGAAACAGCCATAAAAGTTACATTTAAAAAAAGAAAGAAAGAAAGAAAGAAGAAGAAAAGGTAACCAGAACCTACTACATGAACAATGCCCCCCACTCTGGAAATAGCTGGAGTCTTTCGGTCATAGGCATTCGCCAACGGTCATCCCCTACATTTGATTGACAACCGTGCGCAAGTAAAGTTCGAGCAAGCTCAATAATTTCCCTCTTCCCCTGACTGAATCTTCTGTGTGCTCCATATACACCTCCCAGGATTTCATGCGTGTATTCGTGCAGAACATCCTCATATGCATAGAGCAAGGCATTGAGCGGAGTACCTTTGGTCGGAAACTGAAGAGGAAGAGGGTTTCCCGCATCGCATCCAGCTAAAAGGAGCATATGGACCAGCCCTAGATCCCTGTTGCGGGCAGCATACCATAGCGCGGTCTGGCCGCCCCACGCTCTGTCGTTAACATCGGTGTCTGGGTCGTGGAGAAGGGCTACGATGCTCCTGGATCTCCGGTGCTCGATCGCATACATCAGTGGCGTTTGGCTTTGTCCATTTCGAAGGCGAAGATATTGTGGATACGTATCACCCTCACTGTCACCAACCTGCGCGGCCAATTGCATTACTGTGTCCAAGACAGCGTGATCCGGGTTCAATACGGCGGCGTGAAGAGGAGTCTCCTTGCTTCTCGGATGTTGCGCCCGAAGAAATCGTCCGCCATCCCAACCAAGTTGAAGAACCTCGTCGAGCACATTATGTGGTTCATAGGCACAGATGCAAAAGAGACTTCGGCCTGGGACTCCTTCATTATGGGTGAAGAGTTTCCTGAAAAGCTCCATGTTCCCGACCTTCCATGCCAGCGTTATCGCCGTCTCCTCTTGCTCACCGTAGGCGTTTGCCTTTTGGTCAACGTGAATCTTGTCTCCGAGGGATAAAAGGTAGTGCAGAACCTCCCTCGCCGACGTTAAGATGGCCACAGCCAAAATGCTGTACCCACAGAAGAGCATACCGTTCGGGTTCGTTTCAAGCGCGACTAGCATCTCAACTGCGCGGGCATCATCTCGAAGGAGCGCCAATCCAATTGACGATCTCGCCAAGGATGAATGTATGGGGTAGTCACACAGCTCTTGCTCAGGCCATATAGGGTCTTCTAATGGTCCAGGCTCGAAATAAGTGGGAGTCATTACCCCAGCTTGGACCAGAGGACCAATTAAGGTGAGAATTACGTTTCTGGCAGTCGCCAATAGCGAATTTGCTCCTTGCTCAGATGGAAGCTGAGCCCCAGGTGGAAGATCAGGGTTCATTAGACGGCGTAGTAGCTCTAGTTTCCCGTCATCATCACCCCATATGTCCAGCAACTTTTGTGCCACATTATCGGCGGTCAGTTGCTCTTGCTTCAGACGCCGGACACGCTGAACTAAGCCTGCAACGTGCGGAACTGATATCGAATCGTCTTCTGTTTTTGTCGAGGGTTCACGTTGTCTTTGTGCAGCCTCTCGACGGTTCTGATGTACTCTCGCATGATTTTTCAACGCTGCGCCGTAATACTGTGGATGAAAGCGTCCGCAATGGACGCACTCGACGTTCTCCCTGCGCCTCGGCATCGTGTTGGATGTTGCACGTTTCTGAATATGAGGTCGTGTTTCAATTTGGACATTACGCAAAGCATAAGAGTAGGGACTCAGACAGAGAGCATGTATATATAAGACATTGGATTCTTTACCAGCTCACATTTTCATTTAGCGGAGATATTTTAGGCCATGTCAAAGATGTGTTCGCGAGACTATTGAAAGGCGCTGGGCCGTTCATTCATAGACTATATTGATATGACAAAGAAGGACAATATCGGAGACCATAGGAATGCTATTATTGAGGCTTGTAGTGCTCCATTGTTAATAAATGTTCCTTGTCACAATTGATTGTAGTTTTATTGTCAGTACCATCTCGTTGTGTTCTCATTATGTTCTTCTGGAGTCTAGACAATGGAGGCCCTCGCCAGGATGGAAAGGACGCACCATCATACCCAATGGAAGATGGTTCAATAAGCTTAATTGAGGAGATATAGTATTGAATCTAGACAGTGTTACTGTTACCAGACCGATGTCCAGAGAGACAATTGACTCTGTAGGGGAAGTAACACACAAAGGCGCACCTGCCGCAGTATCGCCAACCCTAACGATATACCAACACATTCAAGTGAATAGAATAGAAACATGCGATATCCTTCAAACAATCAATACTACTATACCTTACACCAGATATTCCTTTCTATTATCATTCCCCACCAACAATGAAGTTCAAGCATCTCGCCCTCCTCCCCAGTCTCTCTTTGATATCCACGGCCACCACCCTCCCAACCTCCAACCCACCATCAACGAATGACACCCTCTGCGACTGCTACATAATCTCCGGCCCGGACCCAGGCTACTTTACCAACTACCACTTCTGGGACTTTCGCAACATCCTTCTCCCAAATGCCACCCAACAACCGGCCCTAGCGCCCCTCGCACTAGACACCACGCTCCTCCTATCCAACACTCCCTTCATCAACGACTGGCGCCCCCAAACTTGGACCAAAACGGGAAACACGGAGCTCCTCCCCATCGCCAACGCCGAAACAAACGTATTCATCGCTCCCAACCCTGACCCCCAGAGCCACGTCTGGCCAAACCCAACATACCTTCTCCTCCAAACAACCCGGCTCGCAGACCACGTCTCAACCGCCGAAATCGAGTTCCTCCGATGGAACATCCTGCACTGTTCACTCCGCGTGAGAATGAGACTCATGTCAAAGGAAACCGCCCTCGGCCCCAGGATCATCTACCCACCCACCCGAAGACCCGAAGACAAGGATTGGGGCAAAGGGAGTCGACAACCCGTGAGGCATAATACCGTGCCCAAAGGCGCTTGCGTCGGACTCTTCACGTACCAGTCCAAAACATGCGAGTCGGATATCGAGATCCTCACTTCTGACCCACCCAATGTGATCCATTATTCTAACCAGCCAGACTACGATCCCGTCTCGGATACCGCTATCCCCGGGGCGGGCTCCATGGTGAATCTTTCGGTGCCGTGGACGGCGTGGTCGACGCATCGCCTGGATTGGTTTCCTGATATCTCGCGTTGGTATGCTGGGGAGACTTTGCAGGCGGTTAAGGCTTATGGTGTGCCTCGGGAGCCGAGTACTTTGGTGTTGAACCTGTGGAGCGATGGGGGGAATTGGACGGGGAATTTGAGGGCTGGGGAGTCGGTGTTCTTGGGAGTTGAGTGGATTGAGATGGCGTTCAATGTTTCTTCCGTGGCTGGGGCGTCTGTTGGCCGTGGTGAGGGCTTGACGAGGTCGCAAGGTGGCGCGGTTCGGAGGGCTGATTTGGGGGATGTTGGCAGAGCTAGGAGTAAGACGTTAGAAGGTGATATCCCGAAGCAAGAGAATATACCCACAGGGGCTGAGGTTGGGTGTCGAAAAGCGTGTTATGTGAGTGACTTTCATTAGGTTCTCCCGGCAGTCACTACGTCTTCATGGTCTTATAAATATTCAATCGACATCTTTACAACAGAGACAACAGTGCCTGTACAAGTATTCACATTGGTCTAGATTGTATCCACAGATATCTAGCACCCAAATCAACCATGTTCATGTCAATGTCCATGTCCGTATCCCAATCCGTCCCCATGTCGCATGCTGTATGTGCATGTAAGCATCGAAAGCGATTTTCGCCGGGTAAACCCAATTCAATGTCATATGTCAGGAGCTTTGCTTCAACTGACGGGTATCACTCGTACATGTGCCAAACGCCGTTATGATCCCAAAACGAACTCTTACAATATGCCCATCCTATACTCTCACAGCCCCCAAACTCCACGCAATGCAAGGAAAAAACAAAAAAGTAAAACGACAAACAAAAGACAACATAATACAACATCGATGGCTTGGTTTTCTTCCTCTTCCTCCCCTTCCCCTTACTGCCCCACCGGGAGGCGTTGCCCTAGAGCAACACCTCCCCGCCGGAGGCCGGATCGAAATCCCCCTCCAGCCCCCCGGCCATCAGCTCGGCCACTATCTTCTTGCGCAGCAGGACAATGTCCCGCGCGCAATAGGATAGTGGCTCGATGCCGATGGCCACCGCTTTTGCGGTAGATAAAAGGAACACCCCGCAGTCACTACCGTTGTCTTGCTGAGGAGAGACAGACGGTAGGACGCGCCATTCCTCCTCAACGTAACGAGGGCCCAATTCGTTACGGAGCCAGTCCTTCATCACCCCCACATGCCGGTGCGAGAGTGAGCCCAACGAGTCGAAATGCTCGATGGTGCGTTCCAACGGCTTGATCACGATAAGCGTCCAGTGTGCACTGTTGTGCACTGGGACAAACACGGTATCCACGTCAAGAAGAGATGCGCCGCCAATCTTGGCACGATTCGCCCAGCGTCGGACAGACTGGTAGCCCTTGTCGCGCATGTTGGAGAAAAAGAAAGTATTGAAAGCGTGGAACCGGGGTTTGTCGCTACGGCCGTTGTTATGATTCGTGCGGCGCAGATAGTCAACGATTAGAGCAAGGTACGAGTTGATAACCTCATCGTTCAGCCACGCCATGGGAGTAAAACACGTAGATAGATCCTTCTTCGTCAGTGGGTCCCCAGCCAGAGTAGTGGCGATGCGGCGGTTGCTGTTTGTGGCCATGGCATTGGATACTCGGCTCATCCACTCCCCTGAGAGAGGACGTACAGCTGGGCCTTCAACACGAACTCGAGCGGGGCTTTGCTTGCGCTTCTCCTCCTCTTCGATCTTTTTCCACTCCTCAGCATAGACAGACGCCGTCCGGCCGGGCGGAAGCGGCTTCGCTTCGGGGTAAAACAGGCTCACGGCCGAGACGGGTCGTCCAAGTGGATGCTCAATCTGTTCTTCCCACCAATGTCCGCCGAGTCCAACCTGCTCATCTTCAATCTCAGTTTTTACCGCCGAACTAGCAACTGGTGGGACATTCTCCTTCTGTTCGTTGGGCGCCTTTTTAGAACTAACGCGGTCGACATTGGGGGACGTGGGATGGAGGTATGGCGCAAGGTCAGGGAGAGTAGGTTCCGGGATAAACTGTTCAATCGGATCCTTGAAACGCACTCGCTTCTTCTGTTTCGGCTTCGCCCCCTCTTTTGGCGCGGGCTCGCCTAGACGTTCGGTGCGTTCGGAAAGTCCAATGTGGGTGGATAGGCGAGGTCCCTGGTCCTTCAAGACTTCGCTGAAGTCCCCAGTTTTCCATGCTTTTTGTAGCGCAAGTTCGCGTTTGCCACGCTCCAGGTTTCTACCTGGCCACAACCGGCGTTTAAGATTGGGGCTCATAGACTTGACCTGCGGAGACTTCTGGACGCCTATCGGTTTCTTAATTCCACTATTAGCCCAGTGGTTCCCTGTACTCTCAGGAGATCGGCTGCCACGCCTTCGAGGATCTCTCGCAGAGTTTGCGGCGTGTGACATGAAGAAAAAATCCTTTGGCATCTCCATGAAAGATGAAGATTCAGTAGTCGGAGATTGTGGAATGTCCAGAGTCAAATCTGGAAAAGGAAGATTCTGTACTGCGGGATAACCTCTCTGTCTACGTCTTTCGTGGTCTCTAATCAGGCGTCTCTGTTCCTCGGGGAGGCGACGAAGTGCTGCAACTCGCGACGGAGAAGCTCTGAGGCCTGAAGAGCGGCTGGAAGGCTGCGGACGGCGACGACCATGTACGTAGTCAATCACGGGCTGCCCTATCATATTCCAAGTTTTGGTAAGAACATTCTTGACAGTTCCGGACGCAATGTAGGCGCCTTGAACAATGGTGTAACATGTTGCCCAGTATGGGAGTAGCATATGCGGAATCTGCCTATTGTAGAGGTTACTGTCAAGTGTATCAACTGCTTGCATCCGCTGATCGCCCGCATTGCCAGATTCATCAGCAGTAGCGTTGTTTGAGCCACTGGAGTCAGGAAGAGAGGTGGTAGGAGATGGTACGTCAAGTGCACCCGTCATGAGAGGCTCTTCTCCTAAGCGCAATACATCAGTGACGGAACCCGTACTGAGTGCTGCAATGGCAGATAAATTATTATGAGAAGGCTGCTCAGGCCATCCACCAGGAATAAGGACATCGGCACTGCCAGGATGACCAATCTGGTCAGTAACGTTTGTGCGAGTAGGCAAATGACTGTCGGCCGCGAAAGCGATAGGAGAGGTCAAATATTGAAATTGCGTACAAGCATCGCGGCGGATGGGAAAGGTAGCGGTCGGCACGGTAGGTTTTTCCTGGATAGGGTATGCAGCTTGGGCTGATGGCGCTTCGGCTCTCTGGGTGTCTTCTTGACTTGTAATAGCGGAATTTGGGAATCCTTCCTCGCTAACCCGTCGATATTTGTTCGACGGACTATCCGTCTCGGCGGTAGTACGGTCAGTCGGTTCATTGAAGCCATCATCGACAGATCTCTTGCGAGAGTTGAACGAAGTCGCGGTAGTAATCGATGTGTTCGACTCAAAGCTAGGAGTTTTGCGGTCCCAAATGGACCTGGTAGTCAAAAGGCTATTGAAAGATGAATCACGTGTGGTGGGAACGCTTGTTCCAATGGTCACTGGCTTATGAGACAGGGACTTGAATATGTTATTCGAATGAGAGCTGTATCTGTTGGTCGAGGTGAATGTATTTGCTTTGTTATACAAATGGCCGATTACGTTGTTCGTAGCAAGAGTATTTCGGAGGAAAGGCTGCGCGATGAACTGCTGCTTGAAGCGGCCGGTCGATGGGTCAATTCGCGCCTGCGGTGAGAATCGCGTCAAAGGTCTGATGATTGGAGCTCGTGTCGCCGGCTTTCCGTCGAGTCTGGTGGCTTTGGGTACACCACCACTCTTTGGAGGAGTAAAATGAACCCAGTAATCAGGCCTGGAGACGTTCTGGTCGGAGGTCATGCCTATGGGCGGGGCGACGTGCTGTGACTGCTCGTTTGAGGAGGGAAGAGGGCTGATATCCATGGGGTCGTAGTACTGCTCTTCGCTCCCCATACGGGTGTCTTCTGTATCTGTCACACTCATGGTCGTGTCCTCCATCACGCGTTGCTGGGTCGAGAAGACGCCAGCGATGGTGGATTTGAAATCAGGACAATTGGGAAAAGTAGGTACGGTTATCAACGTGGAAAATTTTGAAGCGCGTTGTAAGCAAGAAAATCGTGTAGTGAGAAGGCAAAATATGATGATGAACAGAAAGAGTATTAAGATGTCGGTGGAAGTGGTGAAGAGATGAGGGAGGGGGAAAGCAAAACAGATGGGATCGCAATTACTGGCCATGGGTGGTTGCCATGGTTTTTATTGAGGTCGCAACAGTCGCTGGAGTGAATGGCAGCTCCATGAGCGTGCTCCGCGTGATAAACAGATGGCAGGCTGGAGAGGCGCAAAATGAGCCTTCCCACCGGCGCGCAATCTGGAGAAGTGAATTGATGGAAAGGAAGTTAAAGTAGTTCCCGGCATGGTTTAGACGCCCCGAAGCTCACCCACGCTTTCCCCCTTTGGGAGCTTCACGTGATCTGCCCCGTCGACAACATTCAAATCGATCTACAAGTAGCTCCTGAGTATACCACGAACAGTTCTTCTACCATTGAAGACACAATTTCAATATTCTGGCCATTTGCTCCTCTGTATATAATCGAGGCCTCGCTCAATTCGAACCTCCGTAGGCCCTCCCAATCGCTCTTCAACGCGTAACCACACCAACAAATGGGAACAAAGAAAAACAAAAAACAGGGGGGAAAAATACATAACGCATCAAAGTCATATATGTACACCAGAAGACCAGCTATGGTACAGAAATAATAATGACTCGTGACGTTCAGCCAGCTGAACTCGAACCTCACTCTCAGCTTATCTTTCAGATGGCTTTAAATCGGCGCAAGGCCAACTCTGTCAAAGACAAAAGGTGCCCCCTCCATCGCAATCCAAGCAATACCTAGACAGCGTAAGCCAAAGTCCGAAAAGGGTAGGAAAGGGTAAAGGAATCATATACCGGAATATACCACCAGCTTCGTAACCACCTCCACATCGTATCGTACACGAGGTCTCTTAATCCGCGCAAACATCTCTTCTTCGTCCGGCTCGGGGTCAGGAACGAAATCAGGGAATGGCTCCGTCAATGGAGGTGCTTCTGTACCATCAACGCCAGTTGCAATTCGAGGGTTACCAGTCCCCATCATGGTTTCATATTCATGGAGTTTGGAGCGCTTCCGCGATAGTTGATGTTGCCCTTCGGAGATGTCCTGCTGGGTATCCTCCTCTACGAGGGGCGACGTTCGGTTGCTATTTGACAGGCTCTCTCGCCTGCGCTTTTCCCGATAGGCCAGGGTTTCGTAGGCATCAGCTTCCGATTGAGGACCGACAGAGATTGCTCGTCGTCGGGGGTGGCGGATATTCGAGAAGATAGAGGGGATTTCGGAAAAGGTTGGGAACACTTCATGATCCTTGAGTTGTGTGGGAACTTTGCTGTATTGCCTGGTTCTACAGTGAGCCAAAATAACCCGTATTGGATGGAGACAAGACCTGACTTACGACGCTGCGGTAAAGAATCGTCGAGGAAGTATCAGACCCAACTTTTCCAGACCACGAAAGACCGGGGGGAGTAGGCGGAGAAGAGAGGGCTTCATAACCTCTCTCCATGCAACAATCAATGCCACTCCCAAGATGAGGCGCATAGCTGTCTTCAACACCCCTAACTCGTGAAACTTATACGGAACAGTAGCAGGCACGGGGTCGTCCCACGTGATGCTCGTTTTCGCTACGTGCCAATAAGCCACTTGCAACCCAAGTATCACTCCCGCAAAGGCAACACTGTCATCGAAACAAGGACAATCATCGGCGGGCTCCGGATGAAGACGAACAAGAGCTAGGATCACTAATACCACCAGCGTGATCTGTTTTCCGGAAGCCGAGAGTACAAACTCGTCGAAGGCGGCCCCGTAGGCATATTGTATTACTGCAAGTAAGGTTCCCAGCAAACAGCCAATTATCACATCGAAAAACCCATGCATACCGCAGTACAGTCGGCCGAACACAATCGAGGTGACATAGAGGTAAGTTATACCTTGTAGAAACACGTTGACGGCGGGGCTCAAGGTCGAATCGGGCATGTTTAGGAGAGCCAGTGCGTATACGGCGACCGAGACGGCGTTCGTCGAATGAGTCGAGGGAAACCCATACTCCAACGCAGCAGAACCAGACATGGTAATACGCTGTAGCGGGGGCGATAGTGGGCGTGGGAGGCAAAGCAAGTCTTTGATAAAACCGCTAAAGAAGACTCCGGAGGCCAGAAGATTTACCATACTAACCAGTTAATACTTTTAGTCAATGTAATCACAGGTCCACAGCGCAGCGCACTTGGAACTGTCTCGGGCCCATGTACATACCCACGCCCTAAACTTGTATACCCATGCCAGAACAGTATAGGCAAGAAAACCATGAAAAATGTATGCGTTCCGAGATTGGCCGTAAATGCGAAGTAGGAGTCTAGGGCCGGAGTCCGTACCTTCTCCTGCAACCAGGCCAGATATGGCGTCTCATATCGCACCAAGGGGAGAAGTTTCTGTCGTGGCCAGTACCGCCAGGATGGGAGCTGGTTCCGATCTATCACCAGCGCACCGTTAGCATGTTGACGCGCTGAACGACCATCAAGTCAAATAGGGATTGCGACGCACAATGATTAAGGCTTCTCAGGCCAGCATCTGGTGTGCCATTTGGTCCCTTGTCCATATTGCCGGCGGCGTTCAAATCACAGTTGACGCTATCGTTGCGGTCTCCCCATAGATCCCACGGAGGGTCTGCTCAGTTCAATGTCTCGACGCCGATGACAATTTCGTGGAGAAAACCATTCGGAAGTACGAGAGGTGCAGAATTTTCAGTAATTGTCCCTTGTCCACTCGGTTTCAATCAGGGGTAAGAGAATGACAACAGCAGATCGATTTTGGATTAGTCGGGGAAATTGTCCCGCGCTATCCAGCGGTTTGGTTCTTGGGCGGTCAATGCGATTTGAATCGCACGGGGAAGAAGTAAAATTGCTCCTAATACAAGGATGCTACGTTAGTGCTTAGTCACCCCTAATTGGCCCGATACGAGTACGGAGTGGATAATGCATCCTTTCTTTGGTGATTTTTTTTTTTTTTTCTATCGCTCGACATGAGGCTTTTTATGCCAACGGAAGACGGAACATGAAGAACCGCCGAAAGAAATCTGGGTCCGGAAGTCCTACGGGTGCTCTCTTTCTGCATTAATCTGAAGGACTCGGTGCAATGTATGCTCAAGTGGATTCAATATCAAAATAATCCAAGGGTACGAGTGTTTTCTTTCCCATTATTGGTCGGCTTATGATCAGCCTTCAGGAACCTCGGCAGATTGAAGCGCATACACAGTAGAAAAATAAAAAAAATAAAATAAACTAAAAGTGTCACTCGACCGCATCCCCATGTTCGTCTACGGCCGACTCTCCAATATATATATCTTCCTGGTCCACACACGCACACAAACACACCCATCCATGCCTTGTCCAGCACTGAGTTACATACATACATACATACATTGCGTACGAACGAATTAAATTGAAAATAAAGAACAATAGGTTAAACGAAGGCGCTAGAGAACATCCCTCCGGTGAATTGTTTCCACGTGATGGTTCAAGCTTTCTGGGAGATCTTCCATATGGACAGACCATAGTTAATCTCGTAAGGAATGCTTGTTCGTGTTATTATACCCAGAGCCCTCTAAAGAGAATGTTATTGTAGAGACAAAGTCAATATGGACACAGCCTATCAAATCAATCAGAGACCGAATGCCGAATTATGTTGGTAGAGGACTGAATTGTCGACGTGGAACTTGGTTCCGACAAGGCAGATCTCCCAAACGGGAACACTATTGAACCATAATAGATCTCTTGTTAGCAAACGCGGGAGAAAAAGAAGTCGCTCGTAGACCTTCCACATTAGGTATCAAAACATAACGTGATTAGAGACTTTGATATCTTTTCGTCTCCAGCATACTCGGTACTCTCTCAGGCTACCTCGAGTGCGTGACGATCGTCGGGCGAATTCGAGTTGGTTGGTGCCGTAATGAGCCACACACATTCATACGACCATACTACATTGCAACAAGTGGCAGTGGTGTGGGGACATTGGGTAATTGGGTACAGAAGTAGGGTAGGATTGGCTTGAAATTTCTACGGTAGCCGTGCATGATTCGTCTCTGTGACGACAGATGACAGCTGGGTCGAAGGATCCAGTGTTTTCCTCTCCCTCAAGTACACAGTCGTCAACGGAGTACTCCGTAGTAGGGGCATACTATTAGACCAAGACCCGCCAGGGTAAATCTAGCCCGAGATATTGGCCAGTGTCTAGATTGCATAATCGGTGATCGCGGGCCAATCGAGACACTAAGCAGAATCAGCCTTCACGATCGGAGCCGCTTTTAGGGCACGGGAGGGTGAGAGCAAGGTTGCTGATAGGGTCGACCTTGGAAGAAATCCAAGAAGATCAAGGTGTTTGGAAGGTGTGGCCCAGACCACAGGCCAGGAATGCCTTGATTTGAGTGATTGATCCAATCACTCGAGTGACGTTGTGCTAAAAAAAGGTTCAATGCGTTGGGGTGTGGATTGATTTGATTGATATTGATTTGACTGCGTCATGGCCTGGGCAAGTGGTTGCCATGGCACCGCTTCGGCCCGTAAACATCGGGTTTCATGTCAGCTGGAGGAGCGGCCACGCCACACCTGCCATTACTTGATCGGACTACCACAACTATCGTGAAACTTGACATCTCTTTCTTTCTTTTTTCTGTACCTAGACTGTAGCCCTTTATCTTCGACTTCTTTTTTTGTTGTTATTTTCTCGCCATTGTTTTTCTCGATTTCCTTCAACTCCGTCCCGACCATCATCCTCACCTTATCACAGAGCCTATCGACCGCTGGAAACCGAATATTTCCGGGACACCTTTAAACCGGGCAGTGGATCTATCTATACGCAATAGATCAGAAGGGCAGTTCCATTTTCGGCGCCACCGAGCACCACGTTCTTCAAAAATCTCCTAATTCAATCTCAGCCCTCTTGCCTCCGCCATCATGTCGAGTCATATGTACGATGACCAGCCCTATGCAGTGTCACGACGTCATTCGGTAAAAACACCTCCTCCTTCATCCACGCCCCGGCACAGCAGAGGGCGCAGCCAGAGCGTCCGCGTGAGCAATGGAACTGCCAGCACAAATACCAGCATCTCAAGTGGGAGGATGTCGGAAGCGACGAATATCACTCAACCACCGGCATACTCGAAAAAGTTCGTTGTGGTGGGAGATGGTGGATGCGGAAAGACATGCCTCTTAATTAGTTACTCGCAAGGGTATTTTCCGGAGGTAAGGCTCTTTATCTCCCCCGAATGCTACTGAACAGCCTTTTCCGACCGCTGTTCTGACCTGGACTAGAAATACGTCCCGACAGTTTTTGAAAACTACATCACACAAACCGTCCATCGGGCCTCAGGGAAGACGGTCGAACTTGCCCTCTGGGATACTGCAGGCCAGGAGGAGTACGACCGTTTGCGCCCGTTATCCTATCCGGAGACTGATTTGCTCTTTGTTTGCTTTGCTATTGATTGCCCCGCCTCTCTAGAAAATGTGATGGATAAGGTATACCATCTTGGGATTATTTATATGATACATGACACTGACTGGATATAGTGGTATCCCGAAGTCCTGCATTTCTGCCCCACGACTCCGATCATCCTGGTTGGGTTAAAGTCCGATTTGCGCAACAAAAGGACTTGCATTGAACTCCTCAAAACCCAAGGACTGACGCCAGTGACCCCGGAGCAAGGTCAGGCAGTGGCTCGGCGGATGAATGCCTCGTACATTGAATGTAGTAGCAAGGAAATGCGCGGTGTGGACGGGGTGTTCGAAACGGCTGTTGACACTGTTGTGTCGGCTGAAGAACAGTTTAGCTGGAACAACCGCCAAAGTCATAACACCAGTGGTAAAGCTACTGGAGGTGGCGGTGGCCCCAAGAAGGTCAAGAAGCGTACATGCAAGATCTTGTAGACCGCTTTTCTTCTCTCTCGACGTGTCCCATGCCCCCCTCTCTGTTTTTGTTTGATATGCTCCTGTTTTCCGCCGAGAGAAGCCTGGTTGCTTCGGCGGTTTGCTTCTCCTTGTACGCGATATGAATTGGATACGACCGGGAGAGGATGGCCCACGCAGTACAACCCATTATGTGCTTTTCTAAATGTTTTGTTAACGGCGGCCTTTTGATTTTACATCTTCATGTTGCTATACCTGTTTTGCCTTGATGATTGTCTCCATGAAACACTATTACCCTTCCTTTATATCCACTATTATTTGTCTGTGACCACCTTGATTTTTTCAAATTGGCATGTTTTCCTCATGATGTCTGTCACGAATCCGGTCCGAGGACCACTATGTCATATGCATGGGGTGGGTGTTTATTGGCGCTGAGTCTCCCATGTCACTGAATATAAAAACACTGTGAACCCCGAACGATGTTGCTGCCTTGTAGTTTGATAATATATCATCTAGAATTAGAGAGTAAATAATACACACGCCTGAATTTGAACTCCAATACACCAAGCCATGCACCGAACATATTCTGGATCATGTCTCATATCTTAACCGTCGATTTCGCTCCTCTCATCAGAGATATCGTGTTCATGCAGCTCGCTCTGGTCTTCATGAGGCTCCTCTTTCTCCTTCACACCACCTTCTGCCTTCTCCTCCGGTCGTCCCATAAAGTTCTCAAATTGAGACCAGAGAGCTTCGACGGAGCTAAACTCATTACCCACCTATACAGTTGAGCTTAGCCAGTTGTATGTATATGGGAGTCGAAAGATACAACTTACCGCAACAATACTTTCTAGATTTCGGTTCAACCGGTTGATATTTTGCAGAACTTGTTCCATTCCCTGCGCAGATCGGTCAATTCAGGTATGCTCTTTCGATGCTCAAAGCGCTGTGAGCTGTCTGAGATTGTATAACTTACTACGGCGATTTCTCTCACCAGTTCCTCCCGCTGCTGTTCGAACACCGTGGGGGTGGACGATCTGGATTTCGAACCAGGTGTCATGGACATTCTCGTTGTGGTGGACAAATTTGTGATAGTTTACGGGTGTAGGGATCAATATAAAAGTACGGGGATGAAGAATTGACTGCAGATCCTCTCAGTTATGTTGACTCAGAATTATTCGCACTTCCAACGCAGGTCATTAACTCACGAATCGCCAACCATCATGTGGCGCATGAATGATTGTGGGACTGGCCTGATTGGGCATGGTGCAAACAATGCGCGTCCTTTCTGCCGCTGATTCAGTGACCGCTCTGCCCTCCGCCTTTTCAGTTCTCATCATCAATTTACGTGACAGCACCTAGTAGTCCATACTAGATCTAGCATAACTCACATGGAGTGTATACTTATTATGAGTGGTGCCTTGTGTGCGCCTTGAAGCGCGGCTGCGGCGCTCAAGGATTACCTATTATTAACTTCTTAAATTCTCTCCTTGCTAGTATGCTATGCAGCTTACAGACTGAAACTATCGGGTACCAAGTCTGGCGCCCTGATCTGGTGTAACATAGACCTTGTAGGCGAGGGACAAAGGTAACCCCTGGACAGGTGTTAAAAAGTAGACTGCCATCTTCTTATGCTGTATGGTAGGCCCTTGGTGCAAGGCCACGAACGGATTTCTCTACCTGTCCTGGTTTCAACGCTCGCTTTGTATACATCGAGCGCGATGGCCCTCTCCATTGGAAATGCACAGCTTCTCCAGGCAGAAATCGATGAAACTGATCTTAGTTTCTTCCGACTTTCAGTCCATGGAAGTATTAAATATCTTACCATTGAGGGGAACATTTTCTCAACCGCTGATATGGCTTTCGGCCCATCTCTAAGATCTCTACTGCCAGAGTTTCCACCTGGAGACTGGAATGATGGGCTGATTGCCAAAGACAAGAGCACCGGGAAGCCATATTTTGCACGCGCTGTCCGGAACATATTTCCGGGTGTCAAAAACCAATGGCATGAGTACTCGGTCGACTATTCAGATATTAAAGTGGGAAAGAGGCTTCGGACTGGCATCTACGAGGCTCGATGTCCGGGACTTGACACCGTTGTCGTCGTCAAATTTGCTCGCTTCCACTGGGAGATTCGATACATGGAAAGCGAGACAACAGCATACGAGTGGATAAAGGGCCACAACATTGGCCCACGATTTTTGGGTCACCTGGTCGAAGATGGTCGCGTAATCGGGTTCTTGATGGAACGAATTTTCAATGCTCGACATGCAGTGTTAGATGATCTCGAGGCTTGCTGGGATACGTTGTCGCGGTTGCATGCTCTGGGGATCCGCCATGGTGACACGAATCGATTTAATTTCTTGATGACCGACTCGAGGGCTATTTTGATCGACTACGATACTGCTCAAAAGTGTGACGATCACGACGCGCTTTGCGAGGAGCTTGACGGTCTTGCTGAATCGCTAGCAAGTACATCCCATCGAGGCGGAGGGGGTTTACTCTGAGAGGGATATGAGATCATTAAATGGGTTACTATTCGAGAGACTAGCGTATAGGGTATTCATGTCTCTTTCGTGGTATGAGGCCTTGGTTCGCTGTTATCAACGTCCACCATGTAGAACCTGTTTGACTGTGTTGGGGATGTATCTCTCACATTATGTGAGCTAAGCTGCTTTCAGAAAACGTTTATCTACGCGGCGGCTCCTGTTCTCTACTACCATAGTACTCTACTTCGAGATACGACAATGTCAAATGAAAATCATGGCCGCCGTGATGAACATTATCCATATGTGTTTTCGTCATTCACCCCCTCAGAAGCCCCTGCCCAGGTAAGCATCCATTCTTACGAGGATCGCTTGGTGCTTCGTTGAATCGAGAAAGTAAAGCGATACTTATGCACGCGAAGACCCACGTTAATTAAGGGAAGCGGGGCGACGCTCTGCCTTGATTGCATGATTTACGCCATGACTTGGAGAGCTCTCTCTTCGCTGCATTGGAAAGTTTTGTTTCGCGCTTGAATATCACAATGCGCTCAGACAGAGCAGGGGGGAAAGGATGGAAACCAAGATCTTGACTATGATACACGACTATTGTTGAGTGCATCAGGGCGAAAATGGTAACCGGCCGTCTAGATTGTCCATCCCAAGGCAGCAAGATTTATTATACGAATACAACATTGCGTGTAGCAATGAATCGGTGTTGAAAAGTGGTGTTCTAGATTCTCGGCTGGTTGACAGGATTTAGCGACGATGTTACGTGACTAGGCGGAGTATACAGATCAGGATGCAAGCCCTTACCCTTACCGCTTACACTATACTCCGTTTCTGCAGGGATTTGTTCCAAAGTACGCCTCGATTGCTAACTATACTGAACTTTCCTCGAAAAACTGAAGCTCTGATTATAGGTGTAGAAGCAACAGTGGGCACTACCAGGATGTTACGCAAGCAACAGCCTTAGCAAGTTAATTGCAAAAGGTCCGGTATTGTCTGTTATCGATGTTGTTATAGTGAACTAGGAGGACTGGGATGCGGGCACACTTTGGGCCTTGTGCATGATCAACGTACCTTTCGGTGACGGCACGTCCTGTCTCCCACGGACGCATTGAGCCAGGAAATAAAAGAGCATATCCGCCTTCCATGACTAGGGAATGAAGCTGGCCCCTTCTGTTAGTATCTTCTAAATTCTTGCTGTGAAGCTAGGCTATATTTTGCGAAAATGTCTACCCACGACAACTCGCATTCCACAGAACTTACTTCCACCTCCCCGCAATTACCATTTCATGAATACGTAGAGGCAGATGATGTGAGCACCTGCTCGATCCCTTTTGTAAGTCGTACAGTTCTTTAACCTTACCTACAGGTATCGTCTGATGTGGGAGACCTATCTTATGAAGAGGAATGGTTAGTCCAAGGCCAACGATTAGGCAAGTTGATGTTAAAATATTGGGCATAATAGTTCGAGCTACACAACAAGTCTAAGTTCGAGCGTCTCCGCGTACAAATTTGAGCATGGCCGTCGTTACCACGCATACAGAGATGAGAGTGAGTTGCCAAAGAAGCCAATGTTTACTGGGTTCAACCTTAGCATCATCTAACCATAGATTGCTGAGATGTCGGTAGAGTACTATCTCCCGAACGATGATGCTTCACACTGTGTAGAAGCAAAACAGGTCAACTACTTACGTAGATAAAATCGGAAGAGAAAGGCCGTCTCGATCTTTTTCACCATATTTTAACTCTTAGTTGCAACAACAAACTCCACCTTGCACCGATTAGCGCTACTGTCGAAGAGATTCTGGATTTAGGAACTGGCACCGGGATTTAGACTATAGACATGGGTATGCTTGGTTTCTGAGTATCCCATCCTTTTCATGGCTTTGTGCTAAACTAAACTCGTTTAGGGGATATATATCCTTCAGCAAAGGTGAGATCGATTTGGTTGGCCTAGATTAGGACTGAGCCCCCTCTGAGCTGATTGTGCGTAGATTTTGGGCAACAATCTTAGCCCCATACAACCTACTTCGTATGTGAGATCGTGCCATTCCATAACGATGATGCATCTAAACTGACTGGATAACTTACAGAGTCGCCCCTAATGTGAGATTTGAAGTGGATGATGTAGAGAATGATTGGGTTTACCGCTCAGAATTTGACTATATACACGCTCGCTACTTTGCAGGAGCGATCAAGGATTGGCCGAACCTATTACGCCAAGCATTCAAGTACAAGATACGCATTTTCTTTGGTTACCCGTCCGCATGCCTATACGGACACTGATGCGGCGATAGGTTCACTAAACCAAGGGGCTGGGTGGAGTTCCAAGATTTCGAAATGCAATTCTACACGATTAACGGGGAATTCAAGACCGGCTGTCCGTTAGATAAGTGGTGTACTGAAAGAATTGAAGTCCTACGGTCTGTTGGACTGGAACCTTCTCCTGGCCCCAAATTACAACAGTGGTTCAAGGATATCGGATTTACCAATGTACAGCAGAAGGTAGTGCCCGTGCCGGTGGGTGTCTGGCCAAAGGACAAAAGACTGGTATGCATCACGATGTCTCCCTTAACGGTAAAAGACTTTTTGCTAATAGTTCTTTGTAACAGAAAACTGTAGGCGCTCTTAATTACCACCAATTCAATGACGGGCTGGATGGCATGTCGCTACGTATATTCACAGCTATGAAGGGCTGGCAGCCGGAAGAGCTACGGGAATTTCTGGCTGATGTGAGGAAGGATCTTAGAAGCCCTCGACTACAGGCACAGCATAATTTGTAAGTACGGCGACTTGTCAACTTGTGATTTTCGTCTGACCCTAGCCTTAGTAATGTGGTGTATGGACAGAAACCAGAATGATTTCACCATCATCGCCTCCATAGAAGAAAAACAAAAAATAAAGGCTGAAGGAACAAAAGAACGAAGATGCACCGGTGTATCCCTTGTCAAGATTCCACGGGTTCAAGTGTTGTGAGGTCTTTGCAGCGCATGATTATTATTGATATTGGCCACTTTCTAATATTCTAGATGCAACTCCTGTCGAATACGAATAATACGAAGAGTACCTGGAATAGAAGTCCACAACCTCGGTGTCAGATAGTCCGGTTCAGAATTAGCAAGCTGCAGAACTCCAGATTTCCCCACAATATCACTCTCTTGACTAGAATGGTATCCGTTTACCCCACTTCAGGCCCGGATTGTGGAGAAAAGCTGGGGTCAGAATGACGCTGTACTGCGCCGGCCCCAGGCAGAAGGAGTGTAGATAACGCTCGGGTTTTCCGAGCATGACGATCACCATCTCGGTGTTGTGTTTGCCGGCCCATTCTAGGCTATTCATAACCCAAATGCTTGGCTATGATGAAAAATATTCATTAAGGGAGATTTTCTCTCCCCTTTAGCACTATCAAGGTGTAGCTCAAAACTTCAACAATGCAAACACGCCTTCTTTGTTTGGCAGCCCTGCTGCTCCCACAGTATGGACTGGCAGCCGATGACCAAGTAGGAGCGAAGATCGACTACGGCACATTCGAGAATCCCGCCGCTAGAGTTCGTCCTCGCTTTCGTTACTGGCTCCCAGATGCCAGTGTAGATCCGGCTATTGTTCAAAAGAATATCAAGGAGGCCGGTATAAATGGTGCTGGAGGCGTGGAGTTTCTTCCCTATTATGACTATGGTAATACTGTCCCAGGTGCGGATTGGGTCACCTATGGATTTGGGACGCCCGCGTTCGTCAAGATCTTCAAAGCTGCCCTCCAGGCTCATAAAGATGCTGGTTTGGTGATGGACTTCCCTTTGGGACCGAATCAGGGACAAGGCGTACCAGCGAGTCCCGATGATGAAGGGCTCCAGTGGGACTTAGTAGGTACTTCCGTTACAATACATGATCATAATGTGTCCTAACATGCGCGTACGTAGTCTACAGCGTCGATCGCCGTTCCTCTGAATGGATCATTTCATGGACAGCTCCCTGGCTGGGGCACTGGAGAGCTGGTAGCATTGGTTTCAGCTCAAGTGTTATCGAGTCGAAATATCTCGAATCCTACAAATAGCTTGATTCCTGGCAGTGAAGTTCAGCCCGGCGCTGTACAGTATGTGTTAAAGAATTCAACCTTGCAAGAGTGGTCACAGAACGTTACGTCCATGGGAGAGGTGAACCTGAGTTTTCCTAAGACAGGCGGCCAGGGATATAGGCTATTTGCCTTCTACCAACGCCGGACGTTACACCAAAATGTACCGAGTACTTCTAACATGTCGGGGACAATCTTCAACGGTGGATCATATGCTGTTGACCATTTCAGTGCGAGGGGTGCGGAAACTGTTACTCGATTCTGGGATGAGTATATCCTTGAAGATGAGGTCAAACAGATGCTCGTTGCAGTCGGTAATTATGGTAAGTTGATTATGCCTAGAAATCGAGGAAGAGGTAAGGCTAACTATGCGCAGGCTGGGAGGATAGCATGGAGATCAAGTCAAATGTGTCCTGGACGCCGGATCTTCCTAACATCTTCCAGAAGAAGCATGGCTACAACATTAAGAAATATCTGCCACTTATAATTTACAAGAATAACAACATCGGTATACAATCGACCGCCCCTGGTACTATCCAGTGTCTGCTAGATACTCCCGATCAGGGGAGTGGGTATATCAACGACTATCGGTCTGCGTTAGTGGAAGGGTACAGGGCATATTTGCAGGGGTTGACACAATGGGTGAATGGCATGAATCTCCAATACTCTTCCCAAGTGGGATACAACCTCAATATCGATGTACTAGCAAATGTTCCAGATGTGAATGCGCCGGAATGCGAAAGTCTGGCATTCAGTGACAGCGTCGATGGATATCGTCAATTCGTTGGACCCGCAACTCTCGCCGGCAAACGTGTCATCTCCAATGAAATGGGTGCAGTCGTCGACAAGGCATACCAGCATCCAGTTACAGCGCTTTTGTGGGAGATTGGTCGGGCTGTTGCTGGAGGTGTCAACCAGTTCGTCCTTCACGGACAGACATTCTCCGGAAACTATGTCGGTACAACGTGGCCGGGTAATACACCATTCTACTATCTTTTCTCTGAATTATATTCTGAAAAACAGCCTTCTTGGAACCATGGCTTTTCGGAGGCGTTGAATTATGTGGCCCGACTGCAGTATACGCAGCAGAAGGGACAGTCTAAAGTCGATGTAGTTATCTATAACAAGGACTCGGCTACTGATGCACAGTTCGGGACGATTTATAACGAGACCGATCTGATTGAGGAAGGTATGTTAGCTATATTGATACTGGATGGTGAATGAGCGTCTCATGCTGACATCGTGTAGGTTTCACATACCTTTATCTCTCGCCCGATAACTTTGCTTTGCCACAGGCTCGTGTTGAGAACAGCACACTCGCCCCCAATGGCCCCGGATTCCGTGCAATGATCATTCCCAGTTCAGGTAACCTCACAATCGAAGCAGTGAGACATATCAAGAGGTTCGCTCGTAATGGTTTGCCTGTGATCCTGTCCGGTGGGCTACCAAATGCGTTCTACACAGGGGACGGAAACACAGACAGTCTCATGAAGGAGATATCTTCCTTGAAAGAAGTGCAAAACGTCCACATTGTATCTTCTGGCCAAGCATCCAAACAGTTAAAATCGCTAGGGATTGTGCCGCGGGTACAGCTGCAAACTAGTGGCACGTGGTATTCTACATGGCGCTCTGACGCGGATGGCGTCGACTATCTTTTCGTCTTGGGTGATACAGTGGATACTGTTGGTAGTGTAAGTGTTGCCACGGCAAAGCGCCCATATGTCCTCGATCCTTGGGCTGGGAGCCAAACTCCCGTGCTTGAGTACCAAGAAAATTCTGGCCGAACTATAGTGCCCCTTCGTCTTGCTGCGAACCAAACGGCTATCATTGGCTTCAGCGGCACGCCCAGCAACACTTCACTATATGCTACTCAGGTACCATCCTCAGTCGTTGGCTACAAGTACGGCAACCGAACAAACAATGTCCAATTGCACGTCTCGTCCGGTTCAACCGACCAGACTCTGAGCTTATCCAACGGGAAGACCATATCCCAACTAACGACCAAGGATCCTGCCCCAGGATACCAGCTCACCAACTGGACCCTAACAGTCGAACATTGGGAACGCCCAGACAATCTATCCGACGCAACAATAATCGCAGTCAAGCACAACACAACCCACGAACTCACCTCACTCATCTCTTGGCAAGAAATCCCCAGTATCGCCAACGCCTCCGGGGTTGGCTACTACACCACAACCATACCATGGCCCCCAACAAGCAAAACAGCAGATGGAGCCTACCTATTCCTCCCGCAGACCGCAAACGCAGCCCGTGTCTATGTGAATGGCCATAGACTCCCAGCTTTCGATTTCCAGGCACCGAAACTTGACCTCAGTGCCTACCTCGTCTCCGGGGAGAATGAATTGACTGTAGAGGTACCGTCGACTATGTGGAATTATCTTCGGACCATGTTGGGTGAGCTTTACTCGGCTGGTTCATTACCCCAGCTCGAGGGGTCGGGTCCCGACCCGGTTGATAATGGGTTAATTGGGGTGGCGAGCGTTGTGCCTTTTGTTAGTGTTAGCCTTAATTTGTCTTGATGTGATCGTGGTACTGTTTCAGATGGTTGAATATATTGAGTATATGATTCCTGGATTGTTGGCGGAAGGTATATGCTTCAGTTTTATTGTCCTTTTTCCCTCGATTTAGGCCTAACAATTCGCTGGGTCAAAGTTTTCTAGCATTCGTCGTTGATTTCGTACAGCCGAACGTGAATTAATGGGGTTCTTCTGGGTGTGATGTGGTTGTCATGGGGTGTTACTGCCTCAGGCTTACAGTATTACTACACATTCACTTCACAAAGAACTGCGCCTTCCTCTCCTGAGCCATTACCATTCTCTTCCATTGTTCCTCTCTATTCGTCTCATGTCCCCGATGTGCATAGAGCCCGTATTGTTCCGGTGGATACAGGTATCATTCCGATAGAGTGTATCGCTAACCAGCCCAATCTCCCGCCAGAGGTCTCACATATGCGACGAAGAATGCCAGCTTGTCACTTTCGACTTTAAACGAGATTGCCAGAAAAGGATACTGGGAGAACGACCAACTGTCCCACTGCAGCCCAAGATTTGGCGGCAAGTAGCTACGCGCAAAGACCATGTCGTTGTTCGATGGGAGACGATCTACACAATAAACGCACCCCTATGACATTATACACCGATGCGCTGGCTCCGATTTCAATCTGGTACAGGATTTAATAAGCAGCAACTGAGCATTCTTCGCATTCAGTAGTCTAGCAACAGTGAGCCAACGACACCGTGTCTATCTAGGACTCCGTTGTGCCATGGCGGGCAGCGTTGATCCGGACTTGCCCGAGCCATGGACTGTGAAAGATGTGAGTCAGGCTGTTTTCGACCAGAAAATCGAATAGTACATTTAATAGGCATACAGATAGTTTGCGTATCGATCATTGGCCCGTTAATGCTGGCAGCCTTTGTGGAGTGGCTTCTCTTTCTCGCGGCATTCTTATATTGCCTCGTAAAGGTGTACCAGAAAGCCGAGCATTGGAGTATCAAGGTCCTTGCTGTGACAATGATGATACTTTTCACCTCACTGAGGTAAGTTGGGGCATGAAGAACAGTGCAAAGAACTATCGGTGACCAAAGCATACTGATCGCTACAGAGGAGTTTTCCTCCCCATTATGGTTGTCACCCTCCCTTTACCACCTCAGCTCACTCAGGAATTCTCTCCTGAGTTCGTGTCCTTCCTCCAATGGTTCGCATTTTGGACATTCTCGGCCTTGCTCACCATCCCCTGGTTGTTCTGCGTTCATAGACTGGTCACAACTTCCATTGGAAGAACTCAGAGGATAAAGGAAGTCTTAGATGAACGGACAGCACCGAAGACTGTGATTGTTATGCCGGTATATAAGGAGAACCCTACAGTCCTGATAAAAGCGATCAATTCGGTTGTCGACAGTGACTACCCGTCGAATTGTATTCATGTATTCTTATCGTATGACGGGGTCATTATTGATGAGCCTTACCTTCGAGTGATCCACCATCTTGGGATACCGATTTGCCTGGATACCTATCCGCAGAGTATTGATGTGACGTATAGGGGCGCCCGAATCACCGTGTCTCGCTTCAAGCATGGTGGCAAGCGATATTGTCAAAAGTTAACATTCAAATTGATTAGTCAAGTATATGAAGAGTACAACACCAAACATGACGATCTTTTTATGTTATTCATCGATTCCGATTGCATCCTGGATCGACTGTGTCTGCAGAACTTTATGTATGAAATGGAGCTGAAACCGGGAAGCAAGCATAACATGTTAGCCATGACCGGGATTATCACATCAACTACAGAAAAGAATAGTCTCATCACGGTGTTGCAAGACCTGGAATACATTCATGGTCAGCTTTTCGAGCGTTCGGTGGAATCGGGCTGCGGCGCTGTGACCTGTCTGCCTGGCGCATTGACGATACTGCGATTTTCCGCCTTTCGAAAGATGGCAAGGCATTATTTTGCAGACAAAGCGGAACAATGCGAAGATCTATTTGACTATGCCAAATGCCACTTGGGAGAAGATCGGTGGCTCACACATCTCTTTATGATCGGAGCGAAGGAGCGATATCAGATCCAAATGTGCACCAGTGCGTTCTGCAAAACGGCGGCGGCCCAGACCTTCCGCACTCTCTTGAAGCAACGTCGCCGATGGTTCCTTGGCTACATTACAAACGAGGCGTGCATGTTGACAGACATCCGGCTATGGAGACGGTATCCCTTCCTGTGTTTGGTTCGCCTCATGCAAAACACTATCCGCACAACTGCGCTCCTCTTCTTCGTCCAAGTGATTGCCCTCATGACAACCTCCAGTCGGGTGGCAGATCTCCCTATTGGATTCATCGCAATATCGCTGGGGCTGAATTACGTACTCATGTTCTATTTCGGGATCCGACTGAAGCGATACAAGGCCTGGCTCTATCCGCTGATGTTCGTTGTCAACCCATTCTTCAATTGGCTATACATGGTGTACGGGATTCTCACTGCGGGACAGCGAACCTGGGGAGGGCCGCGAGCTGACGCTGCGAAAGCCGATGAGCATACCTCGCCCGAAGAGGCTGTTGAGCAGGCTCGGGCACAGGGTGATGAGCTCAATGTCATGGTTGATACTTTTCGATCCAAAGCCGACAAAAAGGGGTGTTCCAATCGAGCTTCGGAACAAATCGATCGCCGTCTTTCTGGATTGCCAGGGCCTCGCAACAGCCACCCTGCCAATCATGACGAGGCGATGGTACCACTCGCTAGTCTGATGACCTCACCCCTGGATGTTCCCCGAATCGGCTTACATCCGAATTGCTCTTCCGACACTGTGGTCACGGACTCTAGCAGCAACTCTATATCGTTACCCTTGGATGTAGAGAGCTTGATGAACGAAGAGGATCGAGCGAAGCGGTCAATGGCTCTCCAAGTACAAGAACTTGCGAGTACTCTTGAACAGCTCGCAACAGGCCCCGACAATGGCGATATGTATACACCAAGGCCAGCGATGCTACAGTCTGAAGGATTCGAGACACATGTTGCATCGGAGCAACCTCGAGGTGCCCCTGAGTTTACCTCCTTCCAGAGAGATAATACCGTTCACTGTATGCCGCCCATGCAGCCACAAGGAGCGCTGCAGCCGACATCTGCTCAACAGTCAGTTGAGCTAGGTGTCATGACGGGGAACCATCGCAGTCTTCGACCCTCTCGGGGTCGACGCCTACAAAAGACACCGAGGCCAGCGTCACAGTCAAGGAGCCCTGAGTACATGGTGTGACATCACAAGGAAAGAGTCGCTGGGAAGGTCCATTTTCCATGAATACTATCATAGCATGCAATTTTCTCACGTTGGATACCGGTGGGAGGTGGGAGGGCGCGACGAGTTTACGATGTCTATTAATTAGCGAGGAAGAGAGCGGTTCTTCTTTTGATCTATTCTTAACTTGTTCTTTGGGGGCCTCTTTCCCTCCCCGAGGGATACTCTTAGATTATGCCGGCCTACAATGGATATCATTATCTCATCGGTTCTCCTTTGTGCTCGCTGCCGATAGTCGGTGACTACTATTGAGAGATTAAGACAGGTCATTAATCATCGGGCACATGTGCAACCGCTGCACATGAGTAGCAAACGGTACCTTTTTTGGAGAAATTGGCTCCTAATTCTCCAATCATTGGGGGTACATTAGGTAACTGTTACGTGACGGTGAGTCCAACCCGGGGGTGGCCAAGACTCTCAGGCACCCAATGGCGTACCCCAGGGCCTAAAATCTCTGAGGGGTGGATTATCGATAAGAGCCAGCAAGCGGAAGACCAGGAAGCAGCAAACCCCGCGGAGGGCGGTGAAGCATATTGCCCCAGCCCACCGCAGGCGGTCAGCGGGGGAAGAATCGAGTGGTAAGCGCTCGAAGGTTCCAAAGGTCAGCGCCATCGGAGCCCAAAGGGAAGTGGTGGTATACGACTTGGGAAAAGGGAGGAGGTTGTAGCCAGATCACTCGGAATAGAAAGCTGGAATGGCACGGGTTTGTCCTATATATAGATCCATTATCATCTCTTCCTTCCCTCGTCTTTTCTCCCTTTAAATCCGGTTTTGATCTGATCGTATGGAACTGCGCAGTACAAAGTTGATAGTGGATCTTCAGTGACCAGCGAGAGAAGCCCACGTCTGGATTTTTTAGAATTTTTTTTTTTTTCCAACAATTTTTTTCGATTTTCTTACCTGAGCCACACTTTGCATCACCGCCCGATAGTGGCGCTTTTCAACGTGCAAATTCTCCCCCTCCAGCCCTCTTTCTTCGCTCCCCCAAATCTTTTCATCCTATCTTTTGTGATACCACTTCCTATCCATTACACCTCCTCCTTCTCCTCCATCACTTTTTCTTCCCTCCCACCCTACCTTCCCCGATCACATCTATCTCCTTTTTCACCATGAGTGTAGTCGGAATCGACTTCGGTGCCCAGAGCACCAAGATTGGTGTCGCCCGTAACAAGGGTATCGACATTGTGCGTATCATGCCTTCCCCACCTCCAGCGCTGCTTCTTCTTTTTTTTTTTTTTCCCCGTCTTAAACAACACCCTTTGCTTTAACCATCTTGAAATGCAAAGACTAACCATCGATGCGACTCAATCTAGATTACCAACGAAGTTTCCAACAGATCTACTCCGTATGTCCACCCTTCTGTTAATATTCCGCCCCGCCTTGGCCAACAATGAGCTGAAAGGCGTGGGTCTCTCCATCTAGCCATACTGACTGTGTATGATGCTCAGCTCCCTCGTCTCCTTCGACAACAAGTGCAGATACCTCGGTGAGGCTGCTAAGACACGAGAGACCTCCAACCTGAAGAACACTGTTGCAAACCTCAAGCGCCTGATTGGCCGCTCATTCAGCGATCCCGATGTTCAGATCGAGCAGAGCTTCAACACTGCTACCCTCTGCGATGTGAACGGCCAGGCCGGTGTCGAGGTCAACTTCCGTCAGCAGAAGCAGAAGTTCTCGGCCACTCAGTTGGTCGCCATGTACCTGACCAAGATCAGAGATATCACTGCCAACGAACTGCAAATCCCCGTCTCCGATGTCACCATCAGCGTTCCCGCCTGGTTCACCGATATTCAGCGCCGGGCCATGCTTGACGCTGGTGAGATTGCTGGTCTGAAGGTGCTCAGACTGATCAACGACACCACCGCCACCGCTCTCGGATACGGTATCACTAAGCTCGATCTGCCCGGCCCCGAGGAGAAGCCTCGCCGCGTCATGTTCGTTGACATCGGCCACAGCGACTACACCGCTTCGATTGTTGAGTTCCGCAAGGGTGAACTGAACGTCAAGGCCACCGCCTGCGACCGCCACTTCGGTGGTCGTAACTTCGATCTTGCTCTCACCGAGCATTTCGCCAACGAGTTCAAGGAGAAGTTCAAGATCGATGTCCGTAAGAACGCCAAGGCTTGGGCTCGTACCCTCGCCGCCGCTGAGAAGATGAAGAAGGTCCTTTCGGCGAACCCTGCGGCCCCCATGAGCATCGAGTCTCTCATGGAGGACGTCGACGTTCGCGCCATTGTCAAGCGTGAGGAGCTGGAGACCATGGTTCAGCCTCTCCTGGAGCGCGTCCTTGTTCCCATCGAGCAGGCCCTTGCCGAGGCCAAGCTCAAGCCCGAGGATATTGACAGCATTGAGATGGTTGGTGGCTGCACTCGTGTCCCTGCCATCAAGGAGGCCGTTTCCAAGTTCTTCGGCAAGACCCTTTCCTTCACCCTGAACCAAGATGAGGCCATCGCTCGCGGTTGCGCCTTCGCCTGTGCCATTCTCTCTCCCGTTTTCCGTGTCCGTGACTTCTCCGTGCACGACATCGTCAACTACCCCATCGAGTTCACCTGGGAGCAGTCTGCCGATATCCCCGACGAGGACACTAGCCTGACCGTCTTCGGCCGCGGCAATGTCATGCCCTCGACCAAGATTCTCACTTTCTACCGCAAGCAGCCTTTCGACCTCGAAGCTCGTTACGCCAACCCCGAAGAGCTTCCCGGAAAGACCAACCCTTGGGTGGGCCGTTTCTCCGTCAAGGGCGTCAAGGCCGATGCCAACGATGACTTCATGATTTGCAAGCTCAAGGCCCGCCTGAACTTGCACGGTATCCTCAACGTCGAGTCCGGCTACTATGTCGAGGACATGGAAGTCGAGGAGCCCGTCGAGGAGGATGGTGATGTAAGTTGGATTCTCATTTTAATACGTGCACCCTGTTGTGCTAACATGTGACTAGGCCATGGATACCGATGCCAAGGGTGACGAGCAGCCCAAGAAGACCCGCAAGGTCAAGAAGCAGGTTCGCAAGGGCGACCTGCCCATCTCCGCCGGCACCCCTGCCATTGAGCCGTCCGTCAAGGAGGCCTGGATCGAGGGCGAGAAGGCCATGTATCTGCATGATAAAACTATCGCCGAGACCGACGAGAAGAAGAACGAGCTTGAAACTACGATCTATGATATGCGTGACAGGAAATATGGTCGCTACGCCAGATTCCTGGAAGATGAGGCGAAGAAGCAGGCCTTCGACGACAAGCTGGATGAGCTCGAGGTAAGTTCATACTCCTTTCCTGGCTAGGTCGCCATATCTGTGTGCCCGTGCTAACTTTGATCGTGTAGAACTGGCTGTACGATGATGAGGGCGGTGCTGACACTACTCTCGACGTTTATGCTGGCAAGCTCCAGGAGATCAAGAAGCTGGTGCAGCCATTCGAGGAGACTCTTGAGGATGAGCGCCAGCAAGCTCTGGCTGAAGAGCTCGCCAAGAAGCGCGCGGAGGAAGAGGCCAAGCGCGCGGCTGAAGAGCAGGCCAAGAAGGCCGCGGCCGCTGCTATGAATTTTGAAGAGCGGAATGAAGCGGTGATGACGGATGCTCCTGCCCAGGACGAAACCCCCGCCGCGGGCGACAAGCAGTAAACGCCTCGCTCCCGTTGCATCGGCTCTTGCCTCATCCTTAATATTCTATTATCATTGAACACAGCTGTCGCATATGCAGACTGATGCCAATACCTATGAACCAAATTCAATGATGTTGTGCGCTCGATTGTTGTTTTATTTATCATTACGATGCCCCACCCGTTTTTCTTTCTTTCTTTTCGATTGTCGACATGACCTGGCAAAATTCATGTAGAACGAGATTTCTTTTGGTTTTCGTGTGTCGCCGATGGCGTTTCTGTTTCGCCTGGGTCCTCTGCGAGGATATAGGTGAGGTCGTGCCCGACCGCTGATTGATCGCCGGGAATTCTCTCGACTCCCGAGTCCACTGTTGGCATATTCGCTTTCATCCGCTGGGGACCGTTCCCATGGAAGGGCGCACCGAGGCACGCGAGACGGAACCAGAACATAGATATGACATGTGTGGATAGACTTTGGCTCAGCAAAAGTAAATGATTGCCAATACACAAAAGACCCCAAGGACAATAATGCCTAATCATCCTTTCCGGCTCTGCCATGTGTCATTCCAATACTCGTACTTTTCGGATGAAGGGTGGTGCTGCCCCGTAGATCATAGGCACCCTTCGCCTCGTCGGCCGTGTGGGAGGACTACGTTCAGAATCGTAGTCCTCAATATTGATTATTTAGGGATAGAATCCGTATGGATGTAGTCGCTGAATCATCCACAGGGGCTTGCCGTACTTAATATAAATAAGTTTGCACGCCATTTCTAGAAACGTATCGTTTTCGCCAATTGGATTCATTCGAAGCTCTATAACATGCGAACAGGCAATCTGCCCGTTATATAAACAACATACAATCCAATCAAGCAGCTTCATTCATATAATATAACTCAACTAACGTCTACCGAGATCGATACGTAGGATCAGTATTGATCGTTTGGGGAAACGGAGTGATCAGGTGACCGACCCCATTCCCAATCATGTGTTCCAGCTCTCCCCAACGCTGACGGCTACATATTCAGGATCCCAAAGACCGGTGAAAAGAGCATTCCTTCGCCAAGATGAATGACATTAGGCAGCACCCATTCGAGTCGAGACAGGTCGCTGGGGCGCATGCAGCTATTCGCTTTGCCAAGAACACTGGATTCCAACTCGGCCAGGAGTCGGAGGCGAAGGTCACAACGACTTTTAAGTGGGACCCGGGCTGCTTGGCAGGTTGCCAGAGAGAAAAAAAGGGGGGTTGTCATGATGGGGATATTCGACGATCGTAGAAATGCATCGTTTGGTACGATTGGACAATCTTGACTTATTCTTGTGGTCTAGTTGAATCCTGTGCATGAATGCGTGGGCATTTCAGGGGCGTTGAGCACTCATGTGCCTCAGGTTAGTCCTTGGGCTCTAGTTGAGACCCAAAACGGAAGGCCGGTAGTGGCCGATGCATGAGATACGGCATTACTTAATGATGGATCCGGATGCTTTTGTGCATAACAATGGTATAATGCAGACAGGGGATCCAAGCGCTGATGAATTTAGTGTGATGGCGTCGACCGTCGTGGTATATATGCTCGACTAAAGCGTCTAGTCTGGCGCCCTAAACCAGCCACTGGTACCGGAACAGGAGCGACTGTATTACACCCGACGTAGGGCTGGTTCTGGCTCTTACGAATACGACACAGTTTTGAGAGTTTGAGAGGTGTCAACTGTCAGGTTGCTCACGATGAAACACCATGGCAGTCCGTGATGACGAATGGATGATTGAGATTGATTGATTGTATATGAATGGAGTACGTGAATGTCACCTTCTTTTTTTTTTTTGTTTAATTTTATTTCTCTAGGGGCATAAAGTTCCCCATCGTCGAGTAGTATGGATTACATTTGGAGTACTCAGGGCACTCAGGCATGCCCTGCTACTCCCTCACTGGACGGAGGTTCGTAGTGGAGCATCCCTAAAGCGGGCAAATTGGCACGCGAGGTGGCGGCACTTGGGGAAGTCCCGTACCGATACTTCCTTAGTACTGTCAGTACTAAGGAAGTAGTATCATCTCTGCGAATACCTATGTAAGGACTTATTTCATCGATATGCCATATCTCTGAATTGTGACTCCCCAGTGCCGTGGAAACTTGGAAGGGAGGCCAAAAATCCCTTACGGATGATGCGCAGGAATTTCTACCCTTTCAGGGTCCCCCCAGGGTCTTTTCTCGCTGGCAATGAATTTCTCCTGCCACAGTGGGGACTTTTGCGTGAACCCAATTACCTTTCGCCCCGCTTTAAAGAACTGAAGCTGCAGTGAACTGGTTCCCGCTAATTTTGCCATTTTTATGTCATTGTATTTTATTTTAATTTTTTTATTTTAATTTTTTTTTTCGGCTTTTGCGACGGATTAGTCGGATGGTAAGGATACCCAAGGTTCCTCTCCCTTCCGGTGCGTGGTCTTGTACTGGGCAATTTTCTTGAGTCTGCTTCTTGGAAAGATTTTGATTGTTTTCTTTCTCTCGTTATTTTATCACTTCTCTTTACATTCTTAAGCTCTCTTAGAGTTTTCCCCCCAAGGTTTAGCTTTGCATCGTTTCTCCCTGTTTCGGTTCCTGATCGACGGTACTTGACAGGGATACTACTCTTTTAGGAATATAATATTGGCTCCCTCCCCGGATCCCTCGTGCGCAAAAACTGCTGGTCCACAATCGACTTCCTTCTTACTGTTGCTCTATATACACGTATTTACTCAACTCATCAACCGACGGGTGATCGCTAGTTCTCCCGGTCACTATGCGCACCGAGGCGTGATCGATCTGCTCGCTACCCGATCACCCTCCTTCCTCCCTTCTTCCACCAGTTCTCGAAATGCACCTTTGGGGCCTATTGGCTCTCACCGGTGCGATCTGGTCAGCGCGGACCGAGGCGTCCTCTGGTTTGTCGACGAGCAGCGCGGAGCAGCATTACGGCAAGGTCGTCAATCACGACGACCCGGACCCCTTGTGGGACAAGTACGGCTTAAACAAATCCGAGGAGTTCAAGTATTTCCATGAACCAGGCCACGATGATATTCTCGGCCACTATGATTCCCGCTACTTTACCGAACCCGTGGCCGACGAGGAACGGCCGCAGACAATGACCCATATGGTGCGCGCCTATTTGAATTTCTTCGACGAAAATGGATTAGAGACGTGGATCGCACATGGGACGTTGCTGGGATGGTGGTGGAACGGCAAGGTATTTCTCGTACTGGGTATGCGTTTGCGGGGTATCACTAACTGGATGCGCTTGCTTTCTTTTTCTAGGTCATGCCCTGGGACTGGGATATGGATACTCAAGTACCGGATACCACTTTGCGTCAGCTTGCCGACCGCTATAACCAGACGGTCGTCCGATACTCGACCAAACATCCCGACGAACAACGGACCTACCTCCTCGACATTAACCCCTGGGCTCGTCAACGCGAGAATGGTATGGGATTGAACATCATCGATGCGCGATGGATAGACATGCAAACGGGGCTCTATATCGATATCACCGGGTTGAGTAAAATGAACCCGGAGAAGCCGAACCTATGGATAGATAAACACGAGCACCAGTACAGGACGGAGGATATCTATCCCCTCCGGAAGACCACCTTCGAAGGGGTTGCGGCCAAAGTACCCTTTGAGTACGATGCGATTCTGATCGAGGAATACGGGAAGACTGCCTTGACCAGCATGCATTTCCATAAGTGAGTTTTCTAGCTTCCTCATCATTTAGATAGTGCTAATCGCATGCAGCCATACGTGGATTCCCGAATCGGAGGAATGGATCCCCGATGATCAAGTGGCAGATGCCATCGACGACGATAAACAGTACGAGTAGCGTGAATGCGCCATTCACGCAGCCAACCGGATGACCTACCCGGACATTGGATGCGGTCATATACCCTCATATATATCCCGATATATATACATCGTGATCTTTGATGTAGCTTCGGAGTTTCTAGGAACTGGTATCTTCATTGGGCGGCGTACGGAGAGACTCTTTTTTTGTGTTCGTTGGACCCTATTTTGCATGCGTTGGTGTAGGTTTGGCTTATATATTTATGTGACATTCCGGCTACTGAATCAGCTTTGCGTCCGATAATGCGCCTTGTGTAACAGAGAACCCTGGACTCGGGACCAAATGGTGTTACTAAAGTCAATAGAAAAAAAAAAAAAAAAAAAAAAAAAAAAAAAAAAAAAAAAAAAAAAAAAAAAAAAAAATTAAAAATTGAACGAAATAAAACGAAACCAACTTGGATACTCTGGAGAAAAGTAGCCAAAGCTTTTTTTCCATGCTAATGATCATTTGATGACGATGAGCAGGTGCCCACAGTGACCTTGTGAGGGGACAAGGAAAACCGATGGGGTATTCGGACATGATGATCGGCAATTAAGTTTGGTTGATCGCGGTTGTCGATCGTCAGGGGAGGGGGCATACCTGGCCTGAGGCCGCCAGCTGAGTTATCTCCACGTGAACACACAGCTTCATGGTTTATCTTCACCAGACAACGCTCGATACAGCTGGCTTGCAAGAAGTTCATCGGGGATTCATCTAATCATCCCCACGACCTGTGATTACAGGCGATAAAACACCTTTCCCTCAAACAATCGTCGTGCGGTGCGAAACACGCTGACGCTCTCCACGGATGTCTCTCCGTTCTCGTGCGTTTCCAGCCTCGCCTCCACGTCCATGAGTCCATTGGGATGTTTGAGCAGCCACTTGACAGTGCTCATTCTTGGGTCAATCATTATGATTTGCTGTTCTGAAGAGACATTCTGGTGGGCATGTGCGGCTTCTTGGCGCCGAAGATCCCTTGCCACCGTTCCCGGTATGCTGAGCGCGGTGCCGAGACAGACAGCTCCCGTCAACTGAAGGCTGGGATGAGGTTGACCCAGGCTGAAGGGTAGTACTTCAATATCAACCTCGTCAACGCGGCCTTCTGTGTCCACCTTGCGTCCACCTGGATACAGAAGGACGATTTTAGGGGTGCCTCTAACCCGCCCCGCTGTAGCAGTGTCTCGGGCGAGACCAAACCGCACGGCCCCGGCAACGCGGATCTCCTCGATGATTGCGAGCGAGAGGGGAGATGTGGGCTCTGAGCCAAGATAAGCGGCGGGCATGGTACTCGAGTCAACTAATACGAAGGGGTTCGCAGCATCTACTAGACTGACTCGAACGATAAACCGTGTCGGTGTGTGGGCTGAGTTCATGGTGAGCATTTCCTGCTTGGCTCCGCTGGGAAACAGTCTTCCCGTAATGCTACCACCTGGCTTGATGAAAGTCATTTGAATCGGACTCGCTGTGCCTCGAACCCCATCTATCCTGTAGTCGCCGTCTTCGCAAAACTTGCCGTCCGGGGTGACGTGGACGGTTTCGACCAGGATTTGCTGAGTGTTGTTGTTAAACACTCTGATGTCTATCTGCCAGTTTAACAATGGTGTCAGAACGTGAACCAAATGACGTGGAATGCAATCTTACTGCTCTTTGTCCCTGTATGGTTGGTCTCACGAGCTCTTCGTCCAGAGCAAACGGCCCTACCCCAGACGCCATGTTGCCACAATTCCCTGTCATGTCAACCTGAGCCTGATCCGGGGCAACCTGGACAAAGGTATAGTCGACGTCGAACCCGGGTATTTTAGACTTGCGAATTACCGCCACCTTAGAAGTGGTTGATGCCGCGCCTCCGACTCCATTGAGCTGTCTCTTGTCGGCTTCCGCCGAACCCAGAGCAGAGAGAAGAATTGGTGCCCAAAGGTCTTTGGACGAAGGGAGGTCATGCTCATGAATGAACAGCCCTTTCGAAGTACCCGCCCTCATCCAGACCGCCGGAATACCCGTTCGCGCTGAATTCGAGGCGTGTGAGACGACGTGTTTGGAAATTCCCGGCATCAAATCGGGCTCAGTTCCTACCACCTAACACAGGGAGCTATTTCAGTTGAGTATTTGTGGCCAGTTCACTGCCAGTGAAGGCCTGGTGCATCTGGCGTTTTCGAACTGAAAAGGACAAAGACTTACCTACTGTTGTAAGTGGGACAGCTTTTTTTATGAAGCTGTTATATTGTGCCGTAAATTAGCATATGCTTCTCGGTCCACCCTCTTGGCAATGATGTCGCACGGCGATACCGCCCGGAAAGACCCTATACATTGTATACATGGAAATCCTTGCTCCGCGGGAAGATCTGGCCCGCGGGAGATAACTTCCCGTGTGATTACCTTCAACGTCACACCTAGATAGCCAATAACGTTCCTAGCTGAGCGTGTCATTTGTGTTGCACTTAGAGAAGAAGCCCCTCCGTGCCTCTTCTACTCAATCACTTCCTTGTGATGGATTGAGAACGACTACTCCAACTGAAACAAATACCAACTAGGATCATGCGCAATTTGCTCGACAGACGGCCTGGCGGTCCTGGTTCGGGAAATGCTGGGAAGGTGCTTACTATACGAGTGTATTTCCTAGCTATCGTCACCTCAATGGGGGCGTTCCTATTTGGATATGACATGGCATTTATCGGCACATCGATTGAGTTGCACTCCTTTAAGAAGTCAGCAGGCTCCAAACAGACATCACTACACGGGTGCTGGTAACCCTAACAATCTACAGGGACTTCGGGTTGGAGCACGCTTCCAAGTCTGCCGAGGATGCCTTTGCAGCCAATATTGTATCGCTCCTACAAGCGGGCTGCTTCTTCGGATCTCTCATCTCCGCCCCGCTGAGTGACCGGTTTGGACGTAAGCTTGCTCTCGCGCTGGCGGGCCTGACCTTCTGCGTCGGAACAGCTATGCAGGTTGCATCTTTGAGAAGGGAGGCTGTGATGTTTGTGGGAAGATTCGTTTGTGGTCTCGTAAGTTTTTCACGGCTTGTCCTGGACAGTAGACAGCCGACAGCTAAACAAAGCACGTATGAGTCGGCTAGACTGACTGTGGAATGCAGGCTGTCGGCGCCGCAAGTATGCTTGTTCCCTTGTACACAGCCGAGTGTTCACCACCTCAAATTCGGGGGCGTCTTGTCGGTATATTCGAGATTGGCGTCCAGGTGGGAATGTGCATCGGGTTCTGGATTAACTACGCTGTCGATCAAACTATGGCACCGTCGACCTCCCAATGGCTGACGCCATTCGCTATTCAATTTGTTCCCGGAGGTCTTCTGACTATTGGTCTGCTTTTCCTTCCCGAATCCCCGAGATGGATTGCAAGGGTTCGGGGACAGAGTCTCGCCAGGCAATCCCTTTCGTACCTGCGGGGGCTCCCCGAAACTCATCCCTCTGTGGAGTCGGAACTCAATGATATCATTGCCCAGCTGGAGGACGAGAGGGCGAATAACCCCGGAAAGGGACTCTGGGTCGAGATTAAAGAGCTAACGCACCCGGGTATCAGAGACAGGCTCTTTCTGGGTTTCATGATTATGGTTTTCTTTCAAATGGCTGGCTCCAACGCGATCAACCATTACTCTCCTCGAATATTCCGATCAATCGGTCTGACTGGTAGTAAGACTGCCCTGATTTCGACGGGACTCTATGGAGTAGTCCGATTGGTCGCTGTTTGTATCGCCATGTATTGGATTGTCGACCGCTTTGGGCGGACGCGCATGTTGATTTACGGGACTGCTCTGATGGTAAGTCTGCTGTCTTGACCGATCCTAATGGTGCATTCGTGGACTACATTTGGTTTCTGACGATCTATAACAAAGGCATTTTGCATGTGGTTTATTGGGGCCTTCGTTAAGCTTCACGCTACCACCCACCACGCCGACGCTGACGGGCACATCAGTGCCGGGTCATATGCTACCGCCGTGTTTATTTTTGTTTACGCTGTCGGCTTCTGTTTTAGCTGGGCTGGCGTACCATGGATCATTTGCTCCGAAATCTACCCGTTGCGCGTGCGGAGTCGTTGTGTGGCCATCTGTGCGGCTACCCACTGGCTTCTGAACTTCGTCATTGCCCGCAGTGTCCCTTATATGATTCGAAATATCAAATACGGAACATATTTCTTCTTTGCCAGTTGCCTGACCCTTGCGATCCCGTTTGTAGGGTTAATGGTGCCGGAAACGAAGGGATTGAAACTCGAAGAGGTGGACAATGTCTTTCAGCATCGAACCTTTTGGGGAAGACAGAAACCTGAGTTACCTCACAGGACTCATGCTATTCCTTGTTCTGTGGATGCTGAAAAGGCTGAGACTGGGAAAGTTGAAGATGTCAAGGGGGCCGGAGTCAAGGAGGTTGAGAGGACGGATACTCTAGAGAAGTATTGGCTTAACACCCTGCCAGACTGAGCCTCGTTCTTGACCACCTTCTGTTCTCATTCGCAGTTTTGGGGGATTGCCATGTGGGCTTGGATGTCTCTTGAGTATGTCTTGACGATGAGTGTGGTATGTTAGGCGCGTAGTTTTACACTGGCCACGACCCGGGAATATGACAATAGCAGTGACTTGAGTTCTATATGTACAACAACTAGCGGATGAGTTCTACAGAGTCGTTCTCTTGTACTAAACGCTCCCTGAGAACTCAATATCATAATTATGTAGACGCTGTTATCTCGGCATGCTTCCATTCACACTGGTCACCCTTCTCCGGAGTCTCGGGTCTCCTTGCTCCGTAAACCCCGATAGTGAAGACTCGGACCTGTGGCTTATATGGCCAATCAATTAACAAGTGTTAGAATCAGGTTATCTACCCCCATCATTCATATAGTATGGTGAAAGTTTAATGCCCACCATCAAGTCATAGTATATCACATGATATCCCGCGGCAACTCCTCATCCGTGACAGCAACGGAGACTTAGTTTCTACTTGCGGCTACGAAATAGAGACATCATGACGGAGACAAGGAAGGTTCCTTCGGCAACTGTTGTCGAAGCCTTGCCCCGCACCTGCATGTTCTGCCATGGGAAGCCGTGACTCCGTCGAGACCCGAAAAGATGTGTACACGGTGGGTTGGCGCTACAGGAGGCGAGTAAAGGGACTGCTCGGTGGTGCCTTGGATAGGAAATAGCCACTATACAACCCCTACTTGTGATGGCTGGGTCGCTGTTTGCAATGGATGAAGAACGAATCGCAACCTGGCTTTTATACAACTACTCTGCTTTTCAAATGGTCATCGACTGGAGATGCACATTGACGCGCCTTCACTAAGCAACATGCGCTGATCATCCGATGAGGAATTGGAGGTCCGACGGAGAGGCTTCTGGCGCATTTCTCATTGAAAGAACTTAATCGCTGTATCAAGAACAGCCGCCGAGTCTCCAAGATGTGGACACGGATTTTCCGTTGACATTTTCGATCGGTGTCAAAATGATAAGGAGCAAGAGCATTGGACACCGTTGGCGTACCCCGGCAATCCCACCGTGAGATACACTACACTCACAGAGATCCGCAAAGCGTCTGTGATTCTAAATGGGTCTTCAAGGTGTTCTCGGAGAAAAACCCCAAAACGTGCGTCGGGGAAATGTTGCCAATTTGGCTAAATTATATTTCGATCTTCAGCAGTGGCTCGGCAACTCCCGCAACCTCCAACATTAGGCGATCGCCGAGGGACACTTCTACCCTACGCCCTCTGTTAGCGTTGTACTGTGCAACGTGCTGGTGCTTCACCTTCACCGCCCCTTTGCTGAGGGACGTCATCTCCACAGTACGGCCCCATCCATCTCGATCAATTCGGACCGGACCTGCTTCGAGTACTCCACAACTATGGCGAGACCTTCCCCATCTGTCGCGACCCTATCTGATCCTACGCCACGTATGTGGCTGCTATGATTCTCGTGCGGATTGCCGCCCAGCGCAAGGAGGAACAGCAGCAACTCTTGGAAGGTTCGCTTAACTTTACAGCATATACAATCTATCTGTACGAACGGGTGTGCAGGTAAGTCCATTCCCAAATAGGCCGAAAGGACTTTATACTGAGGCCCTAGGTCTGATATCGCCTGGATATCACCTTTCATAGCTATACCTGAGCCCGCTATGACACGATCGCACCTACTTACCTTGCACTATATAGTTCACTACTTAGATAAAATCAGCACATACGACCATAGGGTGTGGAGAACAGGGCTTCCCGTCCGCTCAGCCGTACTTAAGCCACACGCCGGGAGGTTAGTAGTTGGGTGGGTGACCACCAGCGAATCCCTCCTGTTGTATGTTTCTTTCTTTCTTTTTTTTTTGGGACTTGTCAGTCAGGCGCATGCCAGTCTACGGACCTGTTGTCCGTGTAACGAGAACCAAGAGGCAAATTGGGTCGTCGGACGTGCCAAGACCGTTGTTATCCGCGCATAGGTTCTTTTAAGAGGGGTTATAGTACTCTCGGAGGTCTTTTGACAGTGTGCGCAGTACAGACACCGTCAACACATGACACAACGCTGGCATCAGCCGTAGCTACGCTGTCGAAATAGGTTCCGTCTTCTTCAGCCAGCCCCAACACCGCGGAGCTCGATATGGACATGATCATCGAGTCCTTTACCACGGAGGGGAATTATACTCCGTAGGATGGGCCATCTCAGATACGTGGTCCCCTCTAATTGCAACTGCGTCATGGGCGGAAGAGCCGTGGTCTGTTGGGTTGGGGACCCCTCTGGGGGCTCCATCCGACCATCGGCATCGTAGTGGGGTTGTATCGTTTCAAGATATGTTGTTTGGGTTTAACGGATTCGGACAGGGCTTTCCTGGATAGAGGGATGGACCATGAGGGATGATTCGATGCCCTACCGATGCTGACGATATTTGTTTTATGTGCAGGCCATTGTCTGTCATGGACTAGTATTCGTCTCCTACTGGGGCATGTAGAATGTATTGCCGCCGGATAACAAAAGATTCTCTGTTTCTGTGTCCTCTTATCAGGGGGCGCAGCAGTGGGGATCGAGTGGCGGTGACCGTGTTTCTGGTCCCGCGACCCATCTTAGGTCTTTGACTAGACTTCCCCTTTTGGATAAAATGTGGCGTCATATACTATACATAGTATATGCTTCTGGCGATACTCCACGGTGACTGGTCCCCTCAATTTCCAGAGTATCTATGCGGTGTCCCCTCCCGAGTACCTGGTGGTCTCAACCAAGATATGCACTGAAGGAGATGAACAAAGTGTATCGTGTAGGGTTCAGGTCTTTGGGTCCACGCCATCGGTGGCGTGAGGCCATTGAATGGTGACCTGGTATTAGCCAATAACCGCCGCAAAAGCCGAAACACCAGTGGGACTTGGGCCCGACCGGCCCAATGGCACGTCGAGAGCATCGCCGAGACCGGCTGACAAAGCTTAGCGAAGCTTAGCTTCTGCAGTGGGGTTCCATCGCTAGTCGTACTAGTCTTACAACTGATCGGAGTCCTAGGATTAATCTCTCATAATAGTACTCCGTAGCCCCCCCTAGAGAGGGGCAGGCCAGGTCTCGCCATCTTTTATAAACCCCTCTCTGACCCCTCCCCCTCTTCCCTCTTTTCTCATTCATCTCATCACAGTCTCTCTTCCAATAACGACATTATCACACATCCTTCATTCACCATGGGTTGGTTCGGTATGGTTCCCTGGTCTTCGCTTTCTAGGCATATTTTCTCTTACCTATACTAACCAAATCTCAGATGACGACAGTGACCAGGCTCGCCACTACGAGCAGTTCAACAACTACGACGGTAGCGAGGAGCACAAGGCCAAGTTCAGCCATGAACTCATTGCCGGTGCCGCCTCCTTCGAGGCCATGAAGGCCTACAACGACCACTGCGAAAAGAACGGTACGTTGAATCATCTACTTTCGCTCTCTCTCTCCTCATCGATTTCGATTCCGAACGTCTACTAACAAAAGACCAAAACAGGCAAGCCCCAGAACCACGAGACCGCCAAGGAGCTCCTGGCCGGTTTCGCCGGTGCCTTCATCGACCGCGAGGTCGAGACCAAGGGTCTTGACTTTGTTGACCGGGAGCGGGCCAAGCACCACGCCCGTCAGCAGCTCGAGGAGGCCTCCTCTCGCGACTTCTACTAAGCGCCTTCGCGGGATCCAGCTATGATTGTGTTTTTGTCCTAGCTCTGTCGATATATATACCAATTTGAATACCAATATACCACGTGCCATCTGTTTCTTCTATACGTCCCACCATGATAGGTACCTAAGAAAACAGGAAAGGATCTAGATAAAATGCACCTCATCCTTATGAATGCCCCCATTCCGGACCAACTCATCCAACCGATCTTTCGTCCGCTGCGCCACGGCCCGGGCATACTCCGGACCCACCGGAAGCGACGACGGCGTTTTCTGCGGATCGACCTTCAGCCAGGCGACTGCTTTGGCATCCGGTCCCCGACTGGCCGCGCGGATCTCGTCTAAATCGGTATCCGTATATCCGCCGCCCATAATGATCGCAGCGGGGGAGTTCCCATGTTCTGTAGATGTAGTTGAACTCGTCTGACGCAGCAATGCAGGAATCTCATTCTTCGCCGTCGACGGCGAGAGGAAGAGATGCGTTACTATATGGTGGACTCCGTCAATGATGGAACGATGCAGGCTACGAGACTCATTCACACAACAATATAACCAACGAAAGATAGAAGATGGGAAATACCTTCGTATTCAGGATGCAATGCCTCTCGCACAAGATCCCCGATCTGACTCGTCTTTCCGCACACGATGACCGGTACGGCGGTCGGTAGTGTTCCGGCGGTACTTCTAAAAAGTCGGGCTGTTGCGGGGATTGCTCTGGGGAACATTTTATAGGTGTATGGTTTGCCGAGTTTGTTGATTAGATTTGGTACTGATGATCGTGTTGATGGGAGATGGGTGTTTACAAGTCCGACTCTTTCTTTGTAGTCCGATTGGGGTTTATGGTGGTTTCGTCTGACTATTAAATATGATATGCGAAGAGAAGAGTGGTGTTGGCGGCAGTTGTGTTGATAATCAATACGAGGATTATAGTTAGATACGAGGCGGGGGAGATTCGAGATTCACCGCCTTGCTGTCCATCTGGAGTTGTGGAAACTGATATTAAACGACGGACCTGTGAATTCCCTCATCCGGTTAGCTTTACCGTTTTAAATATAGCATCCCGATACACTGTTCTATAGTTACTATTTATCTTATTCTTCAAGTATATTGAAACCTCTCTTACTATTCCAAGTACTTTTTTTTCTAACTTCTTTATTTTCCCCAACTCTATCCCCTATATTCTACACTTACTCGATTGGGCTGTCGTATCGGCGATAAATATGCCCACAATACAGAGAAGGGAATTGTTCCCAACAGTCCAGAACACTTGAGCAGCCGCGTACATTTCCACATGATCGGTTGCCGCCATCATGATAAGGCCCACAGTCGTGATCAGAAGGGCGAATGCATAAGCGTGAGGTTGTCCAGAGATGCCGAGTATCTTCGCAATGGCCAAGTTGCAGACTCCTTTAATAACACTGCTGAGGATGGTGATTGTGGCTGTGAGGGAGTGCAACATAAAGGCGGATGTGACATAGGGAATGAGCGAAGTTGGTCCAAACGGTGGCGATAGCCTCGACCTCTTTGACACCGGCCTGAGTCAGTTCTTTCTGAGCCGAGATAAAGTAGTTAAATACTCCACGAGTCCCGACATGTTCGGGATCCTTGCCTTCTCTGCTGTGGGGTGGCACTGTTGAGTGTCCAGCTTTGCTATCCACAGCGTGAAATTCCACCAGACGGAACGAAGCAGAGGAATAGAATGACACGCGCAACAGAAAAGTTGATTGCTGACATGAAGGTTTTCTTGGGCAAAACAATGGCTGCCAGTGGCCATAAATTCAATGGTAAGAGGATTTTGGCTGCAGTGAGATTAATGACGCCGCCGACCACACTGCTCAAGATGCTGGCAGTGGGCATCGGAGAGTAGATGGCATAGATGGAGGAGACATACGGAGCCAGGATGCCGGCAGCGGTCGAGAGGATGCCCTTGACTAGTTGAACAAGCCACATCATGATGTGATAGATGACCAGAGCGATAGTTATCTATATCTCGGATGGCTCGTGCCAGGTGGACTCCGTGTTGATATGATACGGTGATTCCCATCCCCCGGGGTTTCCAAGATACGAGACAGGGAGTGTGCTCTAAAAGCCCTATGGCCATCTAGGTACGACGCACCGTTCCGTCACAGAACAGTATATCGACAGTGTTATCCGGTCCTCTGCTGCTCATAGCCGCTGTATCTGTCTGTTGCGATGTAAGCTGGCTTAGCTGAGACATTATATGACCTAGAACGGTTTAGCGGACGTTAGGCTAGTATAAAAGCGCAATAAACAATGTGCTCAAACCCGCTCTCCTGATTCGCACCAAGATCTGATCTTGTTTCTCCATAGGGACCATCACCCTTCGAAGCCAAGACTGCTTGGCAATAATTGCAGCATGACTCAGTCGCGACCTAATTCATCGGCCAAATGAAGCGGCCATTTTTCCCCTATTGGAAGTTCTGGCTGCTCAAATAATGCTTCCGCTCGTGGCGATTCCTGGAGTTGATGGCACGGTAGCAGGTGTTCCACTACTACACAAAATTTAGGAATGCAAATTGGCCCAAGAAAAGGCTCAGTCAATTTTGAACAAGCGGTACCCCTGACCTTTCTATCCCCATGTGAGCGCCACTCCATTTATGGAAAGCATAAATTGGAACAGGACAGTCGACATAAGCTGGATCTTCTTTATACCATATTGAGCTAATCAGTGAATCAAGATTCCCATCATATATACTGAACATCGCTTGGGGCTTCAAGTGTGCTCGACAACTGGTCGTTGGCCTAGCGACTATTAGTTTTGGCCAAAAAAAAAAAAAAAAGTGAAAAATAGCATACGTGGGATTTCACATACCCTTCTTACGACAACCAAGCCTGAATGATACCATGCTTAGAAATGCTTACGGATCAGACTATAGCAGGAACCCAGGCGGCCGCGATGCCGATGCCCTATACTGCAAAAATGTTCGGGCCGCTTACTAACGATAGTCGCTGGCGGCCGCCGAACCCGACTCCATATCCACCCTTGTGTGGCTGAATGGGCACGAATTTTGTACTTACCAATCAGCGTATTATAAACAGATATGATTTAGCTTGAACAAGACCGAATCTTCGAATCACAGATCGGCATCTTTTCAGGAACTGAGCCGGAGGGTTGCATGTCCCCTTTTCGGAGAACCATGGTCCATACCCTTCTTCTATAAAGTCTTCCGTTCCTAGATTCCTCGTTGAAGAGGATCAGGCTACCTTCTACTGCTATATCTGTCAAGTATGGCATCCAAACCCACAGTCATCATCATCGGCGGCTCATTCGCAGGACTGGGTGTTGCCAAATCCCTGTTGACAGAACTGCCGTCAGTGAAAGTGATCCTGATCAACCCTTCCGAGAAGGCCTTTTTTTGTATTGCTGCGCCGCGCATCTTCGCAGATCCAGACTCCTTCGCACCCAATCAGTACCTCATTGACATAAAGGACACTTTCCAAAAGTACCAGTCCAGCAGGTTCGAGTTCGTGCAGGGTTCGGCGACCACGATTGACCCCACTTCGAAAACTGTGTCCGTCTCAGATACGAATGTGACTCTTCACTACGATATTCTGGTCATCGCCTCAGGCAGTACCACAGCTTCGGCAATTGGGAAGGATAGTGCTGTGGTACTTTTCAAGTCAGCGAACACCGAGGATATCCAGAGCTTGATCCGATCCGGCCAGGAAGAAATTGCGAGCGCGAAAACGTTTCTTATAATAGGTGGTGGGCCTGTTGGGGTAGAGTTCGCTGGGGAGCTTGCAGAGGCTGTCCAGGGCAGGGCCGGCGCCAAAGTGATCTTGGTTACCCAGTCTGATCGTCTTCTTTCCCCACTGAAGGAGACCGCGTCTACCAGAGCAAGACGTCTCTTGGAAGATAAGAATATCAGCGTCCAGACTCAACGCAAGGTACTGCACGTCGTGCAAGACTCGATCACCAAGAAATGGACTGCTACATTCGATGATGGCGATGAACTCACAGTGGATCTTTGCATCTCAACGACTGGGGTTTTGCCGAACAATTCATTCATCCCTGCTGAATTTCTCTCCGAGAGTGGCTGGGTGAAAGTCAACGATGCATTCAAGGTGCAGAATGGCACCAACCAAACAGTAGATTCTGTCTACGCTGTGGGAGACATCACAACATATCCAGACCGTCTGGCCTCCAAGATTCGGGAACAGGTCCCCATCGTCACAGCGCATATAAAAGCTGATATCGCGGGCAGCGGTGCGCGGCCCACATACGCAGCGAAGGGCTCCCTGATGATGCTAGTGCCTGTCGGTAGATCCGGTGGTACTGGACAGCTGTTTGGCTGGGCTCCCTGGAGTTGGCTCGTGTCTAGGATTAAGGGTAAGGATTACTTTATCTCACAGGCGGCTAGCTTTCTGGGCGGTAGTTAGACCTGGAACTTGGAGTTGTATTATATTCCCCATTTTGCTATTTGTTTTGTTGTTTACCGCTTTGTTTGATGTACGTCGCGAGCACTTCTGCTAGATTAAAGATAGATAGACGGAATCTCTGATGCTCTGACAAGCTGGCACGCATGTAAAGGTACAATACAAGTCCGTAAATCGGTAGTGAGGAAGCTCAAGTGTATTGATTTGAAATGACCGAGCGGATGCTGAGTAGAATATATAAATCGAGGGCCGAGACCCTGGGTGAAAGTGGAGCACTCTGCTGCAGACCACGTGACTCAGGACTTGACCTTGACCCTGAATTACATAAATTTATGTCTTTGATCCCTGAATCCAAAGCTCCCAATATTGCATTGTTGACTTTATCTGATCATGGCAAGCCACGTGGAACCTGATAGCCCAGACATACGTGAATCTGCGGTACACGCATGCGCCCAATGTAAAGCAAGTAAAAAAAAGTGCGACAAAGCGCTACCTTCCTGCAACCGATGTTCTAGGTTCGGTGCTCCCTGAGTCTCTGTATCTCTAAGTCTCACTGGAAACTTATGTAAGCTAGACTCATACTCCGTTGCATCTATGATGAGGGAGCCGGCATAGCTCCAGCAGAGATCATATCCAAATTTCAGGCCGTCTTCGATCGCCTGGACAGACTTGAAGAAAATGTTTTTGCACCCACCGCGGCCACCAATGCCTCACCAGCCCCTCGTATGACCTTAGCTGCTAGACCAAAGGTCCCGGAAGCAGATAAATGGCAACTATCTCCTCAACTACTCCAGCCTTCGTATCTGGGTATGATTGCCGGGGGAAGCGTCTTCAGAATATTAGAAGAGAAGGACATGACGATGCGGGGGTTAGTTCATAAGTACTTCGACACAATACACAATTATATGCCCATCATGTCCAAGGTTAAGCTTAACAAGCAAATCCAGGAGGTTGAGGGTTTAAACTCCAAAAGCGCGTTCATGGTTTTAATCTTGGCTATTCTTCTTCTCAACGAGCATCCGCCAGCTGACTTCGATGGTGCACTTGGTTCATCAGAACTCTACCAAGTTTGCAAGTACCACTTCTCTTTGTTTCTGTCACTCAAAGAGCCTTCCATTGAACTGATACAAACTGGACTCTGCATCACACTATATGAATATGTACACGGCATCCCTGAACGTGCCTATGTCACGATTGGGACGTGTGCCAGGATGGTTAGCGTCCTCAGGCTTCATTCCAATGCAAATAGCGCGCCTCAATCTGCCTTAACAGAAGACTACTTTGACGAAAACGCACATGTTATTTCGGCAATGCATCTGCTGAACAGGTGAGGATGTCCCATTTATAGTTTCCCGGTCGGCTATCTTAAACTGACCAAACAACCCCATTGGTAGGCACATTTGCCTCAGCTTTACGATGCTCGGCAAGCATCTCAACTCTGAATATTCACCTATTATAGAGGCCCGGGAGCCTCCCATGACCTCAGGTATTCAACCAAGTATCCTATATACTATGAGCCTATAATAATCGCATCCATGAATAGTCATGGGACGGGCAGTGGACGCCCTCAGCCGTGAAGCCGAAGGATGTCGAATATTATGGCGTCTCCAACAGATCATTCATGAAGACATTCCAGCATGTGGGCCTGGAACTTCCTGGCCCACTCAGTTAGATCGAGTTATTGCTCTGGATACCGAATTGCAGAACATGAAATTAGGGTTCCAAGACTACAACGACGACTCCGCTTGGCGAGGCGATTTTGCAGCATATGCTGTGTAAGCTTTCCCCCTCTCTAACGTCATACAATAATGATGAAAGTAGATCCTAATAACCCACTAGAGCCTCCCTTTTCATGTTAAATCTTGTCAGCCAACAGGAAGAAATACTGCCTGTCACCGAATGCTTCGGACAGCGCCATATGGAAATCCTGACCTCTATTGAGATGCTGATGAAGATGGTGAACAGTCAACTCAGTGAGGCCGTGACCACTGGGTATAATGCTGATTTCCTGACACCGTTTTCTATGACTATACTGGCGCTTGGAGCAAATGGCCTCGAATCGATCTCATCAATGGAAATGGGAGAGGAGTGTAAATTAAACCAAAAAAGGGTTTTCACAGATTTGCTGCGCTGCCTTGGCGCGCGATGGAGACTAGGAAGTAAGATACTCCGCATCTTTCCAATGCGTTCACGACTGATTGATCATTTATAGAGGAATACTTGAAAATTATAGACGTTGTATAACCGCTGTATGACCACCGCCGTAGGAGGCAGTCAAGTCAGGCATCCTTAAATGTGCTGAACAAGAAATGATCAGTCAGGCACTCGGCGTTAAAATAGCAAGGGTTACAGGCAAGAGAACTGCACTATGTCCGTCGCGGTCCCATGCCTAACAAGGGTCCTTAGCTATCGATGGTTGTTTTAACGGGCTACTCCCTAGTGATTTCTATAATGGCATACTGCCAACTATGCCTGGATCCATGGCTATCAGCAATCCCTTAATACCATTCCTGGATTTGTCGTGTATAGTTTCTTAACAAAATTGTTCTTCATCTCCTGATACGCATTTCGAGGGCGAGAGGTGGTTCAAGCCCTCATATTTGACAACTCTTCAAAATATACTACAGTAGAAGTGAGACGAAGGTAGCGAAGAGTAATACTAGACACCGAAGGGGTATAGTTAGAGTGACAAAGAGTACTGGGCCTCAGGGGAGGTCTAGGAATATACAGTATTCGACAGGATGATACTAAGCAAAGGGAATCAAAAGTTGAGGCAGCTGAATAATGGGAATTACAAGTCAATTATGTCGAACGTAAGAATTCCACGTACTATGACCGAAGAGATCCCGGGGCCAAGCGTAAGCACCAAGCCTTAGCTTTTTTTAGATGGGTGCCTGACGAGATTTGGTCTTGACCCTTGATTTCAAATCTCAGGATGTAAATTACCTAAGCGAAAGGCAACCACCATTCGACTCACTAGAAATCGTGACTGGAAATCCAAAATACGAATCTAAACTACTAGGAACATCGGATCCTCATCCTCCCTTCGCACGACCAAAAGGGGAAATAGCAAGCGAAGAATATGGCGTTGATCAAGATCGAAATCATCTCAGATGCAATCTGTCCCTGGGTACGTGTGCCAGTCGCAACAGTCCCAGTAGCCCTAAAGCTGATCTGCCAAAGTGTTACATTGGGTATCGAAACCTGCAAAAAGCTATCTCCTTATACAAAAAGACATACCCCGGTGGCTCGAATGACACCATAGAAGTATGGTGGAAACCATACTTCATTGATCAAGAACCGCCAAAGGAAAGCATCTTAATACAGGGTCAGTCTTCAATCCTATAATAAGCACGCCACCCTGCCAGGAGCCGAAGCTAACTCATGGGCTAGACCGTATGCTCCGCCGCATGGACCCCAAAATGGTAGCAGCGGCCCAAACCCGCTTGAAGCGCGTAGGTGTGGATGCCGGGATCCGCTTCAGGTTCGGTGGGTATATCGGGTCCTCTCGACTAGCGCATCAGCTGCTGTATATGGCCGCCCGGGAGGGCAGTGAGCTGCAGTGTCGGGTTTCAGAGTTGCTCTTCCACTACCAGTTTGAGGAGGAGGCCGATATTAGCCAATTAGATACCGTGATTGCTGTTGGTGTACAGGCTGGATTGCGTGAACATGATGATATTCGAGAGTGGATAGCTAGTGGTGCCGGGATAGCCGAAATGGAAGTTGAAGCGAAGAAGGCAAGGTCTGATGGAGTCACCGGCGTGCCCCATTTTGTTATTGGGGGGAAGCATCTTATGGAGGGTGCTGTGGATATGTCAGAACTGTTTGAGGCTTTTGTTGCTGTTAGAGAAGGGCAGTCGAGCTTTCGGAATTGATACGGCGTTGCGAGCGATTGACATACCAATGTTGGGGGTTCACTATCCCAGCCTCAAGCCGTTCCCTCCCAAGTGGTGCACGTAGAAGCCATGTTTGATGCATTGAATGTGCGTACAAATCCGGATAGAATAGAAAGGTGTCTAATCGAGGCCTGATTAAGATCCTCTATGAACTTATTACATAGTATTGAACTGTACGAAACACTGATATCGACTGCAAGCTACTAGAAAGTGTATACGTCTTTGCCATTCTGACTAGAATCACAAGAAGTACCTCTAGTAATACCCAAGTTCCCATTGCTTAAAAGTCGACTCCCTGTCAGGTATTGTATATGTCGGCTAGAGCGTTGTATCCACCCAGTCTATCGAGGCACATGCACGGAAGATTGAAACAACAGTCCAACAATATGAGTAATGGATATTGAAGATCTTACCAGAAGCGGTAAACGGTAAATTTCATCACTTGTCCAGGAAATCCTCTTCATCTAATCTTCACCTAACACTGGAAACACAAAGGTCTAGGCAGCTATTGTTAGTGCTTATCTCTTGCAGCCTTTGCTCCAACAGCCAATCGTAGAGCCACATATCCTAAAATTCGGCATCCGAAGGATTAGAAGCAGACTTAAGGGACAAGGATGATAATCCTTCGTTTCATTTACTCAAACTCTGACGATTACTGTTGGCATATCGTCTCCACATAAGGCGTCCAGTCCATCCTTTCTTGCGCGGCAGCCCACTTGAAATCCTGTTTAATGTGAGGATTTAAGAGGCACTCCCCTCTCCAGTAACTGGCATCTTCTCACTTTCAGCGAACCTCGGTATATGTCGGTTTGCTGGAATTATCTGCATGTGTGGTTACGTTTCCAAGTGGCCCCCTTGCCTCCACTGTGGCCCGAATGCATTGACACCTGCGTGCCATTTCAGGCTAAAATGAGCACAATAACCAGCCGGCCAGTACTCCGTACTCTGAACATATACTTATCTGATTCATAGGTTGAGTACTATTAGGGAATTGCTTTCTATAATAGCGTGGCTTGTCATATTATGCCACTAAGAGTAAAGACTGCTTATGGTATCACGATGGTGGATTAGTGATCCGGAGCCCTCATCGAGAACCTTGGCAAGTAGAACTACCCTTAAACAAGCAGGCTCCAACATTAGTATAGACCAGGGATCGAGATCCTTCAGACTATGAATTAGCAGACAGAATAAATTCAACTATGAGACAAGGAGATTTAGTGCTCGGTAGCCGTTGGGGTCCACTCTTTAAACACCTGCATATACGACTGAGTAAACCAGGGTCCTTGTCGAGTACGTGATCGACATAAGCCGTGGCGTATAACTAGTCTTGAAGAAGCGAATGATGTGCACCCTGGAGGAAATCTTGCCGCTGGAGGCGAGCGGGAATGCGGGTAAAACCGCCTTGCTGCTACTCGCTGTTTTGCCAAAGATTGGGTTAGCAGCTTCAGGGAACTCATACTGCTCAGTTCTGTTGGGTATATCCTCATCAAGGCAAGGTTGCTATTCCTGTTAGCCCGTACTCTACCCTGGTAGCTTCTAATACGTATAAGCCCTGGTTAGATATTGCCACTCAGCTGACTATTGTTCTTCAACCTCTCGTTACTCTGGTTCAGGCAGGTTCTCCGAAGAGTTGAGTATCATTCGAAGAACGACTCAGTCCCTATGGAACAGCTGTATTGGAGCATCCTCAACCCGTGTAGGGCATTCTATGCCTGGGAGGGTGTTGCATTCCATGTAGGCCCTCATTCCATCGCGGAATTGTCCCTACCATCGCTTGTCTGGACACCGCACACAAGTGGCGACGGCTCAAGACTATTCGATTAAAGCGTTATACGGTAATTGCCGATTACTCAGATTGAAGTGAAGCTATGGAAATCTGATACCGAGGAGTGCAACCCCCTCACATCACATTAGTCCCATAATGATGCATTTACGATGGATCCTCTGAATACATTGAGAGTTTCGGCTTGTGCCGCCGCTCATACACTCGGATTGGCTTATTCCAGAGGATTCTACTCCCAGAACAGATAACAGGATGCAGGGATGGCTGGGCGAGATCAACAACCCTGTCGTCAGAACCATGGTGACAGGACTTACTTCCCCTCTTGAAACACCCCTACAGGGCAGAGGCGGCGTTGTGAGGCGCGTGGCCTGTACATTTAACTCGGCCGGTACGTCGGCATCGGATTTAGCGTGTCTCGGACGGACGTGCATTCGACATGTAGAATTGCCACCGGTTATCTTAGTGTAATGTGAGTCGAAGATCTAGCGTGCTTTACTACATTTCCCATGCTACGCCGCCCCTCTGGAAGTATGTCCGGAAGCCGTTGTCTCCTGCCTCAGCGTTTCGTGACTGCGTTGTCTGGATATCCTGCGCCGTGCACATTGCCTAGGCTTTTCTCTTCTGGAAGCTACCTGTAATAGGATAAACCCAGAAGTTAATCGAAAATTACTCGTAACGTGTTCCTCTTTTGTTGATGGGCTCTTGGTAAGGTTGGGAAATACCCATGCTACGGACAATGTACTTTTGTCGCCCTAAGCACACCTGTAGGATGATTGATAAGAAAAACGAGCGGAATTGTGGCCGAAATGGCAAGCATCCCTGTCTGTAATATATTTATTATTTTGCACATCTCGTAAAGACTGTGGGTCGAGCAGTATGCACGGTATCTAGTTCCTCAGTAGCTGCTGATAAGTCTAGAGCCAGCCCTGATCCCTGTCGATCTCCGCTAAGCCGGATTTGCCGTATGCCGAGGGGGAAGTGATTGGGTGGATATGAGCCTTATGTTCGGGATTCATTATATTAGCACGTTAGAAGATGTGGACCGTATTGCGAATTTGTAGTCATGATGCTGATCGACGCGATTTTCTATGCGGTTGGCGATTTCCGATTACTGATGTCCGAGGGAGGGAAGATGGGCAGTTGGAGGGCCGAGAGAGATAGGCGTTAATCGTGACATCTAGTGTGGCGAGTAATATAGATTTCGATGCTCTATTTGCTAAAACTAAAAATCATATTGTCTAATATCTAAAGCGTCTATCTCTAGCAACTAGGAACTAATCAGCGCTACATACGAAACCATCTGCCATTGGGAAATGTCACCGAGCCCCACTTAGTTTGCAGTGACCAGTGAAACATATGTCTGCAGGTTGCTGGTGTGGTGCTCGCCCAACCCTGGCTTATCGCCGATCTCCTTGCCGTGGGTGTGGAAGGCGCTGCTCACGGTGAAGCGTACGCCATTCCATTCCCGGACCACACCGTGTCGTCGGCGCGCAATGTCATTGATCAGAGGCACCACCTCCTCGGCAGCCGTTATAACGTTGCTCACCTTGCCGGGGAAGATGTGGATAACGCCGTCCTTCTCAAAGGTCAAACTGCTTCGGAATTCGGATGTGGTCTTGAGCTTGGCCAGAACACTGCCCTTCCAGCCGCGATAGTGGAACCGATCGAGGAATCCGGGCCAGAACCGGGTAATCTCCCGCTCGCAGTGGGGCTTGATCCGAGCAGCGATCGCTTCCTCGTCAAGACTATCCAGAAGTGCTTGGCCCTCCTCGTGACGGTCGAATGATCCGAGGATGGTGTAACTGCCGTGTGTTAAGATATACTTCTTTTGAAGGGGCTCGTTGGTATCAATCGCCGGCATCACGCAGGGAAACCAGCCATCCATGACGATGAAAGAAAGAGGCTTTTCCTGTGGCTGCTGGTCCTCGTAAACCAGAGCGATACAGGTCTGATAGGTGATACCGATGTCGACGGGAAGAGCATCCGCGATGTTCTGTGGCAGAAGGCTGGTGTAGCCGGTGGCGTTGATTACGACGTCGAAAATGTATTGCCCATCTCCGGTTTGAATGCGGTTGGTTTCTTCGGTGTGAATGATACGGTCGACCGTCGTATTGAGGTGCACGTAGATGCCTGCACGACCCAACTTGTCTTTGAATGCATTCCGAAGTCGGTCACCAATGGCAACGCTGGGTTCGTCCAGGTTGTATGCGCTAATAAGGCCCTGGAAGCCATTCGCCTCCGGATCAACGGTAGTACACTCAGGAGATTCGTAGCAAACATCCCTGAATGCCTCATCGGAGACCTTCGATGGGTTTCCAAGAGCGTCCGCTTCGCCATGTGCATATATCGCGGATTCATGGTAGACAACAAGTTCGGGATACGTCTCGCAGAACTTGACTAAGGCTTCACGGCAGCTGTCGCGAGTGGCCTTGGACCGAGGGTAGTGTGGCCCCTTGTGCAAGCGGATACCAAAGTTTCCTGAGACGCCTTGGAAGATATCAGGCTTCTGCTCGAACAAAGAAACTCGGTGGCCTTGTTTCTTGAGCTCCAGGGCAAGATGGCAGCCGTTCCATCCGCCACCAACAATGCCGACTCTTAGCTGTGTCGTGACACGCATTTTGAAGAGGCAGGTAGTTATAGTCTGAAGATGATTCTGTTCGGTTCAAAAGACTTGAGAAAGGTGGTTGTTGAAGTAGGGAGGAATAGCCCCCAAGGCTTCCCATCGCTTTATATCCTTCTCCGCAGCAGGATAGCTTGACTCACTCCGGTGGCCATGTCAAGGGTGCTCTTTCCCTGATTGTAACCCAACATTCCCGGATAACGACATATGCACCCTGAAGCCAATCGCATCCAATGTGATACGAACGGATGAGGTGGAATGAGCGGCAAAGTCGGGATAGATGATTGTCGACGACTCCAGAAGATCGTAACATACTTGGATGAGCTTCTGATGCATGTCAGCGCTTGATAATGTCACATCCGCGGCGATGCATCCGCGAAACAGTATCCAATGAAAGGGTCGGGGGACGGCACGAAAGGAAGCACGCTAGTCGGGATGTGCAGCCTTTGCAGTGGACAGTGCGCCCTGCAGAAAACAGAAAAACATTCTGCAGGTATGGTATCATCGCTTAAGGATTCCAATCCTAGCAGATACCCGTCGGGGGATAACGGGATCCCGAATTAGGGTTATCCTGTTGCAGTGTTGGAGCCGCGCGTCGGAGTTAACATTTATTCCGACTGCCCGATAACCTCGTACTTTTGCCCCCGTCATTCTCACTCTCCCGATCCCCCCACTGATAGACCAACATCGACTGCGATAGATCCCTTTCTTGCGCGATAACCCTGTAGTGCAGCGTAATGTCTCTGAATACCGACGATTCCGGTCGGATAAGGACCCGACAACGCGCGAAAAGAGCGTGCGAAACGTGCAAACTGCGCAAGCGGAAATGTGACGGCCACGAGCCCTGCACTTACTGCTTACGATACGAATATCAGTGCACTTTCAAGCCTCATCCACGGAGGAAGCCTGCCGCTTCCAGATCTTCCGCAAGGCCCAGCGAGGAAGAAGACTTACCAAAGGTTTCCGACAGAGCTGATGCTAATCAAGAACACATGGAAGCCAACTCTGGCACTGCTTTCCCCCATCTCCTGGGGATGCGGTTGAATCCGCAGGGTGCACCCAAAGTATACGGGTTTAGCTGGAATCTAGGGCCACGGGATGAGCCTCTGGAGCCCTTCACCAATCTTACGGATCTGATTTCAAGAGAGGAGATGGAAGACTTGGCCAGCCATTATTTAAAGAAGATACATCCGGTGTATGCAGTCCTGGATCCTGACACGTTAAGGCAAAAGATTGTTGCCCGATGGCATGATCCTGCAACTGCGGCCAGCTATGACCCCATTCTTTGCGGCGTCGCGGCATTAGGCTCGTTGTACTCAGGCCATCAGGAACATCTGAATGAAGGAGCGCTGGTTCAGTCTGCAAAGGAGATGCTCGAAACCACCCGGATCTCAAAGACCACCCTCCTGCATCATGCCACCGCCTGGATCTTACGGACCATATATCTCCGAAGCACCAACTGCCCCCATGCCTCGTGGATGGCCAGTTGTTCCACCATGCACATCATAGAGGCTATCGGGGCTCATCAGGATCCAGAGCTGGTGTCTTTGGTTTATTCTGACACCGCAGACGTTAGCGTAAATGACGAGAGTCAACGCCGGCTATTCTGGGTAGCCACAGTGCTAAATGCATGGATCTCGTATGAATATGGTCGATCACGCGTTATTCTACGAGGTGTCTCCTGCAAACCACCTCTACCGCGAACGGGCGACTTCACCACAGATCTCATCTCCATGTACCAGATCTCCGAACGACTGGATCCCGACCAGAACAATAAGCTTTCAGACCTAGAAGATGCACTCAGCCGTGTTGAGCGTCTCACGCTTTCCCATGACGCCTTGATACTATCCCAAAGTAATCTGGCACTCACTATTTATCGTCGTTTGCGAGTCGCTTCGTCGAATATCTCGAATGACATTCTTACCCGCATTATCCGACTAGGCAATGACGGTCTTGAGGCCGCGGTACGACTGGCGGAGGAGCGTTGTCCGTGGTGGCATGTCGCCAATATACCCTTTCAGTTCCTCTGCATTTTGCTTGCTATTGACACTAGGGAATCACTGTCATACGTGGGTCCGGCACTGCGCTCATTCAGGGCCATCACCAGTCATTACAGCACGCCGACACTACACACCGCACTTGAGACTATAGAATCATTGGTTCGTCTCTCCCAGAACAAGAAAGAACGGGACTTGATTCTTCTCAGAGATAGCATGCAACAAGAAGACTCGGGGCTAACCGAACAAAATTCAACGGCATCCCAAGCCTTCAACGACGCTTCTTGGCTGGGGGCGACTGGGGATCTGACTTTGCCAGATAACTTCGACTGGGATTGGAATGTATTCTTGGATACCCAGGTTCCATTCTTCGACGAGGGTGAATACGGTGGCCAGAGATATAGATAATGCAGGAAATGAGGACTATTTACAGAACCAGAAAGTGCTCGTATGCGTCTACTTATAGTATTAGTTAATAGACCTAGGATTTAATCATTCTGTTTGGATTATATCATAGACGAACATATCTCTTCTAAGCTCTTCCTTGTCCTTTGGTGCCGAATAGCGGTTTTCGAAGCCATTCAGCGGCTAAGTCGGGCATGACGGGAAAGTCGGTTAGGGCGGAGTTCGGGTTGACGCAATGGAAGCACCACTAGAAATAAATACTCTGAAAAGAGCACATTTAGTCTAGCCGAGTAGTGAAAACATTTGGCAGATGTCGCTTAATTGATTCCTTTCTCCCAATTTCTTTTTTTTTTATTTTGTGGTGTGTGTCTTGAGCGCCTCGCAACGATGCAGTCTTTTCGCCAATACCGAAGCATGCGCAGAGACCTGCAAGAAAGCATTAAGCTGCACGGTCCGTATGCTGCTGCTGGCGATCGTCACGTACAGCCGACCGATGATATCTTGGAGGATGCCGATGATGCCAGATTGGAAAAAGGCATTCATTCGATGGACGGTCACGGCCAATCGCCATACTCCACGCCCGGAATCGTTCTCCACGACGGCCAGAAAGTGACTGTTCCTGGAGTGAACCTCCGCCGCGCATCCGAAATCTGTGAGCGTGTCAACACAAAAACACTATTCATTGTCGGGTTTGATGGCCCGGACGACAAGCTCAATCCCAAAAACTGGTCTATAGGGAGGAAATGGGCGACATTGGGCATTGTCGGCACAACGGGTATGCTTGTTGGATGGGCTTCATCCATCGACTCCACTGTGATTAAACAAGGGCAGGAGGCGTTCGGAGTCAGTGAGGTGGCCGAATCTCTCGCAACCGCGCTGTTCCTGATCGCATTCGGCTTCGGATCTTTGGTAGCAGCACCCTTTTCCGAGACTGTTGGGCGGAATCCAGTCTACATAGCGACCCTTTCCATTCTTATGATTTTCACAATGGCATCGGGTCTGGCTCCAAATTTCGGGGCTCAGCTTGCTTTCCGCTTTTTAGCCGGATTGTTCGGGTGTACGCCGATGACAACCTTTGGCGGCAGTATGGCGGATATCTTTGACCCTATGGACCGCACATATGCCTTTCCAGTTTGTTGCACGTTGTCCTTCTTGGGCCCGTTCCTGGCTCCAATGGTTGGAGCTTTCATTGGCCAAAGCACGCACATCAGCTGGCGCTGGACCGAATGGGCTACACTGATCATGGCTGCGTTAGTGACCGGTGCTATCTTCCTGTTCGTTCCAGAAACTTATGGTCCTGTGCTTTTGCAGTGGAAGGCGAAACACCTTCGTGAGATAACTGGTGACCAGCGGTTTATGGCAGAGATTGAGCTTCGCCAGACGTCGCTTGTGACTCGGTTGATGCACAGCTGCTCCCGTCCCTTCCATTTATTCTTCCGGGAGATCATGGTAGCACTCTTTACCATGTATCTGGTCGTGGTCTACATCGTCTTATTCGGGTTCCTGACGGGCTATGAGTTCATCTTTGGTAGGACATATGGGTTCACCCAAGGGTCTGTGGGCCTGACATTCATCGGCATGAACATAGGATTCCTGATCGCCTTTGCCATGGTGCCGCATATCTACTTCTCATACAAGAAGCGGCTCCTGAATGCGATTGAAAATGGACACAATGGGTTGCCGCCGGAAGAGCGACTTTGGTTCGCTATGTACGGAGCACCCTGGCTGCCAATCTCTCTTTTCTGGATGGGCTGGACCAGCTATCCGTCTATCTCGTACTGGTCGCCACTGGTGGCCTCAGTGGCTTTCGGATTCTCTGTCCAAGGAATCTTTATTTCCACATATCAGTACCTCATTGACACGTATGAGCTCTTCGCAGCCAGTGCCTTAGTGAGCGCAACTTTCTTCCGTTATATCGCTGCTGGTGCGATGGTCATCGTGTCGATTCCGATGTACGGAAATTTGGGCGTACATTGGTCCCTCACGTTGTTGGGATGTATTTCGGTCCTAATGACGCCTGTGCCGTATATTTTCTATAAGTACGGACATGTCATTCGGCAGCGCAACAAAAAGACGCCTTAAGGAGTGTGCCGGAGGGTGTGTCGTTCAATTATTCGGAGGCGAATGCAGTGAAATGGCCAGTCACGGCCAATACTAGTCAGTGTGAATGGAATTCGGGTAAATAAAAGCTAGTAGATACAATTAATTTGATTCACCGAAGCACCAGTCGTACGTAGTTCACTGAGTACATAGAGTCCAGAATAGCATTACTGCTGATCCTTGGGGGTTTTGAATGCGGGCGGAGGTAGCGGAAGAGGCCTTATTTTCAGGCAACAATTGTTGGCAGCCACGTGCCGGGCAGACAAACGATGCAAAAGTAGTGGTCATCTTTTTTGACAGTCCGTTCAACTCCTACCTTTGTGTTGAATCCATCTCACAAGACAAGTGTGTCTGTGCTTCCATCTCGAATAAATCTCCGTTAGCGCTGCCAACTATCCAGCATTTAGTCCACACAGCAATAAACGATATGTACCATTCGTTTACGGAGTACGCAACCATGGTTAATATCACACATCCAATGATTGGCTCGGTCCGCTTGCGTCGGCCAAAATCCGTTTCTCAGCCGCTCGGTGAGATTCCGAGGACGGCAGACCTTCTCCATTACTTGAGCTGAGCTACCCCGGTGGCCAGGTTTGGTGAGTGGAGCCCGTGGGGTGTCGCATGCGGAGAGTCACAAAGTCCCCGGAATCGGGTCACGCAGTCCGTAGGGACAACAGACTGGCAACTGGATCTCTCAGTTCGGTCTATGTATGAGCATTCTTCATTCTCCAGACGATAAGTCAGTTGGCCGATAGCAATAAGGCCGACCCGGATCGGTATCGGCTCATCGCGTCAGCCCTCACGTTGATCACCTGTCCTGTCGGCCTTGCAACGCGCACTCGGTTTCGGCTACATTTAATGCCTCATAGACCAGAGCGTACGGGTGTCGTCCTTGCGTCAAGGCGTCCACAGCAAGCCAATCGCGCATTGGCAATGCTAAGCATTTGTCGACTCTCCACTTCGAGTGGGTTTTGTCCCGGGTTCAGACATGGTCATTGGAGGGTTTGAAGACAAGCACGACAAGCATTTCTTACTTTCCCTGCCAAGTTCCATTTTTCCAAAGTCTGGTGATCAAGACCTCCCACCTCAGCGGGTCTCGCAGGATCCTTTTCGAGATTTCTAGCAGTAGTAGGCTCCAGAAGGCTCGGAGGACCGAATGCCCCTCCACTCCCTCGGGGTTAATGGCACCCTTCTCGCCTCGGCAGTTATACCTTCATGGATTATGGCTCCATGAAGGCGGTAGAGAACCGAGAGACGTTAGTAACTTGTGCCCCTTTTATTTCTTTACTTTTCACCTCATAATTGTCCCCTTCCGTCGGACAGAATTGACTCAGAATCGAAAAGAGAAAAAAAAGTCATGATGCAGGGCGAGGCACTTCGTTTTGCCCAGATCTTCTTGATCGTGTGCCCTTCGTTCATTCTCTTCGGTTACAATCAATCCGGTGTCGGAGGCTTGACAGACTTCCCTTCGTGGGTAAGGCAGTTCCCTGGGATTGACACAGTCAATACCACTGGCGCTCAGAAATCCCACAACGCTACAGTGCAAGGCGCCGTTGTTGCTTCTTACACCCTTGGTGCTCTCTTTGGGTCCCTGATTTGTACGTGGATTGGCGACATCCTCGGTCGGCGTCGGACTATCTTTGCTGGGGCGTGTATTGCTCTGATAGGCCAGGCATTAGAATGCTCGGCTTATGCTCTCGCACAGTTCACAGTCGGCCGGGTAATTCTCGGTTGGGGTGTGGGTATGCTGAGCGCTACAGTGCCGGTCTGGCAGTCGGAGTGCTCACCGGCGGATAAGAGAGGGAGAAATGTTGTGTTGACAGGCATGTTTATCGCCTTTGGGTTTGCCATGACACAGTGGATCAACTTTGGTTTCTATCATATGCAGGAAAGGTCCGCGTCATGGCGAGGGTCTCTGGCAATCCCAGCGCTGTTCTCTTTGACTATCATGGGTAGCATATTCTTCCTACCAGAATCTCCTCGCTGGCTTGTTCTCAAGAATAGATCAGATGCTGCACAGCAGACCCTTGCCAATTTGAGACAGAAGGATGTGGTATCACCCGAGATTATGCACGAATTGCGTGGAATTGAAGTCTCCCTGGAGGAATCATCAAGTGGGAACATGGGACTGAAAGGCATCTTCACAATGGGGGAGGAGAAGCTCTTTTACAGATTCCTTCTCTGTATTCTCCTACAGTTCTTTCAGCAGATGACCGGTGGTACTCTCATTTCAGTCTACATCCCCATCATATTCGAGGATAATTTACACCTAGGCGCCAGTTTGTCGAAGGTTCTTGCCGCATGTGCTCTGACATGGAAATTCCTCTGTTGCTTTGTCGGCTTCTATGTCGTGGACCGAATCGGACGCCGGGCTGCGTTTATGATCAGTGGTGGTGGCATGTCCATGTGCATGCTGGCGCTGACAGTGTCCAACTCATTCTCAAACAACCATACTGCGTCTATTGTCTCGGCACTGTTTATTTTCGTGTACAACTTCTTCCTTCCGGTGGGATTCTTGGGGGCGAACTTTGTTTACCCAGCGGAGGTTGCCCCGGTTCGTCTGCGAGTCGCCATGCATTCCTTTTCGATAGCGAATCAGTGGCTATGGTAAGCATCCATGTTCTATTACTGAGAGAATGAGAATACTAATCTGGTTCACCGGACTAGGATGTTTGTCGTTGCAATGATTACTCCTACCGCAATCGCCGACATTGGCTACCGCTACTACATCGTATTCACTGTCATTGGCGGCCTTATCCCGCCTGTAGTTTATCTCTTCTACCCGGAGACAATGAATCGATCCCTTGAAGAAGTCAATCAGATCTTCCACGACGCCCCATCTATTATGTCCGCCGTCAAGATGTCCAGAACCCTCCCTATTGGTGATAGCATTATGGAAGAGCTTGAGGGAAAGAAAATGGCTGAAGAGATTGAATGAGACACGCCAAGTGTTCTTGCTGATGTGTACCAGAGCACTACGAAAGAGCTCGGGCATTTAGGATAGAAGAGGTGGCAGAGGCTGCTGAAGTTATGCTTTTCTTTTATTTTCTTGTTAACTTTACTCTAAACACTGTTTTCTGCAAAGATTCGGCCCCGATTCAACATTTCAAACCCCAGTATGTACTCAATATCAGGCATGCTTTTGAGTTATAGATTCGATCATTTCCTTGGCCCTATATTCATTAGCGAGAGGCACTCTTCTATTCAAGGGGGTTGGACTTACACGTCTCCAAGCGCCACCATACACACGGTCTGCCAGATTCCTAGGCCAATGCGTGGCGTGACTCCGCGGTACAGTCCCCGTATCCCACTTTGCGCATATATGTACCGGAAGGTGCTCCCAATACTGAGCTTTGTGGGGCGGTTGGGATCGGCCTTTAGGCTCTGCATCTCTACCCGAATTACCTCGATGGGCTGGTTCCAGCTAGCCAGAGCGCCTCCAACGCCCGAGGCAAATATCTTCTCCACGACGCCCAGTCGCTCCTCGCGCCCTTTGTCCGTGGCTCTACGGATTGCGTCCTCAACCAGTCGGGAGAAGCCAAACCGAGACCCCCAATTGGTGACTTGCCGAATTGCTACGGCATTGACACCTTTGTTGATTCCTCGCAATCCCTCCGTCCGAAACATCGTAACAAATGTCTCTAGGGCACCCGGTGGTTTCAGCCCGGCTGCCGCTTGCTTCAGTCGAGTAATCTCCGCTGTCTTCATACAGGTACAGAACCCGACCGTTGCGTACGCCTGAGCCGCACCACCGATCATGCCTCCTGCGATGCCGGACAGGAATTCGGAGGCACCAGCCGTCCGCGAATGATACTCGACTTCGGAGGCCACAAAGAGCAGAACAGCGCCTTTAGTGGACGCCTCAATCCAGGCCCATGGAATTAGGCCTTGGTAATCTAGTCAATTTATCGCAGGGGGTCAGTGGTATGAACGCTCGTGTATCGTGATCGGTGAGGGCGGCATACAACCGGCAATTCCTCCTCGCGACCAAACGCGTCTCAGGGCTGTGATAAATGAATCCGACCTATTGGCTGCCATTGTGGTCTTGATGACCTCCAGTGGCTATTTCTCGTTAGATGCACATCTGGTAAGGGAGGAAACCGACATAGACTGACCTGCCCAAGTGTGGTGACCCTTCAATGGAATCAATACGATATCAACGAACTGCAGAACAAGTGAAAACGCACTCGAACATATTTAAGCTAGCGCCAACTGGATTACAGGAACAGTCAGACGATGCGGTAAAGACCAATAGATATGATGGGGCTGGGTCAGTTACGCAAAAGATTGCTCGCTCCAACGTCCCTTTTCTTGATTCCGGCATCAGGGGCAGACTGCTGGAGAGGAGACATATTTGAGAGACCGATAAGACGTCGCAGTATGATCGGCAATATAGTAAAGACGAGGTAGTCTCATCCTCTACGTCTCCAAGAACATGTCTCTATAAGTGTGTTTTGTTTATACAACGTTAAGCCGATCCTACTTCCCCATTCCGCCGATTTTCGGAGCGATGGGTATCTCCATCTCTACTCCCACACAGAGCTTGCGATCCTGGATATATTGGACAAGAAACTAGTGTTATAACTTCGATCCACTAGCAAATATATTCCCCGACAATCGGACGTCGGTGTTGGCGAAAATTCCAATCGCATTGTCCGCAATTACCGATATATATTTTCACAAAGTGGATAAACTGCGGTCGGGTAGGCCAAGAAAGGATCACTATACCCGCAACATATTAATAATAGCGAATGTGATAGGGAGCTTGGATAGTCATTGGATGATCCACAAAAAAGAAGAAGAGACCATCTTATTCCCCGTGTGCTAATGGCCCTATGGCTGACCACGGACTGCTGGTCACTGTGAGACCTCTCGGGAAACATCCGATCTTTAGCTACGTAGCTCGAATGTCACTAACCCGAATTGAATAGCGCATTTTTATATCGTCATAGGGTTTAGGCTTTGGGGCGGCGGGATGGGTGCGCCGGACGCCACACAGACCTCTCAGATATGATATCCTGCAGGTCCACCGTTCCACCGTGAGGTTCCGAATCCTTATACACAGCACATTCGAGAGGCTCAGCATTATAGATGATGGCAAAATGTCAGGCCACGATGACATCATGTGGACAAGCCACTGAAGCCACGACTCCACGTGACCCATCGGTTCTGGACCAGTTCATTGGCCCGGGACTTCCACGTGACCGCTGTTTTCGTTGATGCGATTCATTCCACTGGTGGTAGTCTCCATTAAGACCGGAAAACTTCTCCTTTTCTCCTCTCATGTCCTAGCGCCCCGTTCAATCAGCCTTGCCCACTTTATGGCGTCACCGCATTAAAGACCCTTATTTCGGGTCATTCCCGCTCTATGGGCTCTACAACAAGACGGGACTGACTATCAATGGATGGCTATTCTCCTCTGCGCTCTAACGGTCGAGTACTACGAACACTAGGATGCTGAGTGATCCCACCGACGGTGCGGTGTCGCGCCTGGGCGCGCCCAGCACGGAACCATCTTCCGACGTAATCCAGCCCTCTAGCATGGGGAACCCTAAGATCCGGATTCCGCGCTTAAGGACCGCCCCCGTCACAACTCACCGCCCACGCATCAGCCGGGCGTGTGCCCCCTGTCATCAGAGGAAGACCAAATGTGACGGCCAGAAGCCTCAATGCAAACAATGTCGTCAATTGGCTATCCCCTGTACGTATGTGGGGTCAAAACGAGAACGACAAAAGTGTGCCCTGGCATCCGTCCAAGCGAGGGTCCAGTCTTATGAGTCTCTGTTGCAACAAATTATTACGGAAAGCAGCGAGGATCCATCCAAGTTCAAGCTGATTGAAGAACTGATCACGGTATGGATGTCCGTCGGTCAGGCATACGGCGGAGTCGTTTGGCGTTAGAGAAGTATGCTAACCCCTATCTAGAGACACTTCGAGGGGACACCGACGATACTTGCACCGCTTCTGGCGCTAGGGTCCCCTTCGGACCGAAGCCCGTCCCCGTCCAAACATGGCCTAACGTTGTACCGAATGCTTGCCTCGTGGATGTCCCATGCTCGCAGTGAGACCCAACCACTTGCGCAGAAGCCACCCATCCAGATCACCGAAATTCATCGTTGGACCTTGCTGGCGAACAATGACACTGCGAGCCATCTATTATCACTTTACTTTACGTGGGAGAATCCGACCTGGCAACTGATTGACAAGGATATGTTTGTCCATGACCTCGAAGGTGGTCACGGAAAGTTCTGTTCCGCATTATTGGTTACCGTATTACTCTTTTTTGGCTGTGTACGTGTGGCCAGCGACTGGAGAGGAGTGACACTAACCCGGAGCTCAGAGTCTATCCTACAATCTAGATAGGATCACAGATCGACGAGAAGAAAAGCTACTTAGCAAGAAATTATATGCCGAAATACAGCGTCTATGGGAGATCGAAAAACATATCGAGAGTCTTCCTACTGCGCAGTCCAGCATACTGATTGGACTACTCTGTTGCACGTTCGGCTTAGACAGATTCGGCACCCAGTATATTATGCATGGCGCTCAGCTGTGCCTAAATTTAGGTCTACAGCATGAGTATCCCTCATACCTTTATGACGATGCACCGGACGAAGATGGACGGCTCGCTAGGTGCCATAAGTTAGTTTCCTGGGCAGTGTACGATGTTCAAGGGTGAGAACGCACATGCCGGCTTTGAACTGTTTCTTACTAACCTTCCACACAGCCTTGCTTCTCAAGTTTACAGAAAGGTACCAGCCTGGAAAGAGCCTCCGCCCGTAAAATTCTCCCCAGTTGAAGCGGCAGGATTAGATGCAGGTGTTGAATGGAGTCCCTATCCGTTCACCACTCCTATTTCCCAGCCATTCTTCTTCACGGCGGCGTGCTTCAGGTCTGACCTTGTTACTATAGTTCATCACATTGCCAAATTTGCCCTTAAGTTTCCAGATGCGGTCATGGGCAATGAAGATTGGGAGTACGGCCACCAATTGCATCAAAAGCTACTTCAGTGGAAGGCCACCTTGCCGCCTGTTCTTCTACTTGAACAAAATTTAACGCCGCATGTTATCTGCTTACAGTTCGTCACCCTTTTACACCTCGTTGCGGTTGAGGCGACTGACAGTTATTGTAGTGAATATTACCATGCAACGATTGCATCTCTCTGCCAGATCTTTTGTGCAAACTTGGGCTCGACGGATGACCAGATTCCGAATCCAGAAGAGTTTGATCCATACACAATAGTGTCGCAGGCTTTGGATGCCATGGGTTCCTTGATATTGCTATTCAAACGCTGTCACGGGTGGAAATCCCTCCCGGTTGTTATGCTGCATTATTTCTGTGTCGCAGGGGTTCACTCAATCTCGAAATTGAATGCCCATGACCCGATGTGGAGCTATGTTCTAGAGGATTGCGTCGTGGGCCTGTGGCACATGAGCTTAGGGTGGGGCCGATTATGTACCGCATTTCTTCGGACGATCGAACTGGTCTTGAAACAGAGTAATCCGGACCCATCTCTCGTGCCTTCTAGGGTCGTCGAGATCTTCAGGCAACTCAACGAAGGCGATCTGTGGACGGTGACGGACATATCATCCCTGGCGGCCGATTATGTGGTTCACCAAGTGGCTACTCAACCGAAGTCGAGTTCGAGCTCATGGTCTGCGTATCGCTCCCAAGGCTTGCAGAGTCTTATCCATGACATGGATAGCCTCTCCGTCAATCTCAGCTCTGAATCCCCAGAGTCCCTTGCATCCGTCAAGGAGCCCTATGACTCTCGCAGTTCCGAAAATCCTGACATGCGAGATGCCTAAGGGATTATTGATACTGAATAGTCTGAGCTACTGAGAATATTTGGGACTAACACGCTACATCGGGGCGCCGGTGCTTTCCATCTATCTCTTGCTTATTGTGCACGTGATGTGGCGGATGGCATGGAGGGCGGTTTCAAGGGTACCGTACAACAAGGGTCAAGCCCCTATTTAGGGAGGTTTCTGCGAGCTATAGCTATCCTTAAGGCTCCTCAGCCACCTGTCTTTATCGAGACACCTCGCTATTACAGGGGGAGACCTCCACAAACCCTAATACCCGCTTCCTATCACAAACAACGCGGCGGGAGCGCGGTGCCGCATTTGGTGATGGTGGTGGGTATGCATCTGATTAGTATACGACAACCATCTAATTTGATGCAAAACGGTTCAAATTGCCCGTAATACGGGTAGGCCATATATATAGAATATGGTGATCCTGCATATGACAAGAAGCTCGTTGTGATTTGTTCTCTAGAGGACGGAACCACGCTTTTTACGGCTTTCGGGAGTTCCGAGACAGAGAAGATAGGTTCGATCTCAGAATGTGAATTATCTTCCCTGCGGCATCACCTCAGATTCTCTTCGACAAACACAATGAGCATCTGGCCATTGAGTTCAGGAGCTTTATCACAGCGGCTTATGAGAGTCTCCATGGTTAGCTAGGTGAAGGCTGTAATGGAGTTTTGCTAAGCACATTTTGAGAACACGTAAGTCATGCAGGGCGTATGTCTCACCTTTGGCGAGTGAATAACTAATGAGTTTTGGAATCTGTCCAGTTTCCTCGTCAAAGTCTGTGTTTATACTCTCCCGATGGGAACGAGGCAGAGAATTACAGTGGGGCTTACTGTTTTCGCTGCCATTAGCGATGCGACCACAATTCTGAGATTTATGGAATCTATATGGGGAGGGTATCAGAAAGTCACAAGGGCTTCCAATTGCAAATACTTACAGTGGGCTATCATTAGCCTTACTGCACAATTGCACGGTAAAACAGATCGGACGTTCGTTACACAGATTGTGAAAGAATTGATGAACGTAGGTAGCCTAGCTGAACTCTGCCAGAAGCTCCATCTAACAAAAGTGTCATAACTTTGACTTCTTACACAATAAACTCTTGTGACATCCTTTAGTTTAGCCAAGGCAGAGAACCCGAGAAGGGCATTGTGGCCCAGGATATCACGAACCCTTAGACGGTAGCTCGATTTATGTTTAACGCAACTCTTCTCTTCCCGAATAGTACGCAAAGTTTGAATTTGGTGCGTCGGTATCAAGGCATGTTCCATACAGTTGCATGGCCGTGTCGTCATATAGGGAAAGGGATAGAAATCAGCAACAAGCAACGGCAAGTAAAGCTAAAATTCCCGATAAATTGTATCATAAATACAAAAATGTAGCATAACATAAGAAAATGAGTTACAGCAATTTAGTGACGTTCACAGGAAAGAGATTAACTAATCCTATACTTTTTACCAAGAGCCCTAAAATATCAACTATAATCGGCTACCCTGCTGAAGCATTTTCAATAAGGTCTTACTGCCCGGCGCGGCCAGTCCATTATCGTCAGTTGGGAGTTTCTGTGAAGCAAAGGCGAGAAATACTGCTTCCCAGTGTCCGTCGTTGAACTGGAACAGCAGAGCTCCGTCGGAGTAGACACCGTTATCAAACCGAGGAAGACTGCCCTGGTTCATGTGAACATCATGGATTCCCGATCCAAATGACGAACCAAAAATATAAATAGTGGCGGAGTTGTCGATCGCATTATCAAGAATGGGCCTCATCTTGTCCAGGATATCATTGTCACGGCCCGGAATATCGTCTGGCAAGACCAGTGCCGATTGGAAATCCAGAAGGCCGTTCATGCGATAAAGGTCAACACCGTGTATACCAGTGTCTTCTAAATGATGGTGTGGGTAACGATAATGGTGGAAATCCTGGATTAGATAAAAACCAAGGTCCAGGTTCGAGAGGCTGTCCCTGATGGAATGGGTGAAGTTATCAGAAGACCAAAAGACGAGGCGAGACTCTGCCCCATTAGATTTGATATTGATTGCAGCCCTCCGCTCACTCGAGGAGTCATCGGTGAAAAAGAGCTGGATGTGTGGAGTGGGATCGTACGGTCCATCCACGGTATACCTAGTGGGTTTACCAGCCCAGACGCCGTAGTGGGGGACAGGCATCTTCTTTAAATCGAAATCAGTCGAAGTTCGAGTTAGGGCGCAGGATTGAAAAGAATGGGAGCTGTAGTCTACAAGGTCTGATTTGTCTTGCTTTGGTTCTGGAGGCCTTGCTACTTATGCCTGAAGTGAGAGTCAGCATAGGTTACCCCAACCATAGAATTCTCCATCGTTACTAGCTGATTTCATAGAATAAACTTCTCATTTAGATCACACCACCAGATATGCACTCCAGATAGAATTGCCAAGCCTGGGGAGTTCGACAAGTGATCAATACCGACAGATCTTATGATATGTAGAGTCTGGTGGTCTAGGCCCTGACTGGGCAGATAGGAGCCGTTTGCGGATAACAACCGAAACAAGAGGTTCATGCCGCGCAAGTAAGCTTGACGTTATTCTATCTTGGCATTGGACTAGCACAAGCTATGAGTCGGTTCTAGGCTTTGGCTATTAGGAAATTGATAGCCACTAGAGGCAAGTAGTATGTATGGCCGTGAGTGAAAGAAAGGAGTACATACCCAAATCCCAATCTGTGAAGATACGAGGTGGCCAGTTTCCAACAACCATGGGATTAGGTGTTCGGAAGTTGGGAGCATTCCTGACACCCATGATATATCCGAGATTCAAGAGTAAGAGAGATTAAGAGAGAGTAAAAAGGGGCGGTTGTAGCAAAGTAGGAAAATCAATTAATATCTAGGTAGTAATCAAACGAGATATGATAGCCTTAGGACATAGTTGAGGCACAGGAGCAGATACATTGCCACATACACTGTGCGACGCGTACATGTGGGAACACTAAAATCGGGCGCTTCAGCGGGCGAAGAACTGCGATGTACAGTTAATCCCCGAGGTCCTGGGGTATAGGACAGTAATTAAAATCATTCTATGGAACTATCCAGCAAAATGTGGAATGGAACACTGGGATCATAAAGCATGATAGTAGACGCGATGACACTCTAACACCTAGATCAGTCCATGATGAATTCATGACTTACGCAATATCTTTCAGGTTCTAGACTTCAGCTTGTAGGACGTAAAATGTTATGCCTTCGTCACCGCATGGCTATTGTATAATATTGTCAAGCTCGCAAGAAGAGTTTGCGATTGAAACTAAAGACTTGGGCTTGTCATATATATCGCTATCCTGTAAAGTTTTATTTTCTATATTTTGACAAGAGAGTACTGCCAGTCCATTAACCGAGGCCTAATTAGATTTAAATGATTTAGATACCTATTTTGCTTATTAGAGCATTCGCTCTCCTCTTAAATGCTCAAACTACACTGGTTGGTTGCCTTACTGTACCTCGCTCTATCTGCGCAGACTGGGCTTTTGGAAGATTGCGGTACAGCATGTATGCCAGCCGGCGCAAGCTGTTGCGCTGATCAGAGTTGTTACTCCCCTAGATTCAGCTCCTGCATGCAATACCTGGACGGACATTACATCTGCTGCGGTGCCAATGGGGTGTGCAATGATGCAGCCATAACAAAACCTGCGCTGGATGTATCCAAGAATGTTGCTTCAGTACGTCTGTAAGGTATTATTGGACCGAATCTATCATATCTAGAACACAGAAAATGCAAAAGCTCCTTAACCATGTAGTGAGTAATCATATTATGTATGCAGATGCCAAGTTCACAAAAATTGAAGTATTATCTTGCACTGTAATGCAATTGTAGAGCTTAGGAAGCTTTAGTAGTAGGCTACGTTGCGATCGTACTGGTGAGCGGAGTATATACACACTTAACTGGCTTGAAAGTCCTTCCTCGCGGCCAGAGCAATTTTATCTTCAACCAGGACTCGAATAGCTAGCATGGCTAACCCTTTGGCCGATTTGATTGCAATGGTATGAGCTTCCTCGGTTGCAGCCGCTGTCGCGAAATCTGGATTATGGCAAGCGACGCCCGAAGATACCGGGATGGCAAAAGCGCCGTGGAAGCTGGGCACCACATAGGATACATTGCCCATATCCGTCGAGCCAAATGCTTTCGGTTGAGCCTCCCGAGGCATGATAGTCTCGCCCACCGCGGCCATTTCTTTGACATACGTTTCACTGAGTGTATCGTTTACACGGAGGTCCATATATGTGGGAGACCTAGGATAATTAGTCGTGTATGGCCTTGAAAGTTTAGAACAGTAGGATCTATTACTCACGGGATGTAGTTGATAGAGCATCCCGCAGCCGCGGCACCAGCCTCGAAGCATTTCTTGACACGATCTAATAGGTCGTTGGATCGCTTCGTTGTTGAACTTCGAATGCACCAGCTCATTCGCGTGTATTCTGGGATGACGTTCGGTGCAGCGCCGCCGTCCTCGAAAACGCCGTGGATGCGTGCGTCCGGTTCGATTTGCTGCCGTAGCAATGCCACATGATTGTAGGCTGCAACGGCTGCGTCTAGCGCGTTACGACCATTCCACGGATCCCCGGCCGCATGCGCCGTTTTGCCTTTGAACTCGACACGGAGCTTTTGGCTCGCAATCAGTCTCCATCCCGCGAGTCCGGAGAAGTCCCCTAAATCGAGCGACTCCTTGGACATTGGGTGTATCATGAAGGCTCCCGCAATATCCTCTGGGGGGCTGAAGGCGCCGGCTTCGATGAGCTTCACCTTACCTCCGCCCCCTTCTTCCGCCGGCGTACCAAGAATGCGCACACGCCCTGTGATCTTCAGGTCTACCAATGCGCGAGCAGCTCCCAGAAAGGCGGCCAGAGACGACGTGGCGACGAGGTTGTGACCGCAGGCGTGCCCGATACCAGGAAGGGCATCATACTCGGCGCAAAACACGACTAGACGGCCCCCACTACCAACCTCGGCTTCGAAGCTCGTGTCGATATTATAAGCATTTCTCGTGACGTTGAATCCACGCTGCTCCAGATAGGATGAGAGCGTATCGTGGGCGATAAACTCCGTATATCCCAGTTCTGGATTGTCGTGGATGACTTTGTTGACGTCCGTGCGCAGAGATGGACTCAAGTCGTCAAGCTGAGCGCCGATGATGGCACGGGCTGCTCTGATGACTTGATCAGTTGGCATGCCGGTAGCCTCGTCACTGTATTCGACCTCAGTCATCTTGGGCTTGGGTGAAGGCTAATGTCCTGTGTGTGAGTGAGGACAGGCTGCGAGGTAAGAGCAAGAACGGAGTCAAGACGGCTGGCCTTTTTAAAGGAGGCCTGCTTTGCTGCCGGAATGACCACAGCGTGCTTCATTTCGTGGATTCAGCCAAAGCCATCTATCAGATGTGCTACTTCCAAGACAAAGTACGTATATGACGTCCCCTTTTAGCCGACCGCCGGCTATCTCAATGAGTCTATCCCAGTGGCCGCAGGAGCTTGACCAAGCGACTGTCGGCTACCCAGATATCCCGTCACTGCTGATTGGAGCGTAAACCCGGGGTAAGCGGCAAAGTTTCACTAGCTTCATTGCGTATGGCTCGTGGAGACTGCCTTTTCGGCCACGCACTTTGACGCGAATCCCTCCCTCTGTCTCGTCGCTGCTATTATCCAAGCGTCAGTCGAGATTGACCCTTGCATCCTTTCCTTCTACTAGCCCTTGGTACATATGACCACATGGACTCGCCGTCTGCTCCCCGCTCATCCGAGGGGCGGCGTGCGTCACGGTCACGCAGTGGATGCTGGACCTGCCGGACCAAAAAGGTCAAGTGCGACGAGGGAAGGCCACAATGCCGGCGATGCCTCCGGCTGAAGCTTCTCTGCGATTATACGCCCCGGCGGAAGGCATTTCAGATCGGACGGCAGATCGTCCAGTCACAGCGCCGGTGCCCTGCTGCAGACACAGCCGGTACGGACACCGCGCCCCAAACGTCGCCCACCAGGGATTGGTTCCAGTCATTGTTGAGGCAAGACGAAGCAAGATCTATCTCGACCTTTCGCATGCCAGTGCCCGCGACCAGCACGTCCTCGGTGGCACTCACGGCGAGCGACCATGAGGCCATCCGCTATTTCCGGACGACTTTTGCCAAGCTACACCACACCAAGAATCCGGATTACTCTCTCTATTCCATCATGTTCAAAGTCGCCGAGGTCAATCCGGTCGTGATGCACATGGTGCTGGCGGTGGGAGGGCGAGAGATGGAGTTTCAGAGGAATCTACAGAGCGGACAGGCACTACTAGGGCGAGGAGCCGGTTCGCCTTTGTGGCATTACTCCCATGCCCTGAAGCTGATGGCCGAAGTCATCGGAAATGAAAGTTCCAACCGGTTCAATTTCGACTCGATCTATACCGCATTGTACCTCATGCTGTTTTATGAACAAAAATACGGGGACGACCAATGCGCTGGACTGGTTCACCACCTCAACGGCGCCGCGCAGATCCTCAAGCAACAATACAGCGACCAGATGAGCCTTTTCCCCCCGGTTGCTCGAGCACATCAACCATGGGTTCTCTCTTCCCATGCCCATGGGCTGGCACCAAACCACCACCTGTCCCTTTATGCGGCCCGACTCTTAATGTGGATGGTGAGCTTTGACACTTCGGCGGCCTCCTATGGATTGGACAGTCAACTACATGCCACCCTATACGAACTCCTGAGCACGACTACCGTTGACGGGCCGGCTGGTCACTCCAGTCAGCCGTTGGAGAAATTCGAGCAGTTGCACCATTACTCCAGCCCACTCTACCGGATCGTGTGGGGCGAGGGGTACCCCCAAACCGAATTACTAGATGACGTTAAAAATCGAAACGTGTTCTTCTTAGAGGGTGCATGTGTTCAACTGCGATTTATGGTAGCACAGCTGGCGAAATTTGAGGACGGTAGGACCGAGGCGGCGACGCGGTGGGCGTCCGACATTGAACTTTCGATCGAGAACACTCGCAATAAGTTTTGCGATTTAATTGAAGTCGCGGCGGGGCTGTCTGCCTCCACGGACAACTCGCACCGGCTCGTGGCCAATCTCCGCCGGGTGGTGCCACTGTTCTACGCCGTGCTGATTTATTTTCGCCGCGTCCGATCGGGTCTCAGTCAATCTCGGACCCCGCAACAGGTCGACTCGTTCCGCCATATCATGAATCTGGCATTCCAGGCGCACAAGTACGACGGGGAAAAGGCCATGGTGCGCATCGCGTGGCCGTTGTTCATGGTGGCCCTGGAGACGAATGACCACCTCCACCGGGAGTGGGTCCTCAGCCGATTCCGTGGCATCCGTCAATTTGGCTTGAATTTCGAACGAGCATATCAGTTCTTAGTTCCTGTTGTTGATCTGCAAAGCAAGTTGGGGGAACGTGTGGATGTGCGGGGTATATCTCCATCTCGTGATTTTGGCTTGTTTGTTCTCTAGTCTTTCTTTCATGAACAATCCGGGAGTCTGAACTTTAAACCACCACCGCTTCGACTGAATAGCCGACTGTCGCTTATTCCATACATGTTGGACAAGATCTTTGGCTCGTGGCGCTAGGGCCATTCCATATCCAGTACTGTACGTCAATTGCGGGGAAAAGGTTACGAAGAGCCTTGAAGCGGCACTCCAGTCGTTCTGTATGTATATAATGTCTCCTTCAATGTAGCTTGAGCCCCAGTTCAACGCTTGCATTTACCCAAGTCAAACCTTGCCCACACTACGGCCGACAACAACCAACCAAGTGAACCGAAGGTATCATGTCCACAGGAAACGCTCAAGGATGTTGAGCTAGGAGATCTCGATGTGCAATCGCTTACGCTGGAGGAGGACAAGAGGATTCTGCGCCGGATTGACCTCTAGTAAGTGATGTCTGATATGTCACGGGATTGCGACGTCGCTCATCACAAATCCAGCCTTCTCCCAATGATGGCGGTTTCGTACATGTTCCAATTTCTTGACAAGTCGGCTATGAGTTTCACATCCATTTTGGGTTTGACCGATGATCTGCATCTGCAAGGAGAGGATTACTCGTGGGCCAGCAGTATCTACTATTTCGGCTACTTAGCGGCGTCTTATGTTGCCGCGGTCTTGCTGGTTCGGTATCCCGTTGGCAAAATGATTTCTACATCGATGTGCGTGTTCTGCTGGTTTCCTTCCGTTCTGCTTTCGTGGAGAGATGCTTACTTCAATTCCAGTGTTGTTTGGGGTGCCGTGTTGATGCTGACGGCAACGGTGTTCAACAGCCAAGGTCTCATCGCGGTCCGTTTTTTCCTCGGTGTAACTGAAGCCGCGATTGCCCCCGGTCTCAGCATTGTCGTTTCCATGTGGTACAAAAGATCCGAACAACCCTTTCGCCATGGCATCTGGTTCCAGGGAATTACTATCGCGGGGATCTTTGGCGGGCTGGTTGCGTACGGGATTGGTCATGTGCAATCGATCGCTCTATGGAAGGTACGAATGGTTGATGTCTTCCTGGATACGTTTCCAGGCACTTATTCATTGGTCCTTTCAGTCCTTGCATTACGTTCTGACTTTCCTTAGGCCGTGTTTCTCATTTTTGGTGCTATCACTATTGTCTGGGCTTTCATTCTTCTCTACTGGCTTCCGGACACCCCGATGAACGCAAGGGTTCTCGGGGAAGATGACCGACACAAGGCCGTTTTGAGAGTCCAGGAGAATATGACTGGCATCAAGAATGATGAATTCAAGGGTTACCAATTTATTGAGGCGCTTTGGGACTTGAAATGCTGGGCCTTTGTCCTCATCCAAATCAGCTGCTCCATTCCCAATGGTGGGGTGTCCAATGTAAGCCGACAAGAAAAGCAACGAAGATATCACGGCGCTGACAAAGGACCTACCAGTTCGGCTCGATCATCATTGAAGGGTTTGGCTTCAGCACGCTGAATACACTGCTTGTTCAGATCATAACCTACGTGGTCCAGGGTGTCCTCGTCTATCTCTCTACGGCCGGTTGTTCTTGGTTTGATAACAGCCGAACGTATTGGATGGTATGGAACTCGGCCCTTTCAATTGTTGGAGCTGCTATGGCGCGGCAGATATCCCCCGATAATGTTTGGGCTCGATTTATCGGGTACTGTCTGGCAGGCGCTTACGCCGTAAACTTTCCGTTGACGCTGTCAATGTCGACGGGCAACATTGGAGGGTTCACGAAGAAGACCACGGTGAACGCTATGGTACCAACGCCCCCCCCCACCCTTGCGTCATGTCTCTCCAGTGAAAAGCTGTATACTGAATGCTTTCAGGTCTTTATCGGATACTGTACCGGAAATATCATTGGACCGCATCTATTTTTCCCCGATGAAGAACCGTCGTATCCATCGGGCTTCCTAGCGATGTTAATATGTTTTGTCATCTCGCTGGTATTGTCCCTTTGTCTGAGGTACTATCTTATCTGGGAAAATAATCGTCGGGATCGCCTTGGACATATGGATAGTGGCGATTCTTTCGAACCTCTCGATGCTACCATCCTTGACAAGACCGATAAGGAGCTCTTGCAGTTTCGCTATGTTTATTAAAAACAAGCCCTATGCTTAGAATGAGGGCATCATCGTAGGATCAAAATGATCCCCTGTTTATCCAGCCCAAGCGTATTCCTACGCAAGGTTTAACTTGTCACGTATAACATGCATCAATTAATAAGGCAACGATGGCATATGACAGTCTTTCGGTTACTTTTGAGTCTTTCATGTGTATTGAGATTTGTATTTTCTGTGTAAGCCAGGGACATATTTTTTTGGATCATCAAAAGACTAGATAAGCTACTCCCCGCTACTGCCCCGATTCATGTTCTTCACTCACAGTAAATGGTAGAATGGAGAGGATGGAACATATATCTCTTCTTTTTTTTTTTTTTTTTTTTTTTTTTTTTTTTTTTTTTTTTTTTTTTTTTTTTTTTTTCCTTTTATTTTCTTCCATTTCCCTTGTTGTACTCTTAGTCTGAGATTCTAATGGACATTACTTCTACACTCGGATTTTTTTTTTTTTTTTTAACTTGCACTGTGTAGGTGAAACACATCTTCTTCCCTCACGATTTCCGTCTCACTAATTCCTCTCCGCCGCCTCCAATTCATCTCGGTATTCGTAACATACCCTTCCCTGTACAACTGTCCGTAGAACTCCCTCGACTCCGTCCTCGGCCTCCACCGGAGGATATCATAAGTACTAGCCCTCGTCATCGCCGCATCGCGCTCCCGAGTTGTCATATTTCGACAGCCATCGACAACATGTACATTGACTGCACGAGCGCGGAATTCATCGCCCATCAAAATGTTCTCAGTCGGAGTCACGAAGATCGTGATATGTGATGGAGGGATAGGATAGGCAAGGAGATAATCCAAGGCCGCCCTGTCCACGCCAGTGACGGGGCCGATCACGAAGCGATGTCCTCGGTCGATGGCCGCATTGATTCGGGGTACGTAGTGGGTGTGGAAGTAGGTGTTATCTGGGCCTGTGTCGACAGGGCCAGAGATAAATGCTGTCTCTGCATTTCGAGGGGTTGGTGGAGGGGATGTCATTTTGTGTATTGTCTGGGGAACTACGGTGTTGGATGGGGATGGCGCCGGTGCTGGTTTATATAGGCCGTGTTGCATGCTGTCAGCCTTATGGGGCTGTGCACCTGGAGTGGGGAATTCTGTCTGGCGATTAGTTTAGCCTTGGTAAATGACTCAATTGTAGTAAGACAAGTTGGTGTACTTATACTTCTGCGGAGATCTCGGGTCTATAGGTGTTCTATAAGAAAGGTTGGACTTCCAGGCTGTTGTAGAATTCGCAGTCTTCATCGAATATTGGCCAGCAGATTGAGACGATGGTTGAAGAAAACAATGCGATTGCAGCCTCAGCCTCGTTGATATTAGGAGAAGGTTGATTATCAGGAAGAGACAGTATGTAGTGCTACATTACTAAAATGTATTGGTAGTCCAGCATCTAGTGCCTGGCGCTGGTTCACATAAGGTATTGGTCCATGCGTAAGCGCGTATGAAGGTTAGATACCCACAATGCCACTGCCATTGGCAAAACAAAATCACCGATCGACAAGACAGCCTGGGGCACTATGCCTGTACTAGCATGGGTCTTCGCGTATTCGGCACATATTACGGTGTGGATGAGATGCTGCCATCGGATGTCGCGATGGCGTGCTTTTAGCCTCGCATTACATTGATAACAATCAGAATACATAAGCCATGATCTCTCTCGCATTGTTCGCCGATGCCTACCACCACGAGGCTACCATGAGGATATTGACTGCTAACTTAATTCTGGCCGCCTCGGCGCTGGCCCTGGATCAAGCGCCTCTTCGCGTCCAAGATGGCATCGCTGGGAATATCCCGGACATCGTCCGCCAAAATGGCACACACGGACGCCCGAACATTGTCTTTATTTTAGTAGATGATCAAGACCTGCAAATGGACTCATTGTCCTACACGCCGCATACGAACCACTACATCAGAGACCAGGGAGTCTTCTATAAGAATCATTTCGTCACAACAGCACTGTGTTGTCCGTCCCGTGTGAGCCTGTGGACCGGAAAACAGGCGCATAATACCAACGTCACGGAAATCTATCCACCTTATGGTACATTTCATTAGTACAATGAAGACGATCGCTACGCTTACACATTCAATCAGGAGGATATCCGAAATTCGTCTCAGAAGGCCACAACGAAAACTGGCTGCCGCTGTGGCTTCAAGACGCCGGATACAACACCTACTACACCGGCAAGCTCTTCAACGCGCACACCGTAGAAAACTACAATTTACCATTCGCCAAAGGCTTCAATACCTCCGACTTTGTTCTGGATCCATACACTTACCAATACCTCAACCCGGTATATCAACGCAATCATGACCCGCCGATTTCCTACGCAGGACAGCACACCATCGATGTGCTCAGGAAGAAAGCACTCGGGCTACTTGAGGACGCGGTTACAGAGAGCAACGAAAGACCCTTCTTTCTCACCATTGCACCCATCGCGCCGCACTCTAACTTTGAAATGACCAATGCGAGCGACTACACGACGTTTCGCTTCTCAGCGCCGATCCCATTGGAACGACACAAGGATCTGTTCCCCGACGCCAAGGTGCCGCGGACAGAGCACTTTAATCCGGACAAGGTAAATCTCTCTCACTACCGCTGTCAAGCCAAGCTTAGCTGGAGGATTAATCGTCAAACCAGCCTAGTGGAGTCAACTGGATCAGCACTCTCCCCCAGCAAAACCAGAGCAGTATCGATTCGAACGATGAGTTTTATCGCGCCCGTCTCCGCGCGCTTCAAGGGGTTGATGAAATCGTCGAACAGGTTGTGCAGCGTCTAGAAGATGCAGGCGTCCTTGATAATACGTATATCTTCTATACATCCGACAATGGTTATCACATCGGCCAACACCGATTGCACCCCGGCAAGGAATGTGGCTTTGAGGAGGATATCCGCGTGCCCATGTTCATTCGAGGGCCGGGTATACCGATTGCTGAGGAGGTCAACTTTGTGACTACTCATATCGATCTAGCACCCACCATCTTTGAGATAGCTGGATTGGATCTCAAGGAAGAATTTGATGGTACTCCCGTACCGCTGACGGAAAGGGAAGTCCTAGAGGAGAAATCATCGAAGAGTCGACACGAGCATGTCAACGTGGAATATTGGGGGAAGGCGGGATTTGAAGGCGAGATGAGCCGGGCGCGTAAGTCGCTTATAGCCTTCTTTTCTACTAATTAGTGGACTGATGTTTGGCCCCAGCGGATGGAGGCCCGATTGCCTTCCGGAACAATACATACAAGGCTCTCCGCGTTTTGGGACATGGTTATAATCTCTATTACTCCGTATGGTGTACGAATGAGCATGAGCTGTATGACCTGACGGTGAGTATCCTTCATTGGCATTCATTCTGCAAAGTTCCATCACTCATTCAACGACAGACCAACCCCTATGAACTGAATAATCTTCATCCATCTGTGTCCAGCAACAGCGAGCAGCAATTGCTGGGATATCCAATTGAGAAGGTGATCTCCCGCTTAGACGCCCTGCTGCTCGTTCTGAAATCCTGTAAGGGAGTCACCTGTGTGAGGCCCTGGGAGGTTCTTCACCCTGCTGGTAACGTCCAAACGCTGAGTGATGCACTGGGTGATGTCTTTGATGTGTTCTATGATGAGCAGGTTAAGGTCGAGTACGGATGGTGTGAGGAGGGTTATATCGTGGATGCCGAAGGGCCGCAGGTTCCCTCTATATATCAGGGCACGCGGTGGAGTGATTGGTGGTGACGTACTCTTTTTACTGGTTTGAGGTACGAAAAGCATATACCTGGTGGTAGGTGTGGACCATATATTGTACATATGTAGAACTGCGAATACACGCCGTCTTGGCTGTTGTATTGAACAGATTGGTTATAGGATATTGAATATACGAGACTGATGCATACACAATACCAAGGATAGCCACATTCCATACGGCAACAAATACTGTCGCCGAATGCAAACAAGTATACAAAATATCGTCCATGTAGCTGCCCTTGCAAGGCTGGAGTTTAGGTATCACTACAAGAACAGAAGCGAGAAATCTTGCTATTATTTATCAAATCGATTATAAATGCCAGCAATTGGTGTATCGAAGTAAATATAAGCTATAATGCGATGAAAAGTAAAAGCTGTTAACCAGTATATCCTGATGGGCTCCCAACCAATCGGACGAATTACACCAGGTATAACCACTTAGAAGAAAGCACGCGCAGCGAGAGCAATGACACCGGTAAGGAGAGCGCCGAAGTGAAGTTGGTTGTTCGAAGCAGCACCGGTGAACAGGGGGTTAAGGCTGGAGGAACTATATCGACATTCTTCAATCAGTATCACATTCCCCCAATTTCCAAAGTTGTAGATGTCATGATGTGTACTCACGTCAGATTGCCCGAGAAGTAGCCGGAGGAGGTGGCGGCAGGCACTGGAGACATGTAGGTGGAGCTGCCAGACACAACAGTCACGCTGGGGCAGCTTCCAGGGTGGGCTGGATTGCAGCCACCAGGAATTCCAGCAACGCTGCTGAAGCCAGATGCGGTCACAGCGGGCACGGGGGAGAGGTAAGTCGAGCTACCGGTCACCACAGTCACGCTGGGGCAGCTACCGGGATGAGCGGGGTTACAACCACCGGGGATCCCAGTGGGAGTAAAACAGCTGCCCGGGTGAGCTGGGTTGCAGCCTCCTGGGATCTCGGTAGGGGTAGGGCAGCTGCCGGGGTGTGCTGGGTTGCAACCGCCGGGGATTTTAGTAGGAGTAGGGCAGCTGCCAGGGTGTGCCGGATTGCATCCACCAGGAATTTCGGTAGACTCAGGGCAGCTGCCCGGATGGGCAGGGTTGCAGCCCAGGCCACCTGGAATCTCGGTGGCGATCTCTGGGCAGCTACCAGGGTGCGCTGGGTTGCAGCCACCTGGGATTTCAGTGGGTGCGGGACCTTCCGGTGCTACTGCAGCGTAGGCTCCAGAGAGAAGAAGGACGGCAGATAAATGAGTGAGTTGCATTTTGATAGTTGGAAAAGACAGTAATGCGAAGCAAGTAAATTCCCAGCGGCAATACGCGACGGAGGTTGAAATGAGCGGATGAGATGTCAAACGAGTGTCTGAGGTTGGTCAGCGGATTGCGCTCAATACGACCAGGCCAAGGGGAACAATGGTCTTATATCAGGGTTGCCATGTTATATCGGGAACCCTCCGAGACATGATCATTTCCTAAGAGCCCTCCACCGGGGACTATTGCCAGCTACACAGATTACTGCGGTGAAACGGCCGAGAACGGAAAGAGAATAGATCCAAAACAACAATAACTGGAGGAGAGACATGCCAAGACATAATCTTGACAAAGGTCGATGTACTATCCGATGAAGATGCGTTGTGGAAATGAAGGCCAGGGAAATAAACGTCTTTCTGAGACAAGTGGTATCAAGATAGGGCTTAGGAACGGACATTCCTATTGTGGTAGCTGGACAATGATCAGCAATCTGTGGATCATTTTTACCCAGAAGGGATGTTTGATTAGGAGAGTATTGCTGGATGACAGTCTGTAGATCATTGTGGCAACCTATATGGAGATCAGCACGAGACCATTAGAGGGTCAATATCTCGAGGCTACCTGACGTTCAATAGCACCACTTTTCACTACTCCGTACCGGCATCGTGGTCAAGCTTAAAAGTAACCACAAAGTCCTGACTAGTTAGCGGAAAGTGAGTCAGACCAATGAGGTAAATTCGTATGCTTCGGCCATGATTTCACAGTAACATGGTCTCCTAGCTTCTAGTCTCTGTGCCACAAAATAATATAATATAAAATAAATTCATGTCGTTGTGGGAGAATGACTAATATCATGACGATTATAGGAAGTGACTGAAAGGACCGCCCAATAAAAGTAGATCGGAAAGCTAGCCTTATATATTCCATGCAATTGTGGACTGTCCCATCGGACATGTATCCAACAGCAGACTATGTTTTACTTTGGCAGTTCTCACTGGGAGCAGGCCTGAAACATGGTCCATTGGGTAGAACCATACAACAAGATCAACACCTGGCAAATCTATAATCGGATACTGTTAAGCTCCACAGTGGGGTGAGGCCTGCAAATTGTAAGGGGTCTATCAGGATCAACGACCCACTTCCTAGTCTCAGGATGTGGCTGGCCCAGACCGCGAGTGAGTCAGGACTACAGCCCTTTTGGTGGTGGCTTTTGTCAGAGACAAGCTACGGCTGATCTTATGTTCACTATGAACTGACATAATGCCTTCGACTTCCTTGGTCATACCAAAGGAAACCGGATTGTATTTTAATGTTCCCGGTTTCTTGCGATATTCTAGCTTGCCAACAAAAGGTAGCCAGTGCTTCATTCCCAAGAAACCATAGCGATCAAAAGCCACGCACTGGTTGAGAGATTGAGGTTGTTATCGCAATATAGAGTCATGAGAATGGTTGGAAAAGCGATATTTGTGGAAGATCCGAAGGGGATGATGTTTACACAGCGACCAAGTCATATGGCTACATAACAGTCGTCTATAGTAGGGATAGATGATCAACTAATCTAAAGTGTTGTCTAATTCACATGGTAAGAAGCATCCCTAATTACTGGACAAATCAGTAGCATGCTCGTGCTCCACGCTCGCGAGGACAAAGGAGGAAGAACCATGTAAGCTGTTGTAAAGAAGGGGCTGATGGACGTAATACTACAGTTGTTCCACACATTAGATTGATATTGATCAGCAGATACAGCGTTATATGGAGAACATACCTCATAGGTTGCATTCGAGCTCAGACTACAGACGGATACCGTGCCATTATAGCCCAGTGTTCCGTTCTTGTTGTCGACCACGAAGTCCTGGAGAAGATGGCCATAGCATTTGCTTGCGAGGGCTGTTGGCAGCAAGGCTTTCGCAGTGATACCGTCCAAATAGCCGAGTCGCGCACCCTTGTAGAGCGCATATATGAACATTGCTGATCCGCTAGACTCGATGTAATTGCCCTCTCTGTTTGGATCTGTCATGACTTGCCACCAGCAACCAGTCTCTGGGTCAGCCGCCGCCATGACTGCATTAGAAAGGCTAACGAATCGTTCGTGGACATGGTTCCACTGCTCCTGATTCAGGACACCTTGCTGGCCGGAGATCTCCAGAATGTCTACCAAGGCCATCATATACCAGCCCAAAGAACGAATCCACACAATTGGACTCCCCCCCGTGACCGGGTTCGCCCAGACAGCCGTTTTCGATGCGTCATAGCCATGGACCAATAGGCCGGTGTTGTTCTGGCGACAATGGGACCAGAGGAGATCGAGCTGGTAGACAAGATCCTGTCCTACGGCACTACTATTCTCTGCCGCGAAGTTGGCTGTGTAGGTGGAATAGAAGGGGACGAGCGAGTACATCCCATCAAGATAACTCCAATTTGGGTACTTGAAATACCAGTAACCTCCTATGCATTGTTAGCTTTCTAAAGGCTGAAAAATGCGTAAAGATATGCCCTGAAGTGTTTTCCATCACTTTGCCTATTCTTTCTTTATGGCATCTACATACCATATTGATTTCTAGGTTGCATATAGATAGACTGCTGCAATGCATCCAGCGCTGCCTTATAGGTTTCGTTTGCCGTTCTGTCATATCTAACTGTTTGTGAGCTCTGGAGCGCTTTCTCGAGAAACGTGGACCATATTCTTGAATAATGCCAGCTGGGTTCCCTCTGGTAGACTTACTGGTAAAACAGACCATTGCCATCCGAAAAGCGATCCAAAGGATATTGAGTATCCTTGGTGGCGTTTAGAAGCCAAGGAGTGACGCTTTGCGTACTTTCTTCCAGGTACGCGTCCCAATCGGCCTGTGCGCACGCGCTTTCCAGGGAACCATAATACTCCTTCACACGCAGAATGGCGTTTTGAAAAACACCTATCTGGAGAAAGGTCGCTGCCTCGGGTGTTGTTCCCGGAGGCAAGACGGCCTGTCCGCGAGAGATGACACTATCGGCCATCCAGGCTGAGTAGGGACGCGCGTCCGCATTGCAGGACGATGGCTTTGGTACTGCTGCTCCATGGGAAGCGAAGAGCAGTGATACGAGTACGGAAGACAATATTGTTGATTTTAAACTAGCCATCGTAGCCAAGACACTTCCATAGGGACATTCGTTCAGGGTTACATGAAGAAGTTGGAGGCGAAAATTGGAATCAAGGGCTGGGGCTGATCTTTGCCGGATTAAGAATATTAGGAGGATCACAATATGACGCGACTGTTTGGAGGAAGAACCTGGACGAGATTGAATCCAACGTTCTGTGCACAGTCTTCGTCCTCTCTACAGTACGCTGGATATTAACATGGCGCAACCCTACTACTGCGTGCGAGACAGAAAAAAAGCTATGAAGAACAGGAAAGAACAGGGGAATTAGATCATGTAAATGCAAATTTCAGGCAAGACAAGAGTTGCTCTCAAGCCAAATACCCGTGGCGCACACCAGTGTGCCATTATACGCTGCCAGCTATCCTCCGCTCTACTCATCCAGACAAGGCGTTGGGTAGCGGTCTCAGTTTTGTGAAATTGCCATGGCTTAATATTCCTCTCGAACAATTCGTCCAACGTTGCGGCAGAGCGTCTAGGCCAAATTATATTTAGCATACCCGGACATTGACACAGGCATCACAACTCCCATACGGAGATGACTTGCCCTGAAGTCTCTGGAATCAGCAATCACATTCCGAGGTTAATAAAAGCCTGGGGAAATAAAGAAAAAGCACGTATTACTGAGTTAATTGAATAATCCAATAGAATACGATAGGACTGACATATACCCTGTTTTCCTCTATGTATTTACACTATTTCTTTTAATAATCAACACTTCAAGACGACTACGAAAACGGCGGCATGCCGATGAATTGATCCGTCCCTTCCAGAGGGCACATCCACTTGACACGTCCGAGTCTAAATATCTCGGCCTTTGGTTTGTGCTGGTCCAGAAACTCAATATCATCAAAGATTCCGGCCCGAAGAATGGTGATTTCCTCGGGAATCCCCGACGGCTGGACCTTGTGCCCGTAGATCGGTGTCCCTGCAGATTCTCTTTAGTTTATATTCTCTTCAAAACCCGCAAATCACGAACCGCAATCTGAACAGAAGTAGTTCCTGATATGGTTCCCGCTGTCGGCTCTTTTGGCCACCTCTTTGGGACTGCCCGAAATTTTCAGGTCTGCCATCAGGACAACAAAACTGTAGGTGAACAGAGTCCCGGTCAGTTTGCGACAGTCGTAACAATGGCACAATGCCTATATCGGACATGTTAGTACTCGACCAGCCACTTGCGGGAGAGAATATACTCACCGATGTAATGGGCTCGCCGGTATATTCTACGCGGATCTCTCCGCAGAAGCAGCTGCCGACAACCATGACGAGGCCGCAAGTGTTGGATTATCTATGTATGGTATGAGGTTTTCATGCCAACCAGCTAGGGAGAGGAGTAAATTTCGTTTCGGCGGAGAGCAGAAAACGTCGTTACTCAATCCTAGTGGATCTTAGTAAGAATATTATGAATCACGATAACTACAACCAATAACGTAACCTATAAACGAGCGGGCCAGACAATCGGGCGGGCCACCATGTATTCCATATAAAATGGCACTTTTATAATTCAATTATCTTAACAACCAGTGCTAGTAATAATCTGAATTCTAGTATATATATTAATTTAGTCCTGTAGATATATATATTAAATAGAGAAAACTCTGGATTTAATAATATCCTAGATAATATAAATTACAGTGTATTTTTGGTAATTTATATATAATTATATTTAAAGTCTTACAGAAAAGTATTAAAAATTTACTAAAATATATATTCTATTTAAATAAGCTATATTTATATTAGTATAAGATATCATATTGTTACTATCGCTGGTTGTTGAGATAATTGAATTATAAAAGTGCCATTTTATATGGAATACATGGTGGCCCGCCCGATTGTCTGGCCCGCTCGTTTATAGGTTATGTTATGGAAACGTGTTGAGTGTTGAGATACGAGCATCCCAACGCCCCCGCGCCCAATCTCCACTGACATCTTCCCAACCCCACCTCGGCGCGAATGATATTAAATTTAACTAAAACTTCTGGGTAGTTGCCAACGAGATGCTACTTTGACAAGACTATCGAACAGAAAGCTACCCTCCCCTTGCGTGGCTGTTCGTCGTGTGCAGACATGTCTGAGGCCTGAGTTTTGTTTATCAGGCAGGACATTTTTCGTTCTCTCGGTGTACTACTTGCCCGACTTGTAGTGCACTACCCCAGGTAATGAAGTAGTATGAATCGAGTATATGTATTTATCCAAGGCAGTGTAGTAAACGGCGTAAGGAAAAAAACCAAGTGGTACTAACTTTATCCCACATCTACCCAAGCTCGGGCATATACGTTATAAAGTAGAGCAATATAGCAAGATTCAATATATAGCTCGAACAAGACATATGGAAGATAGAGAAAGTACGCTGTCCACGCGCAGTGTACCCCGGAAACTTTAGATGGAAGACTTGGAACAACTGTCGCTTATACATTCCCATTCAGAGATCTCACTCAACGGACCCCGTAGATGATTCTATGCTCTTCAAACACAGCCTTTGGCAAAATGCCCTTCTCAAACAGCTTTGCCATAACACGCAAGAACGGATTTAAATAGTTCGCGGGGGGTGTAACTTCTCCAGGAAGTGATTCATGGTTCACAATCTGTTTTACCACTGTTGCTTCTTCCTCGGTCAAAGGATTCAACTGAGTCCGATACATGTCGCCGTCGAGAGTAGATTCACCGTCCTGATCCTTGTCGTCAAGATGGTATGTCCAAACTGGTCCGTTGTGATTGGCAATGACAAAGGTCCAATCATGCGCCATCAGCGATCTGTCTCTTTGAAACAGGTAATAGAAGTCAAGCAATGGTGGGTGTATGTCTGTCCGTAGGGATAGGCCGGTGTAGTGGGTTTCGTATCTCAGGATCCGTTGCATCATCCTGAGAAGATAATTAGGCGGCCAGTGCCCCATCACTAAAATATCACATTTTTCAAGCTCTCGGTCAGATATGGGATCAGCGTCCTGCGGGTAGCTCTCCTTCCAAGTGTCGTCGCCACTGAATATGCATCGCGTGAAACAGTGATCTGCGAAGAAAGATATATTGGTCAGAGCCCAGAGAGCATCGGTGGAGATGTCTTCGTCATAATATATGATCGGGGCTGGAGAGTGATTTTCATCTTCGCCCATAATACCTATTGTAATCGGTGGGGGCTGTCGAATGAGCATGCGCCGCCAGCTAGCGTTTTCTGAACGGAGAATTGGAATCCTACGGGTCTTAGCTTGTCGTTTGCGCTCCGAGGATTTAAGCTCGCGACCGCAAGTTGCAAGCCATGATAGCTGAGGCCAGAGAATCTCCTTCAATAGAGGGTTTATCTGACTCCGTCGTTCATCACAGGCCGTAGCCTGACGCTCTTCCACGGGCACGAAAAATAGCGCTTGCTGAAGACTCCTTGATTTGGTGATGATGTGATGCCAAAGGCGACACACTCGCTGTGCGTGGAGAAGAGTTCGCATGTCTAGGTTGATGAGGATGGGATGCAGTATTTCCCATAGAGAGAGGGCTTCGGTCGTGGAGTTTCGATCCATGTTATTCCTGTCGTGGTTTGACTGTTCAAAGTGGTCTGATCCCGCAGGGCTATGTGACAAGTTGTGGGGGTGAAGAAAATATTGCAAATGAAATGCTGCAGCACCAGCTCCTTAGGCGAGAGTGAGTCATGGTCGTGGGATGAAGTCATGTTGATGACTTAGTTACGCATACGACGAGAAAAAGGAGGCCCGGTATCCAAGGTGTCTAGGCCCCAACGCTCAACTCAACCATACTCTGCCCTACAAGTATAGCAAATGTTGTGGGAAGAACAAGCAACATACCAACCTCTCCGGTTAAATCAAGTGATCTTCGACCCTAGTGATCGTCCTGGACTTGACTCGATGGTAATTTATGAGCTGCCGGCAACCGTCAGATCCTTGGGACGTGACTTTGTCTCTCGAGCTTCGAAGACAAATATCGGGAAGCCATAAAAGGGCAATATAATGAAGCTTGGTGGTTGTTGACCTTAATTTGATGGTATTGTGCTTCGGGGTAAAACAACACGTAAAATGGCAGTGGGCTGTCTTCGATTGTCAATCATATCACTGGATTGACATACGAACCAATGAATGGCAACGTGAAATCCTGCTTCGGATGAGAAACTGCACTGCTCTGGAAATGGGTTCAAGGCCTTCAGGTCTCTCCTGCATTACTGCTCCGGCGCTGTACGCGTATCCGAACTGATCAAGGGCGATCATCATGAATTGGAGGATACCTGTAATCGAACTGTGAGCGCCAAAACCAAGAGCAAAAATGGACGATAGCAGAACCAATTGACCCGGGAGTTTTCCCAGCATTCCCATCGGTGAAGAGCTCGCGGTATACCCAAACATGGAGAAGTTGCTCTACCGGATCTGGATCGACATAAATATCAGATACCAAGTCTTCTTAGTGTACCTGTTTTATTGAATAGCTAGGCACAAGTGAAGTTACTGGGAAGTAAACTTTCATGGGTAAAGGAAGACCTCGATAAATTCCAAGGGCTTCGGCCCTGTGGGCCTAAGTCAATTGTCATCGTTAAAGCCTCTGGGCCAACTTAGTGCAGCACATCGAGGAGGAAGACAGCCAAGAGCTCCCAGTTTCGAACATGTTTGAGTGGTTCTGAATCCGATAGTATGGCCGGCTCATTCGGTCGGACTAGCCTGTTAAACTACCTCGGAGTACAGGTAGCTGAGTGTGGCCAAGTCAAGCGGTGTACATGGCACGTTTGGAACCGGTTTTTGGTGGCTCAATATATCAGTAGGTCTTGAAAGTGTCTCACTATGCATCATTATCGTCTTACTCAGTTCACTTACCTGCCGCGACCTGACAAGATTTCATTTTCCTGGACATCATTCTATCGCTCTGACGTACATACATGGGGGGTCAAAAGTCTGACTACACTAGCGCGTTTCCGCCGACGCGTCAAAAAATTGTACTTTCTTCAACTATCTACCACACCACCATTATGAGGTCTTTTGGAACCGAAATTAGTGGAAATAGAAGGTTAAATCAAGAGCTTTCTACTGAGACGCGCGCGGCAATTATATCTGGTCTAGAGAATAATATATCGCCTACTCAACTTGCAAAGCAATTTAACGTCTGTCGCTCTACTATTTACTCAACCAAAAAACGCTTTCAGCACCACCATACCTTGGAAAGCAAGCCTAGAAAGGGCAGACCTCAGAAACTTACCTTCGCTGAAAAGCGCTA